CTCGTAGGTACCTACCATGAAACGTCATAGTTGAAAAAGATTTGAATTAAAATTCGACAATGATTAAAAAAAAAAAATCACAAATATGATGAAAATATTCAGAAATTTCTGAAATTAAGTTTAAATTAAATCGCGATTTTCCTACTTGTTTTTTAATTTTTATATACCATAAACCTTACCTAGGTTTAATTTTATTCTAAATTTTAATCGGAAAGGTATCTTGTGTTTGAGGTGACCAAACCTTTATTCAATAAAGAGTCTCAAACTTTAGCTATTTTGAGTCTCAAAACTTTAAAATTTATTTATTAGTAATTTATGTACACACGTTATTATTCCTTATATAAATAACAAATATGTTTAGTTTACTTAATATTATTTTCTCGTGTTATCTTTTTTTCCACAAATAACCCACATACGAATATTTTCAAAAATCCTCATAGTGCTCGGACAGACTGCATCTCCTGGTTTTACCAGGACCTATGAGGAAGGGGCTTTCTCTTCCTCTTTTGTCTGGCAGAGAGGAACCCAGACGAGGCTATGCCGAAGGACATAATCTCGTTTGGGGAGGTAGACAAACCCGAACCCGTGTATTCGGAGCCTACGTGCTCGGAACGCCCCAGGTTAAAAACTGACCTTGTGTCACATCTTGCCTTGTGAGGGGATTAGTAAATATAGACAGGACCTTTACGGCTTGGACCCGCCATGCAACTTACAATACATAGTAGCAAACCGCCTATCGGCAAAAAGTAAGTTCCACTCGAACAGCTTCTTCCCGCGAACCACTGACCTATGGAACAGACTCCCAAGAGGATGCTTCCCCGATCACTAAATCTTTTTAACCTGTTCAAGACTAGAGTCAACCGATATCTTCCTAAAGTACAACGTAACCCCCCTATCTCGAGTGGCCCCCGGGCCTTGTTTTCTAGAGTGAACGTTACTGTAAAAAAAATAAAAATATACATTACGGGAAATTTGCATCTCGCCATAAAAATAATTAGATTTAAGGAAAAAAAAAAAAACGAAAAAGTGATATATTTAAAAAAATGCATTCCTGTTATTAAACAACGTCCGAGTACTGAAAGATGCTATCTAGCTGACCACGTCATAATTATGTTAAATAAATATTTTAATTATTCGACCATGAAAATGTTTTTATTGATTTAAAAAAAAAAAAAAAAAAAAAACTGCCTAGGCCATGAAACTTTTTAAATTGAGAGGTTTCGTTTTTTATGTGTTTTTTTTTTTTACTTTTACTATGGCAGTTAAGTACTGATTATTATAAAAAAAATGATTTCATTTATTTATTTTACAAAAAATGATGAAACAATTACTAAATTGTTGAAAATACTCTTCTTGATCATACTAACTAAAAATAAAAATGTTGTTGAATAATAATTGTAATACTAAAAGACTTGGAAATTCCTAGACCTTTTTAATTTTAGAGAATGTCTCTGGACTTTTTAAACAATAAACCCGTAAATTCTTTCTCGCATGGAAACCGTTTTCAAGTCGCTTTGTAACTTTATTTTGAAGGTTGGAGGATTAAAAGAGCTCTTTTAGCTAGCAACTAAGACTTCTGTTAAGTTTGGAAAATATACTTGATTATTATTGTTATTACTCTTCACTACTACGACTATTTTTACGAAAGGACCAGTAATTGATTGCCTCAGTAGCATCTGTTTCTTAAATAAAAGATCATTTATCCACTAAAATGGCCATATAAATTCAAATATTAACATTTTAAAACACTTCGTCCTAAATGGGGATTGAATTATTCGAAAAGTGTTTCTGTTTTCAAAATATCAGTTTAACTTCAACATTTTTAAAATAATTTGCAATTCAAAATCCTGCTGATAAGAAAAGAAACAAAAAAAGCAGAAACATTGGACGTGACTATTTAGGGAAAAAAAATAGTTTTTGTTTGAAATTTTATTTTAGCAACTTTTTTTCCCAATCTCTGAAGGAATTATTAAAATTAATAATTAATAATTTAAAATTATAAAAAAATTAAAATCTATATTCGAACATTTTTTTTTTAAAATAAAATGTTTTTGAATAATCAGACGTTGAAAAGAGGAATTTAGATTTTTCCCCATTCCCAGACAACTTTTTTAAATTTTAATGTTGAAATAAAAATAAAACTTTTGTGGTCGAATATGAAAATTGAAAATTTAGCATTTTTCATTGTCTATCGGTTTATTAATTGAATTTAAATCTGTGCACATCTCTTTATTGAATGCCCTGACTGGGGGGATAAAAACTTTTTATTTTTATTTTTTAGTAAATACCGATCAAAACATTTTTATTTGTTGGGAGTGAGATGCTTCCGCTTACATAATTAGTTTTATCATGATATTTTTAAAACCCAATGCTTCAACAAATCTAATAAAGTCACTGTACTGCTCATAAAAATCTTACTGGTCACAATCTTAGCTATGAGTCATTGAAAATCCGACTGACATGTCAAGTTTGTGAATTAACTCCATAAGAGTTGCTTTTGTAAGTTTTCTTTGCATGATGCTTCGACTTCACAAACTGCATTACAGCAATTCACATCAATCCCACACTTCAGTGTTTCAGTTCTGATAATGAGATGAGTATGTGTCAATGTATTATATTTATTATTCCAAACTATTGTTCTCATCTTGGTTAATAATAATATAAATCTTTACACTATTTACATTGTTTGGACAGTTATCATCTTTACTGTCACATGACATTTTAGCCGTTGTACACTCCGGACGTCTTCAGGTGATATTTGCTGGAACTTTGAACCAAACCCTTTGTTTAGTCCACAGGAGTAGATTGTTCCAATTTCACATACACATGGCCCAGTGGTTAAAAGAGTTGTGAGTTCGGTCCCTGGCCTCGGCAGAGAAAACAAAAACTTTGCTAGTTATCAAGGCAAATAAACTAAAACTGAGGTATACAAAGGCATAATTAGTGCAATTACAACAATCTACCCCCAAGGGTTTAAAATTCAAACATATATCACCTGAAGAAGGCTGGATCATACAACAACCAAAACATTGTGAATGTGACAGTAAAGATGAGGACAACAGTTCAATCAGTGTAAATAGTTACAATACCTCATCTCAGAAATATCGACCAACCAAGTCTTTTTTTGTCATCTTCTTGTCCCATAACCTGCCAGGATCATAGGGGAACTGCATGGCTTCTTGCTCAACAAGAAACCTCTACTTCATCCAGTCATTGTCCAGCACCTATATCTGGGTAAAACTTTTGCAGGGTCATTTGATGACATTGTTCAACTATTTCTTTCTCCTTGCACCATTCCTTATGGGATAGTCTTGGAGAAATGTTGCAACCTGGTTACATGGCCATACCACTTCAGATTCCTCTTCTTTGTTGGTGGTCACCACTTCTTTATAACTCTCTCTTCTGTACACATCTTCCTTTGTGACATGGTCAAATGTAGGAAATACCAAACAAATCTCTGAAGTATCTCCTCTATATAGCTTGGATCCACCTTTGGAGTCCAGATGTTAGATTTCATGACTTACATGCATATAGGAGACCTGACAAAATGAGGGCATACAACAATGTAAGTTTATTTTTGAGGGTGAACATTGTATCAACCATGTCATCATGGCTGTTGTCAAATCAATTCTTGTATTGACTTCTGGCTTGGATCCATCTTGGCTGCTGATTGCACCAAGGTATTTAAATTGTTCCACTGTCTCTATTTGGTTTCTTGATGGGGTCACTACTATTTCTCATCAGATTTGTTTCCTCAGACAAGTATGAAATAACAAAAAGTATGTTAATTACTCATGTCAGAAACAAAATACTAATTTATGAAAAGTGGTATAAACCCACTCTGATGACCAAATGTCAAAACCATTGGATGTTGAATGCAAAGGCTCCAAAAGTACACCACTTTAGATTAAATGTTTACATCTGGTGGTTGTGAGTTCAATCCCTGGAGCCAGTAGTGAAACAGTGGTTCAACAAGAACAAACAATAATTGATACCAGAAACAACTCAATAATCATTAGATGTCCCATGTTATCCAAATCAATGAATGCCTGATGATTGCCAGAGTGTACATGGTTGAAACGTCTGTAATAACATGTATATCAATTGAGATGATGGTTTGAAATAATAAAATGTATAAAATCTCACACGTTTTCTGTAGTTTGGGATATTTCTCAAACTTTTTTCAAAACTTGAGAGTAAATTCTGATTTATGAAACATTTTTACAGCCAATTCTTCTTATCATTCTACTTGCACAGTAGATAATTAGGGTTTGAGAATTGAACAAATGCTATTGACCATAGGAATGGAAAATTACAAGTGAGATGAGCTTTCACCTCATGCAAAGACAATAAACTTGATTTGGAAATTATCAATCAGGCCATGTAATTTTATTTTTGATTGTTGGTTGATTTTCTACGGCTTATCAACTCTTTGCAGCTTATTCAAAGCCAGAAAATAATTTTAGATCATAAGAAATTAAAAATTTCACCATTTTGTTTTATCCTTTCTTTTTCTTATCCCATATGATGACTGAGGTGGGGGCAGGTGCTTTTGCAGTTACATCAGAGTTGTATGTGTGTTAATTTGTCAAGAGCTAAGCTTGAATGGAAACAAATTCTTTGCAGTTTGCCAGCAACATCAGCACTTTCATTTATGATGTGAAGCTTGTGCTATTTACATCTAACCCTGCAACAACTTCATCTATATTCCTAAATTCACTATCAGAATGTGGATGTTTAACATAATCAGTATTACTTGATATAGCAAAACTAGTTTCGGTCATTAATTCTGCTTCCTTACTGCAGTACTGGCTGGTTTTTTAGTGATAGTCTTTACACAGTTGACTTGTGCTTTTTGTTTTTTCTGTAATTCTGATTAAAGTGGATAATGTTTGATTTTTTCCTTGTGTCATTTGAAGTTATTGACATTGTAATGACAGTAACACATTGCATATAACACCAGAAGGTTTACATTTTGGAAATGGCAAATGCCATATTGCTTATGGCCATATCACAGTTGAAACACCAGTTCCCATATGTTCATCAAAGTTAAGCAGTGTCAAACCAAGTCAGTACCTAGATGAGTGACCAGCTTGGGAATACCAAATGCTGGAAGCTTGGATGTGTGTGGTGAAATGGATAATGTCTCGGAATTGTTAATTGAAGAGCCTAGTTCTAATTCAAGTCAGGTTACTCATTTACTTGCACCCTTAGAAAAAGGTATGGATCCCCCCCCCCGGTTATGAGTTAATTAGTAATTATATCACTAAAATCATTATCATGTAAAAAAAAAAAAAAATTCTTAAAATCTAAAAATAGTTTCTGGCTTTGAAATAACCTGCAAAGAATTATGAAACTGTAAAAATCAATCATATTAAGCAAAAAAGCGCAATAGATATCAACAACACTATATGATTATTGCTGCTAAATCTACTATGAAGGCATTGTGCCAATAAGAGCTACTTTGTCCCTCCAGCCCTCATGGTCTTAGCAGAGTGTGGGAACATCCTCCAGCACCAGATTAATCTGTTGGAGGTCTTTGCAGATGACATCCTTCGAGTGGTTGCATGATCTGCCACAAGGTCATCTCCAGTTTGGTGGGTCGAACTAGTGGATGACTCTGGTTGGGTGGTCATCAGGTCGTCTGGTGGAGCTCCCCATTGGACACAAAATCAAACCAATGCACCCTACTCAATAGTCTTGAGGGTACGGGACTAAAAGCCATGTACACGGGAGACAAGGGGCTTGCTAAGAGGCCACATCTCGGCACCCTATGATAGCACTATATGATCCCACAGTAGAGCATTTATCCAGAGTGCTGTTGACACAAATGGGCATTGAATTCAAGGATAGTGTCATTGTCATATGGTAGAACAATGTTTCTCAACCTTTTTAAACAATGGCACACCTAGATACAAATGAAAATATCACAGCATGCTTAGAAAAAATTTTAATGGGTATGAAATAAAACCATAAATTTTGAATTAAACAAAGAATGTTGAATACAGTTACATGAAAAAAAAAAAAATTAATATTCATTTATTCAATGTACAACAGCCAAAATGTGAATATAACAAAGATGAGGACAACAGTCCAAACAATGTAAATAATTACAATACCTTATCTCAGAAATATGAACAAAAAAAAAAAAAGAAAGAAATATTGTGAATGACTAATAGATGTGCATTTTAATTTTTTCTGGATTTTAAATTATTTGTTTAGCTAACTTGCAGGTCCCCTTTCTATTGAGTGTTTTTATATCTCTGCTTTTGAGTCATTCCATGTCATATCAACAAGGGTCTGACTATCAGCGACACGGATTGTTTTCAAATTTGGTACACTTATAGAACTTCATGATAGAAATTGAAAGGTACCTATTTTACATCTCTAGGTCAAAGGGTTCCCGACATATGACCCTTGCCAAAAAGATGAATTTTGTAAAATAGTCACAAAGTTTAAATATCAATATCTCAGTTGTTTTTTGACCCAAAACTAAATTATATACCATTTTAAAGTACTTGGATAGATCTAAAAGGTGATTTTTTTTTTTTTTTTATAGGTCAAATAAGACAATTTGACCAGGACCTGTAATTTGACCTTTAATTTCTCAAAAATTATCTTTAATGTTTTTTTGTTTTTTTTAAATTTGACAACAATTTTTTATGCTTTATGGCAAGATATGTACAAAATTTTGTGATGTACTTTTGACTGTGACTTGAGTTACATGTTGTACATTGAATAAATGAATATTAACATTTTTTTTAACTGAGTTGGGCCAGATTCAAAATGACAGATTTTAGTATTTGTTACTATATGCTAGCATGTTCATATCTCCCAATATGGTCAAGTTGTATATCTTTAGAAAGCGTTTGAATGCTGGTTAATGTTCACTTAAGAATTATGATCATAAAATCAACAAAATTTGTGTTATTTGTGGTTAAATTTTGACCAATTCAGTAGAAAATAAACAATCTTATTTTTGTTTACATTTTTATTATACAACAAATAGATTTTTATATGAAAAAGTGACATAATCAAAATAATTATTTTTTAAAAAAGTCATAAATTAATGTTAATATGAAAATATGCAACAAATGATGTTAATGGCTAACAAATTTTTATTGACATGCTACACTAAATGCACAAAACAATCAAATTTTCAGTATCTTACTTATTATAAAACGCAGATTGTGTGTGTGTCTGTACGTTTATATATTGGATCGGATTTCCTACATTTTTCAACCGATTTCAACAAAACTTCACAGGACTACGTAAAATTACCTTGCAGTGGTTCTAACAGCGCCAAAAATTGGAAAAACACAATTGTTTTTGCACGAAATCAATTTGAAAACACGATTAAGAGGCATCGCTGTCGAGAATGAAAGGGGGACAACTCATCGAGTGTGTGTGTGTGTGTTCATTTATATATGGGATCGGATTTCCTACATTTTTCAACCGATTTCACCAAAACTTCACTTTTTTTTGGCAGGTACTGTTTCTTATTGTCTTGCACACTTTTTTCTTTATTTTTACATTCAGAATGCTTTAAAAATTCCATTTACAAGACAATTGTTTATAATAAAATTCTATTCAATCGGTAGACTCATAATGATTGAAAACAATGTTTTTGTTTGAGTTTGGGTTTGACCAATTCGTAAAAAAAAAAAAAAAAAAACTAATTAAGACATGCGTGTCCGTCAATCTTAAACAATAATCTTTGTCAATTTTATTTTTCAGTCTTTATGATGGTCGATAATTGATCTATCTCTTACTGTTACATTCCCGGGCAATGCCGGGCTCTACTTCTAGTTTTTATATATATTTAATAAATAAAGTTTTGATCTGAAAAAGTGATACATTGAAATGAATATTTTTTTTTAAATTCTTAATATTTACAAAGAGAATAACAAGAAAACCCATTGTCAAATAAAATTATCAGCATTACCCAAGCTTTCTGAAAGTGCTTCAACATCAGGTGAAGACCAGTCACAGCCTTCTAGCATTTTTGGAGATACTGAAAATGAATTGCAACTTTTTAATGAGTTACTGTCAATGATTAGTGAATCACCAATCAAGCATCAAAAACTTTATGAACAAACCAGTTATGGGGAATAAAAATTTGGATAAATTAAAGGAGTAGTATGAAAGAAAATTAAACTGATTTTCACAAAAATTTCTCATCAAGAATCTACTAAGGGTAGAAGAGTATGAAAGATCTGATGTAAGTAAAATTATTACACAATTAAAAGAAAAGTTTTCAGCTTGTGAAAAGAGATCCCAAAAAGTACAAATTTTGAAAATACTTCAAAAATCTGACGTATCCAAAGAATTCAAATGGAATTTTACACTACACCATACATGGCAACACGAGTCAAAAAATTTGTAAATGAACAAGCAATATTATCCCTACTAAATATATGAAAATGTAGATTCCCACAAGAGATAATTGACAAAGTTGTGCTGTTTTATAAGAGTGAAGCAGTCAGCAGAATGATGTTTGGAAAAAATGACTATAAGGCAGTCTTAAAGAATGGTAGAAGAGTTCAGGAACAAAAGTGCCTTATATTTTGTAACCTGAAAGAGGTGTAACAATTATTTAAATTAAAACATTCAAACAGGATTAGTTTTTCAAAATTTACTGAGCTCAGACCAAAAGAATGTATCCTAGCAGGTGATGCTAGAACATACTGTTTGTATTTGTACAATGCATCAAAATATGAATGATGATTGTGGAGCCTCATCTTGGTCCACTGACTCAAGATGAACAATATTCTTTTAACAAATTACCACCAATGCATAGCTGATGTTACATGCAATGAAGCAACCTCTAACTGCCACTTGGGTGACTGCTCAACTTGTAGCAATTTGATGGAGGATTTTGTTTTATATATATAGAAGAAATTCTAAATAAAAATTTAATAGATGATTTTATTTACAAACAGTGGCTATCAACTGATAGAATCACACTGCAAACTGTATTATAATCTACAGAAGAATTTATTGAAACCTTTTGTGTAGGGCTTCAAATATTCTCTTAAATTAATCTTTTTGTAAATGTTAGCATTTATGAAGAGATTAACAAGCAAACTTTTTTTTTTTTTTGTTGGAATACATGTTTAAATAGAAAATAAAAATTTGGATATGCAAACCACTTACTTTTTCATTCAATTTTTTTTTTTTTTAGTAATAACCAACCTTGATTGTATCTTTAAGGTTATTTCAAGAAATTCTCTTTCCTAAAATATTTGAAGCTTTTTCCATCTCAATTTTGAAAGTTTATTAGTTCTTCCAGGTAATGCTGATAATTCTATTTGACAATGGGTTTTCTTGTTATTCTCTTTGTAAATGTTAAGGATTTTTTTTAAATATTCATTTCAATGTATCACTTTTTCAGATTAAAACTTAATTTATTAAATATATATAAAAATACTGAAAATTTGATTGTTTTGTGCATTTAGTGTAGCATGTCAACAAAAATTTGTTAGCCATTAACATCATTTGTTGCATATTTTCATATTTTATATTAACATTAATTCATGACATTTTTAAAAATAATTATTTTCATTGTCATTTTTTCATATAAAAATCTATTTGTTGTATAATAAAAATGTAAACAAAATCAAAAGTAAGATTGTTTATTTTCCACTGATTTGGTCAACATTTAACCACAAATAACACAAATTTTGTTGATTTTATGATCATAGTTCTTAAGTGAACATTAACCAGCTTTATAAAGATATGCAACTTCACCATATTGAGTGATACGAAAATGTTAGCATAAAGTGTTAGATACCAAAATTTTGAATTAAGTCCAACTGAAAACCCTTGTAACTCAGGCTGCAGCCCAAATTCCACAACAAAATTTTGTACGTCTTGCCATAAAGCAGACAAATTTGTTGACAAATTTAAAAAAAAAAATTAAAGACACGTTTTTGAGAAATTAATGGTCAAAGTATAAGTTCATGGTCAAATTATCTTATTTGATTTTTAAATAAAAAATAGATCACTTTTAGATCTATCTAAGTGCTTTAAAATGGTATATAATTTAGCTTTCGGTGAAAAAAACAACTGAGGTATTGATATTTAAATTTTTTGACTATTTTCCAAAATTCACCTTTTTGGCAAGGGTCATATCTGGGAAGCCTTTGACCTAGAGATGTAAAATATGTACCTTTCAATTTCTATCATGAAACTCTATAAGTACCAAAATTAAAAAAAAAAATCTGTGTCGGTGATGGACAGACCTTTGTTGATTTGATACAGAATGGCTCTTTTATGGCAGATAGTATAATCATTATTATTTCTTTTTAAATTAAAAATTTTCAACTGTGTGCATTCAGTCTGTAGTCTTCAAAAAGAGAGAATTGTGAATCTTTGCACACAATAATTTTAAAAAGCTACGTAAAGTGACTTCCATACAGAAAGAAATGTCTGCTAAAAACATTTATAAAATAAGGGGGGGTTAAGACATGGGATGTTATTTTTATTATACAAGATGATCACTGAGCTAGTCTGGCTTTTTTTTTTATCCTGATCTTGTAGTGGGAATAGTATAATTATTATGAAAAAAAATATCAAACCTATTAATCAAAAAAAGAATAATGACAAATTACTATTTAAAAAAGAATTTAGAAAATATATTAATAAATATAAAAAAATGACACATCCTAACTGTCTTTGTTCTAAGGTAAGTTTTTATTTATTATAATTTTTAATTTTCTGATTCATTATTTAACTATCAATATCTATTTCTAAAAAATGCTTGACTGATTGATTTGCATAATTAAAAACTTTATAATCTTTTCAATTTTTCTTTCTTTCTCAACATCATAACAGTTTTTCTACACAATATTGCATTAATTTTTTTTCTCTCTCCTCTAAAGAGGAGGCATGGTGTAATAATAGATAGCAGCTCAGATTGAGGAATCTGAGAGCCAAGTTTGAATTCCATTTGAATCCATTACATTCACTTATGTGCTAATACTCTTGGGAAAGGTATGAATCATCTTCTCCCCCCAGCTATGGGTAAATAGCAGGACAGACCGAGTTCTATTGCCTTGGATGGCAACTGGTCTACCACAGATAGAAATGGCAACCTACTGCAGGGGAAAATCTGCCTTGTCAGTCATGTATTGAAAGATACATGATCGCCTTAAGTGTGTATCACGCATGGCACATAACTGACTAACTCTCTCAAGACTATTTTGTTGTGGAATCAATATCTCACTTTAATATTAAAATTGGAGGAAGTGAATACACATAAATTTTAATTGTATTTTTACAATGAATACTACGGATGCTTTTGTTTTACATATTGTTTTTTGTTCTTTCTTTTAGTGTGAAAAATTGCATTGAAGTGATAAAAAAACAGACAAGATGCCCCGCAAACGTCAAGTCAAGAAAGTAAGAAATGTTCCTGAGGTTCCCGAAGGAGATGAAGGCAAAGATCTGACTCGTGAAGAACAACAACAGAAATTACAAGTTTTCCTCGTGGATTTTGATCGCAAATGTATGAAATCATTATCTCTCTCAAAGATAATCCAATATAACCATTTAGATCCTCTTTATTAAATTTAACAATTATAATTAGACTCTTTAACAGCTACCCTATATACTAGAGCAGGGGTTTTCAAACTGTGGTCCACGGACAAGATAGAGGGTCTGTGGACAGCAAAGACTTTTTATGGGTGACGCACAACTTATAATGAACTGGAAGAACTGGCAGAAATTTCAAGCGATAGAACTTTAAAAATCAGTTTTATGAAGCAACAACTTTCGAAATTCTGGCTCACTGTTGCCTCCAAGTAGCCATTGTTATATCTCGAAAGGCAGTTAAGATTTTGTTACCGTTTGCAACAACATATTTATACGAAGTAGGATTTTCGGCACTAACCAATCTGAAAAACAAATACAGATCCAGACTTGCTCCAGAAAGTGACTTACGAGTATGTTTATCAGTAATATCGCCAAGAATTGACAGTTTGTGCAAAGCCAAACAAGCACATCCTTCTCACTAAGTGTGTATTAAAAAATCCTGTGTGTATAATTGACAATAAAACTATTTGTTAAATACTATTACTGTTTTCATATACATGTAAAATTAATATTTAAATATAACAAAATTTAATTCTGTTACATTTTGCAGCAACATGCAGCATTAATTTATTTGAACACTTATGTCTAAAGTAAGCTTTAAACCAGCTTTTATTGCATTAATGAAAAATTATATGTTATATTCAGCAAATATTTATGTATAAATTTCATAAGCGTTTATAAGAGAGTCCCTAAGGTAAAGCCTGAAATATAAAGGGGTCTGCAAGTCAAAAAGTTTGAAAACCCCTGTACTAGAGTATAGGGTAAGATTTTATGGTCAGTTTTATACACAAAAAAATAGTCTATGTCTGCCTTTGCAGGAGAAACTGTTGTTGGATCTGACATGGTTTAACAACTCGGCTACAGCAAGGTTTAATTTTTCTTTTTTAAGCAAGGTTTAATTTACAGTTTCTCGGGGGGGGGGGGGCATATGTCCAAATCCTGCTTGAGGGCATATCTTTTTCTTTAATAAGATTTCTCAAATATTCAGTCCAGTAGACAAAATACTGTTTAAATTAAACAGATGATTTACTCAAATACATGTATCCGTGAAAGATAACATTTAAAGTAATGAAAATGTTGGATCAATAAATAAAATCAGCTATTTTTCTTTTTTAGAAACTGGCAAATGTCTGTCATAATACTTTTTTATTCTCTTCCTTTTCAGTTGAAGAAAAACAGCAGGCAGTACAACGTAAGATTGATCTTACCATGAAACGGATTGACACATACTGTCAGATGGGCATACAGCAGATACCAAAGGTTTGTCTTCTGTTTTGTTTTTTCCCCCCCTCATAAATATTAGGTTTTCCTACAGATTTTTACAGATGATAATTGATGATAACTGAAACTAACGTTTCACCATTACAACGTATGACAGCCTAAATGTGTATAAAATTACTAATATATGTCACCCCAAATAATTATCTGAAAATGCTTGCTGATTTCATACTGACTGATTTGTATAAATATCATAAGTTAGGTAGTTGATTTTGTTAATGTCAACCCTTTTTAGGTTATTTAACATCAAAACATATTTTTTATTATGGTTAGATCTGTAGGAAAACATTGGTCAAGTTTATACTTGCCTGCAAGCATTCACACGGGCAAGGCTCCTTGCTAATTTGATCATAACTGGGCCTCCATACATGTTAGATTAATACATTCTTGTTAACCTGATATTTGTCAGATAATATAGTCCTTTCAGTATTCAATTTAAAACATTCTTACCAAAATTCTGTTTCATGCACAACAGAAAAAATAATTACCCTATTTCACTGTCATCCTGGGTATGATGATAAACTACATCCGGCAGCAAGGCCTCTGATCAAAGATTGGAAATTTTGAGAAGCATGGAACCACCTCTTAATTGCTTTTGTTCCCAGGTCCACCCTGACCCAAGGTGGTAACACCAGTTAGGATCCTAACTCTGGGCAAATAGTTACCCCCATCCCTTCAAAAAACTGGAGTCAAAACACTATGAAAGTATAGAAATAGATTTTTATACTAAAAATATATTTTCATAGTAAAAAAAAAAAAATTACCAGCAATAGATTTTTGAAAAGAAATTACTGATGCTCCCAAGAAAATTAAATGACCCATAAGGAGTTGATATGCCACTAAACAAACATTTCGCTGCTTATTAGGCACTCCCAACTTTGAAGGAAGAAACCAATGGGGAAGGGTCCTTGTACTTCATAGCCCTCCACACTATCCCCAATTTTACCAACTGAATAATATATTTCAGCATGAAACTCTGACTAATGACAAATTCTATAAGCATGATTATTTTATCAAGCAAAAATACCAAAGTTGTGCTAATGAAAATAGCATTATTCTTAAAGTGTCTACCATAAATGATGCTGCTCTGTGACCAGTAGCTTAAGAAATATGGAAGAAAAGGTGGTTTTAAAATTTAAACAAGTGTTACTGTAGCAGGGATTTTGTTTCCTATCAATACCCCAACTGCATAAATAGCTTCTCTCAAAACGTGAATTTAATTTTGAAACACTGGACTTATTTTACTTGCAAGGTCTCGGAATCAGATGTAGCTGGGGAGCTGATGCTCACCCCCACACCTAAAACTTATAACTCCCATCACCAACCTTTGATTTATAGGATGCAGGGTAGTTTTTGGAGATATTCTATAAGGGAAAAAAATTTGATAATTTTTATTATAAAGAATTTTGGTTGGAATATTATTAAATTCTGTAAACCAGTTTTTTTTTTTTTTTTTTTTAAAGAACTTTTATACCATTAGAGGTATAAATTTTTTTTTTTTTTTTTTATAAAACTGGTTTACAAAAATTCTACCCCTTGGTCATCTTTGCCACTGTAGTTTCATGGTTGCTCACCAGATGGCAGTGATGCATTCGTGGTCTGTAAGAGATTCTTCCAGTTCAGAGAAATCAGTTTAGTTCCTAAATTGCTATTTTAAATGATAACACAGGTGCCTTAGAGTTAACTCTTTTCACTTTAACCAATCAAGGCCAATCACAATCATTGTAAACTCCATGATCTTTTCATTAGCTGCATAGTATGTGGTTCACCAGGGCTACATACAGTTTTGAATTCAGGGTTGTCTTTCTCCTGGGCCGGCTGCCACCCAAGGCCATGGAACAAGGGTCGGCAACCTACGGCCTGTGGGCCGAATCCGGCCCGCCGAGATATTTTGACTGGCCCGCAAGCCTGATTACCAATGACTCTATTTTTAATATGAGAGACGAGGCTTTCGAATTCGACGAAAAGCCTGCTGTTATGTCAGTGCACTAAAAATATTAGACTATCTGTCAGTTATCTTTCATGAGACTTATTTTACCAAGTTGCGTTGCCTACGTTTAATGTCAAATAATGGATACATATTTGTTATGACCCTTGGATACATTAAAAGATAACAGAAGTGAAAGGAATGATAAAGTGAAAGAGGCCAGGGAGGAACTGACATGCGAGGTAGCAGAAATCTAAAGACAGTTAAACATACGCGCATTATACATACATGCGTCATGGATGTGTGGATGATACCGCATGTATATGTACGTAAGTGTATATGTTTGCAACTATTTGTACTCGTATATATGGGTATATGTGCTTCGTTTTCGTTTGTGGAACAATTTTCAATAACAGTTTCAAACCTATGTCATAATTTCATCCATTTGACTTCGGGTGATTTTGTTGTTCCTTGAGGAAAAGTAATTTTCGTTAGGTGTTTTTTAATTTTAGATTTTCTTTTGTTTTTCTGATTTCTCAATGTTTATTTTCATTATGGTTTTAAATATTTAGGTTGACAGGGGTCTGCATATGTAATTTTCCTTATTTTTTCATTAATGGCCTTCGTCCGGCCCGCGACCCATCATTATAACACGATCCGGCCTGCAGGGTCAAATGAGTTGCCGACCCCTGCTATAGAACATGGCTGTCCTACTATTTACCCATAGCAGGGAGGGGGACAGTGGATTCATACCTTTCCCAAGGGTATTTGGATGTAACAGACTTGACTGGAATTTGAGCTTGGCTCTCTAATTTCCAATCTGAGCCACTATCCATTATTCCACTATGCCTCCAGCTTGTATTCACTTAAACAGGATGTTAGTCATGGACATCATGATTATGAATCCCTATAACCCCTTAGGGTCATATTGGCATCACATGTACTGCAACTGCAATAGTTGTGGTGTTTCATGGGCAAGACAACCTGACAGAGCCCAACCCTTTCCTGGTTGGTTCGAATTCAGTTTTCCTCCTTCTAGACTGGTTGTCAACCAAGGCTATAGGGTCCAATCTGTCCAGTATTTACCCATAGATGACGGGAAGAGATTGTTTTAAACTTTTCCTAAAGGTACAAGCATATGGGTAAATGTAATGAACTCTAGAATTTGAAATCTGTTCTCCGATTCCTCAATCTGAGCTGCTATCCATTATCCACTTTGTCTCTCCTTCATGGATATCAATCTTGCCAAAAGTTATAAATGGGTGCTTCAGACTTGCTTTACTGCTTATCTTGAAAATGAATCCTCATTAGAAACTACAAAAATTATTGTAGTTGTTAATTTCAGTCCACTTTTATTCCCATCATGTTAACGATTTTGATTTTTGTCTTCAACTCTTCAGAATAATAAAAAATTGCTTATTCATATTATATCAACTTATCTGTAGGTTGTCTATTGTTTTTCTTTTCCTTTTTTTCTAGTCCTTACGAAAGATGAAGTTAATAGATTTTATAGGTAAGTACAATCCATCTTTTTAAATAGCAAAGAATTATCTGTCTATATTTCTGAGATGAGGTATTATGTACATTATACCATAACCAGGTATTGTGTCCTTGAGGACACATGGCACAGTGGATAAAGGCATTGGTTAGATCCAATGACAGGACCCAAAAAGTGTGAGTTCAATACCCAGTTAAGGCAGTGGAGAACTTTCAGAGGGAAATTAACAGGAGATAACTGACATCCATTAAACATGGCACGTGGAACTAGAACAGTCTACCCCAGTGAGTGAAATAAAGGGTTCAGTTCGACATTCCAACCACCTAAAGAAGGCCGGAGCATACAACGGCCGAAACATTGTAATAAATATGGCGACAAAGATGAGGACAATAGTCCGAATAATGTAAATAATGTAGCAAAGAATTACTCTTGTATGAAATGTCTATTTTTAGATTAATTGTAAAACATTTTAAACTAGCCTAATACCTCAAAATGATTTAGATTATGTATGGGTGAATTCCACATATAAAGTGATCTTTTAGTTAAGACAAGATAAAAAAAAATATAGCCAATTTTCATGAATTTATCCTATATCTGTAGTATAAGACAACTGCTTATTGATTATATAAAGATGATGTTATTGGAAATGTCGTTACTTAATGTATCCTTGGAAATTCAAAATAAACAAAATAACAAAACCAATTCTATATCATGTTTTTCATATACATGTCCCCTAAAAGTTAATCACATTGTTTTGTTTGTTTCTTCACGTGATCTCTTGCGAATACTGATACTTCTTCTATATCTAAACAGATACAGCCTGGTGTACTAATTGCCATTTACTTCATTGACAATCACAAATTGCCACTAATACTAGTACTATAATAGTACATTCCAATTTCAACATCTATAAAAGGATTTTTTATTGAAAAATAAAGGTTGTATGTTGTTATTTAACACAAAAATGATAGTGAAGTTTTAATGAGAAATGAATATTATGTTATCCTAAATGTTATTACTGGTGTAATTAACACCACCACAATGGCGAAACATGGGGTAGGGGACATGGATAGGCAGCCACCTCTGGGTGCAAAATCACTTGATGATTGGCAAGTTTATTACAAGCAAATGTTCCATTTCCAATATTTTCACAAATAACATAATCTCACCAAACTTATTTAGATGTTGTGAAAAATTAAGACCCAGTTAGGATAGGCCAAGGTCTAACACCTTTATTGGCAAAAATGTCAAATTAATTAAAAAAAAAAAAAAATGGTGAAAGAGGACCTAAAATTTCCTCCTTTTTATTTACCTTAATATCCTTTTTGTGACTGCCTACAGATACTTATTTCATTAATGGTTCATCATGAAGTATTTTGATGATAGCATTCAGTAATTCTTCGATGATGCACAGTGTGGACAGAAGTGTATGACAGCCAAAACATGAAATGTATTAAAGAAACAACAAAGTGTTGTTTAATTCTGTTTTCCCTCAGTTGAGGCCATACTGAAAACTAATCCATATTAATGTTTTAAGATGCATTCCTAGGATGGTAAACCCAGTGTTTCTTTGTAAAGTGGTAACAATGGTAATTTTTCTCCTTACCTCATTTGGTAGATCATAGCAATGAATATATAAAAGATTCAGACGTAATGGTCTTATTGTAACTCCGTGTCAGATATAGTGCTGTATATTCCCATATACAGGGTTTTGATGCAAAAAGATTCATGAGTTTTATGGCACAATTTTGGCTGTCGTTAGCAATGGCAAAAGCTTTGCAGGGTGTTTTTTGTAGCCTTTGCTGCTATAATATTATTATATGATAATACTATGCTGAGAAATTCAAGGTCTTTGAAGTTTATTACAGAAAGCCATGCACTCCTGAAAATATAGGGAAAAATGCTTTATTGCAGCCATATATAAATGTATCCAGCTGTAACTTAGGATAGATTCTGATATTGGCCCCTTTTGTTTATTCCAGTCTTCATGGCAATGTTGTCACATTGTTATTAACTGTGGGATGGTGTTATGGCATTGTTGCACTAAGGCTACATGGTGCTGTCATTCAGTTGCCAATAAACACCTGTATAAGACAAACTAGCCTAATGATATTTATATAATTAAGTGGGACAGCTATACTTTTATTTCAGGCAGGAATTTTAAGAATGAAGCAACATGGGCAACAAAAGAATCTAGTGTGGAAGGAAGAAATTGTAGGAAAAGAGAACAAGATGATGTACAGAAATCCAGTCAAGTTATGGAGATGGTGACAATCACATTGTTTCTCCACTTGTTCTTGCTGGCTTTGACTGCACATACACAGCACCAAGATCAGTGGAGCAATCACCATATTCACCAGTACTGCCAGCACCAACACAACTGCCTCTACCATTGAAAGACAAACCATACGGTTTTATTGGATGCTTCTGATCAGCCTTCATTTTCATTTCCTTGTCAATCAGATTAACATGCACAATATAATGAAACTAAATATACAGTATTAACCAAGAAAGATGCAGATTGCTTAAATTTTTATATAAACTGCGATAAACCACAAATTTCTGATGAGCTATGTGTACAAATGGTGAAGATGGGTGTTAAAGTTTTTCAAAAGAGAGACGGCCCTTACAAAAGATCAGGAGGTTCTTGAGAGCTGATGTGTTGAAGTGATAAGAAGTGAAACTAACATAAAACATGTGGATGTCACCTGCAGTTTCACGAATTAGTGGTTTCAAAGAAAACTACAAGATAGGTCTATGATTCCACGTAGTTAGTTGTTGTACTCTGTTGAAAATGATGCATTGTATTGTTTTTGTTGTTTATTGTTTTCAACAGTCCCTGTCAAGCAAAGCACAGTATTCAAAAAATGCTGTAGATTCTGAAAATGGAAAAAATGCACTGAAAGAATACCAGAACATGAACACTCATCACCTTGCATCATTTCTTGTATAGAAAGACTTTGAGAGACACATATCAGAATGGTCCACGATTGACATAGTAATAGTGAAGCATATGAAGGAACAGAAGCAATTGTGGAAGGATCTGCTCATGTGTTTTGTGGATTGTATTAAGTTTTTGGTAACTCAAAATCTGGCATATCATGGACACCAAGAAGTCATTGCATCAAGTAATAAATTTAGTAATTTTCTTGCATTTGTTAAACTACTTAGCAAGTACAACCCTCTATCGCAGCATCATCTGGATTATGTGAAGTTGCATCCAAATTCTGCAGCATTTTTGTCTGGTAAAATACAGAATGAATTCATTGAGCTACTGGACAACAAATTACGTCCGTCTATCCTACAGAGAGTCAAAGAAAGCAGATTCTATGAGGTTATATTCAACGCTACTGCCAAATTGGAATAAGATAGTCTTGATTTGAACAACTGTCATGGACAGACTATGACAATGCTGCAACAATAGCTGGGAAAATGTCCAATGTCCAGAAAAGCATATAGAGAAACCAAAAAGCAATCTTTGTAAATTGTGACAATCATTTTTTTAACCTCGTGAGAGTTCATGCAGCATCAGAACTGGTGTTTGTTATACCATTTTTTGGAGTTCTTGATTCATTGTACAATTTTTTTCTCCAGCTCAATACGGTGGGAGAAATTGAAGAAGACAGTAGGGACAACTGCAAAGCAGCCCCCTGATACAAGAGGGCGTGCTAGGCATGATGCTATTCACGTAACAACAAAGTTGGCTGATATAGCTAAATTGTTGGAGGATATGGCAAGTGACACTTCAGTATCAGTTGACACTAGAAGTGATGCCAGCTGCTTGCTGCACAACATGCAAACTTTCAGCTTTCTATGTTGCCATTCTGGGACGACATCCTGGCTTTCATCAACTGAGTACAGAAGAGACTTCAGTGCCTTAGAATGAATCTCGGTGAAGCTCAAGCTGACATTCGTTACGTTATGAATGAACAAGATTCTCTATAAAAGTCTGAGGAAAAATGCTTTCATTAAACCAAAAACCCCAATTGAGCTTTTTATCATAAGATTTTACAGCGATGTATTCCCCAATTTATAAGTAGCATTGTGTTGGCTGTTGCTGTCTCTGTGACGTCCTTTCAGCAATTCTAAATTAATAAAAAAAGTATCACCAAATCACAATGGCTCAGGAATGGCTAAGCAATTTGGCTTTATTAAGCATTGAAAATGAAGAATTTGAACATATGAATGTGGATGGAGTTATTGACAAATTTTTAACCAAACCTGGTTGTATGTCTTGGCTTTACGAATTTCAAATAGATGAAATGAATTGCTCTAGTCTTGACATCTTTTAATTCAGGTTTTGTCAATACACCATGGTTGAATTGTATTTAAATGCCTCTTCAGATTATTTGTATTCATGTGAAAAATTTAGAATTTTGTCCAGTTTCAGAAGTATTTGTTTTTTGAAATCAGGAATAAAATTACTTCTATTTATATTTCCAATTATACTACAGTGATAATCACAAAAAGTATTTGTATTTGAATTTCTAAAAAAAAAAAAAATAGTGTTTGATACATCCTGGTTTGTTGGCCACTGGTTGTGGTAAGGGTGATGAGCCAAGCTCTTTTAGGGTGGGGGATAAAATTTACATATATAGTTAATATATAACTTGATTTTCTATTGTATGGTTGGTTTGTTTGTTTTTTTTTTTTTTAAGTTTCCTCATCAAGAACTTGACTTCACTTCAGTTAAAATATTTTTTTTCTTTTTCCTTAAGCATTGTTTTGACTTTTGTCTTCTAATGCAGCTGCTGGTGGAACATTTGAAAGTGCCTTGGAGTACCTGGCCAAAAAGGACGATGATTCTTATCCTAATCAAAAAAGTGTAGACTCTTTGTAAGTATTCATTTAACCCTTTAGCATTCAACCCACCCAGTAAATATTGGCTTTCAATGTTCAACCTGCCATAATATATGACAACATGATTGCCACAAACAGTGCAACTTTGGGAGCTGATATTTATAGGGTAGGTTTCAGGGTGTTGTATAATAAACAGTTAAATATAACATTGGTTATGTTAGTTTATTTCTTTTTTTTTTTTTTATTATAACTCAGTACCCATGAAAAATAGTATTTATTTATGTTTGTTTCATTTGCATTTTTCTGTTAAATACTTTCGTCTTAATCAGATCTTTTTTTTTTTCTTAATTTCTTGAACTCTGCTTTTCTCCTTTGACCATCAATATTTAAATCTTCTGTGTTTATTGTTAATATGTAAATTGTTTGTTGCTAGATTGGTTTCGGCAAAAACTACCAGCTACATTCCTTAGTTCCACCAGTTCAGAGCTTCACAGCTAACACCTGGTATGCCATGTACACTGAGAGAAATCATCCCTTTGTATTCCATTAGTAAGGAGGAAGTTGGATTCAAACAGCTTCTTTCCAAGAATCACAGCTCTGGAGAAGAGTTTCCTATGCTTCCACGATCGTTACAATCATCACCTCTTCAAGTCTAGGGTCATCTGTTATCTTTTCTACATGTCCTTCTTATCTGCACTTCTTATTTTCTCATCTTACGTTCACACAACCTCATTCGGTAACACTCTACCTTGAGTGGCTCTTGGGCCACAAAAAAGACCATGTGATAAAATCATGGAGATTGATGGAAATGAAATCTTACCTATAATTAAGACACAATTTTTCCCATGTGTTGAAGATTGGCTCTAATCAAAAAATATTTCAGAGCAGAAGAACATTCTCTGGATGGAATATCAGGGCCAAGATGACTATATATGACAAGCCTACACAAAATACGAAGTGCAGGGTGAATGCAGCCCATGAAACCACTACTAGTAAAAATAGGATAAATTCAGTTTTGTAGAATCATAACTTTATTCAACCAGTATTTGTTTTTAATTGAAACATATCACTTTTAGAATGCATTAGAACCTTTTTTGTTTTCTTCACTTAGTAATTTGCACTGAAAATTTACTCCTGCAGTCTGCGACAAACTTTCAGCAAGCAATTTGGCCCTTCATATTTTTAATTGTTCAGGTCTGCTCTGGAGGCAAATATACTGATGATGATGATAAAATAAGTTTTCATAGTTGGTACAAGAATAGACTTGAACATTACATTGGTAATAGTATTTCTATTTTGCTGGTTTACATCAATCAGATTTTGATAGTATGTCTGGAGAAGATAAACCTTGACCATCCCCCACCCCCACACCTTTGTTGAATGGCAGTCTAGCAGAATGGTGTCTGAAAGTGTATATGAAACCGGCATGTGCCACTGAATTTTATATAATAAAATATTACCAGCAATAAAAATCTTGTCAGCATTAAATAACCCATTGAGGTGTTGATATGCCATAAAACAAAACAAATCAAACTAATCTATTTCTTTTTGTGTTCTTTCAGGAGATCTATTGGGCAAGGAAAGGCTCCTTCAGACAATCAATTATACTCAGATCCTGTACGTATTGTTTAACCTAGTCTCTTCTCGGCATGCAAACTGCTGCCCCCCCCCCCCCTTTTTTTTTGGGTTAAGATGAATTATTTTTGTTTCTTACAGATATCTGTAAAGAAGCTTTGTCACTATTGTTTTGCCTTTAATTTTAATGCACTTTTCTTTTCTTTTTTAATTTTTTTTTTTTTTTTTTTTTTAAGCTCTCTAGTAATTTAATTGAAGAATATTTTCTTACTTTGCTTGCCATGGTAAACAAATAACTTTACTGACAAAATTACCAAATAAAAGTGAGAAATGCACTGAAACTTTTTTAAAAAGTCTACAGGAAATATATGATTTTTTTTTTTTATTATCCTCCCAAAATATGGGATCAAAAGGTTTTTTTTAAAAGAGAAAAAAAAAGAAAAGGATCCAAACATTCAAATAAGTCTATTCTTGTTATTTATTGGAAATTTGCTTTGATTTTTGTTGGAACAATATTAAAACCTTTTTTTATTAAAGATTTCACCAAAATTTCTGAAACTTTTTGTAGCTGATCAAAAATTTACCCCATTTTATAAAAATGCAGTTTGTATAGTTTTGATTTTATAATTTTATCTTTTAACAGTTCTTTCAGAAAATTGCAACAGACTGTGGTAAGTGAAATTTTTAAAATATTTTCTTTATAAGGAGCACTTCAGAACAAATGTTTATTTTCCTTTTAATTTTTTTTTTTTTTAAAGTAATTGAAAGTAATTTCAAAATTGTTTAATTTTTTTTAATGTACAAATCGAGTTAAAAATTCTGCTTCATGTGAAACAAATTCTATTTATATTCATAACTGCAGTGGTTTGTAAAATTTTGTTTTTAAATATAAAAAAAAGTTTTACCTTGCTTAACACTAAAATTTAATTTCTTTAGACTTTATAATTGTCTCTTTTGTTAACCCTTTTCAGCATCAATTATAGAACTTGAGAATCAAATACCAAAGTGAGTATTTTATCTTTTCTCCTAATGAAAAAAAAATCTGTTGCTGTGTCTGTCCCATAAAAACTTATATTTAGTCTATGAAATTAGTTTGCAAATGTAACAACTATTTTGGGACAGAGTAAGTATTTACTCCATGAGACTAAACATCTTTAAGCTTTGTTAATTCTATGTAAATTTCTTCAGTTACTTATAAAAATTCAATTATTTTCTTGGGAAGAAAAAGTAACTCAAATATAAGATTTGAACTGCATGCAAATTATAAAGTTATAAAATAATTTTTGTAATATATTTCTTTGGTCAGCAATTAAAATTTCCTTCTTTTTTCATATATATAAAAATAGAACCAGCAAGAAGACTCTTCAGGCTCAGGATAAATCTTCCTGTCCTTCAACTGCTAAAAAAGTAAGTTTTTTTTTTTTAACCCTTAAAACATAAAAAAAAAACCTGATATTAAGTCTTGAAAGATGTTTGACATTAAAACCAGCATTTCTAGATAAGCTTAATTAAATGTTGACAAATTTTTTTTGCTTACAAAATTATACTTACTTCAATAAGAATTGAAAATATGAATTATATACTTCCAAAGAAAAGTGATACCTCGCATTTAAAATTAATTTTTCAAAATGAATAATCTTTCTTGGAGCTTTCATTTTAGTTTTAATTTCAAGCTAATACAATAAATTTGATATTTTCAATAAGCGAAATATTTTGCTGTATTTCAAGATAAGCAAAATATTTTTGCTGTATTTTAAAACAAATTGAATGATTGAATTAATTTTTTTTTTTTAATGTGCTTTTTGAAATTACTGATTTTAACTATATTTACAAATCTGTCAGCACAATATAATTCTCATTTTTAAAAAATCTTTAAAAATATATATACAGTGTGCGATGGATAAATTCTTGCTTAAATTATAAAAAAAAAATGAAACTAACACTGACATCTCATTTACTAAAATTACACAAAAACATCTTAAAATACTAAAGAGTAAATTTATTCAATAAAATCACCATTGGCTTCAACCACAGCCACCAGATAATTACAGAATCTCCTGTGACGTGATCTCCTTGATTAAGCTGGTGAATACTGTCATAATCTTTGCCTTTCATTCATCATTGGTGTTACAGGGTGTTTGTCTCTCACTCAACTGCACCTCGCACATAATTTATCAATGTAGTTGTAGTCAGGGTAGTTTGGTGGACAGATATAAGGGGTGATGTGGTCACAGAAATGGTCTGACAGCCATGACTGGTATCTCCTGCTTGTGTGTCTTGGTGCAGAGTCCTGTTGCCAGACATAGGGTCTTCCAGCACCCACCCTCTTCACCCAGGGCAGCACTTGATGTAAGCCTTTGTGTTGGGTCTGAGGCCCTCACCAACAAATTCAGGAGTTTCTCATCCAACTCTTTACGAATCCTCTGCACTGTCTTCAGCATGACACCCAAACACTCTGAAATGTTCGTATTGGAGCTTCTGGCACAAATACCAAGCAGTACAGCATGCTGTTTCAAAGTTTCTGGTGGAGTGAATCGCATTGTGGTGCACTTTTTCTTAGACAATGCCCAACTTATCCTATTATACTGTGCAAAAACAATGCGTATGCACAAAATTAAAATATGAAATTGCAATAATTTACCCATTGCACCCTGTATATTTACCTGAAACTTTATTTGAAGATTAGTGAATTTAAAGTAAATTCCTCCACTAAATTTTCAATACCTAAGGTCTAAAATGAATTTTTAAAAATAAAAAGGCATTCTTGAAGATTTTATTTTAGCTTTAATTGAAAGCTAAATGATTAAATTTACTATTTCCAGTAAGCAAAATACTCTGGTGTGCTTCAAATAGAAATTATATAGATTGGAACATCAATTTTTTTGCTCGCTTTCATAAAATCCATTACAAACAGCTATTCTCTACATTTTAAGATATCTGTAAACAAAATTTAATTATTGGTTTTAAAAAATCTTCCAAGAATAAAATATATATTTGTGACACAATATTTGAGGAAAATTAGCAAATTTAAATTAATCTGATTTGAAACAAATATTACTTGTTTATAGCAGAAAAAAAAACGTAGTATACAAGCATTTCTTAAGCATGTGTCCAGTTTTTCTGATGTGCTGATTGATCCTATTGACAGGCTAAGGTGTTGACATTATGGATGACCAGAATTGACTTACATTTATGAAATCTAAGTGAATGCTTTTTTTTCTTTTTTAACTACCTACTAATTTTTATAAATTGACATAATATTTTCAGCAATTATCTAATATTTAAAGCTTTAAAACTTGAAGGGATGATGTGCAATAGCCTGTTGAGATGTAAACATGCAGTCAATAACAAATTGCAGACAAACAACTCAGTAGAGAAGACAACACTTACAAGTGACCTTTTTAATAATGTCATGTACATGCAACTATAGATATAAAAAGGGTAATGTTTAAACCCCAAACAAAAAAATTTTAAATTTAAGAATATTGGGTGTAAATGACTTAAACTTTTCAATTTTTGATTCGTAAACATAGTTTCCATTTAATTACAATATCAACTAAGAGAAAGGAAGCAATGCAGAGTTTTAAATGATTTTTAAATTATTATAATTAAAATTTTTAATAAAATGAAAAAATTCTTGTGAAAATTCATTATTTATCAAATAAAAATTTTTTGTTAAGACAATAGTGTCCTTTAATGTCTTATTTATAAAAGCTTTCCTAATTAAATAATGTCAGTTTTATTGCTTTATTTTTTTTTTCTTTCTCTCTCTCTCTCTCTCTCTGTTTACTATTTGGAGCAGATTTTCAGTAATGGCAGGGTGGGGGTAGCATGTATAAAAAGGGAATAAGTCCAGAAAATTTCATTAAAATCCAACAATTATTTGATTTTTTAGCAAGAATTTCCAAATCAATGCTTTTTCTCTGGAAAAAAAAAGCACAAAGACACTAATAATTATTACGTCAACTATGACATTAAAAAAAAATTTTTTTAACCAAAATTTCAAACATGCTAGAAAGGATTAAAAAAAATTTAATAATATAATAGAAAATACTTTGGACTTTCCTCTTAATAACACAAACATTTTGACAATAAAACTTTGTTTATATTAAGTTAGGCCTATTTTCATCATGCTAGACCTTTTTTTTTTCTTTAGCAAAAAGGTACATAATTTAAAGTCTTTTTTTTTTTAACATGAACATGGGTGTTTTAATGAGATGTTGGCAACTATCAATAGACTTATGCTTGGAAATTTTTTTCTATGGGGGACATTTGTAAAAATTACGTAAAAAACTTTATATATATATATATTTTAAAAACCAGTAATCTTAAAAATTTAGGAAAATATTCAAAGTAATCTGATTTTAGATACTTTGGCTTTAAATTTATTAAAGTTACCACTCTTATTTTCTGATGTTGCGTATGGTCATCTGTATTTACAAAAATCAGCAACTTCATACACACAAAAGAAAAATGGAAAATTCATTTAAAAATACTGGGTGGGGGTCACTGAATTGTCGTAGCTTTACCATTTATGATTTAGTAAATACAGTTTTTACTTAATGACAATATCACCTAATCTCTACAAATTAATATAGAATTCTAAAAGTTTTCAAACTTTATAAATCATTCAAATTAAAATTTAAAAAAATGAAAACAATTCTTGTAAAAATTTATTTATCGAAGAATATTTCTTAAGACAATAGTATACATATATCTTCTTCATAAAAGCAATTAAAAGCTTTTCTAATTAAATAATATCTTAGTTTTATTGCATTTTTTTATTCTATAAATCAGGCTGAAGGTTTTGGGGTGGGGGTCTGTTTTAGAAAAAAAATTGATTTAAATTCTTCAAAGACTTCTGCTTATAACTAGTATAAACATTAAGCTGTACAGAAATGAATTTCTTGAAATTTTGTAATTTTATACCAGGACTTTCTATAAGAAAAAAAAAAATTTCTAAAATAATTTCATTCATTTATGAATAAGCCCTTAAAGTTTAATTAAAATCTGACAATTATTTTATTTTTTTTTGATAAAATTTCCCATATTAATTTATGATCACCTGCTGATTCAAGAAGAAAAATTAAATTATCCAAAATTTTGAAGGCCCTGAAAAGGATAAAAATAATATAATCATCAAAATATCCTTTGGTCTATCATTTTAATAAACAAAGACTTTGACAATAGATCTTTGGAGGTACTCATATACACACATACACATTACATGTTGCTTCTGTTAGCATGGATGTTTAAAATAAGCATTCATTAAATCTTTGCTGTAAAATTAAGACTTAGGTTTAAATCCAACATATTTAAAATGTCAAAGTGTGTGTTGAATACTTAAACATTTTGAAATTAAGCCATGGATTTATCTCGATATTTGAGATACTAGATCTAATTTATCTTGTTATCTCCCTCAGCTTAATATTATAGTTGATAATCTTACTCTACTAGTGAAGATCATTTGGCTATCATCCGCTTCACAAAAGGTCACTTACCACTATTTTATTTTTTTTAACTACCCCCACATTCTAGTATTTACATTGTTTTCATCTGATGACGACACATTTCCCTTTATACATAATCAGCCATGCCAGATTTCATTGTCTCACCTCTTGCTACAGCGTTATTTTTAGGGTCAGCTTGTTTCACCTTTATATTCTTTGCCACTACAGTTTTTCTTGGTCATATTCTCCCCCATGTTAAGCTTTACTTAACAGAGATTTCTCTGTAGAGTGGAACTGCTTCTGAATATTGTCCTGTTGTTGTATGGATTGCAGATCTGAATCTTCTTTAATAAGCCCTTGATGTAAGGTAGACAGACTGCAGCAATTTTCTGGTCATCATCCTTGTCCTTTCTGTACCCACCTGTAGACATTGATATGTTATGTTTGCTGGGTAGTTTATGATTTTTACCCAGTGTTGTATACCTCAAACAATTCCTTTCTTCACACTAGATGATGGGAATTGAAGTTGAGGCACTGTCTGGTGAAAGTTGGCTTGTGATATATGGATGTCTTGAACATATTCTCTGTGAAAGTTAATAGTACATCCAAGAAGGCAAGCTGATTATTATTTTCTTCTTCCATTGTGAACTGGATTGAAAGTCTTATTCAGTTTGTACAGCATCCTGGTGTGGCCAGAGTATGGAGGTGTCATCTACATATCTCAGCCATACTGTTGGCTTTAAAGGGTTCAATTCAGAATTCCTTGTAGGTTACCCAGATTGATAAACATCTGAAGAAGGCCAGAGGGCACAATGGCCGAAACATTGTGATGATAACAACAACAAAGATGAGTACAATAGACTGAATATAAATAGTGTAAATAATGATAAATTTTCATCCCAGAAATTCAGTCAGAAGGTGATCAGTGGATAATAACAACAAAGACGAGGACAATAGTCCACATGTAAATAGGGTAAATAACGATAATCCCTCATCCCAGAAATCCAGACAGAAATTAACATTAATTTATATGATAATTTTATTTTTGAGTATTCACAGACTTCAAAATAAAACTGTTTGCCACCTGCTTTGACTGGTGTAAGGAGCTTGAAATATTCTATGCTGTGCTGTTTAGCTTTGTGCACTTTTTTTTCTCTTGTACAGTTCTACAGTTGTTTGTAGGCCCTGAAAACACCCTTCAAATCTAATGTGATACAATGGCCATCCACATAGAAAGGGATGAGGTGTTTTTATCTCGGTCTCGTATTTCTGTATGATGGATCAGCAAATGGTTCCTTTCTGAGGTTCAGTCTTCTAAGCAGCATCCACTGAAGGATGTAAAGGAGTGGATTAGGTATTTTTTGGAGACCAAGTGACAACAAAACTGGTATATCCAGCTGCTGGTCTGTATTAACGATCATACTTGGCATGGGGGAGATGGACATATCCACCACACAGTTCCAAAACCTCTATTTGTATTGCCAGCTATCACATTAGGATGAGTTGGAATGGACACGAGAGCTGCTTGCCTTGACATAGCAGAACTTGTCCCAAGTATCACCAACCTGCCCACCCAGATGAGCAGGCGAAGTCCTGAATAAAACCTTGAAATGGGAAACAGCATTCTTATTTCTCAACATGGCATTTCTTTCATCATGTTACCTTGTGAACATGCAGCATGCCCTTCCACAGATTTTCATGCACATCAATGAAATTGAGAATCAGAATGCAACAAAGTAATCATTAGCCGGACAGTGGGATGCTTAGGCGAGGGTCACGTTTGTATGTTTACATAAACTTACATACTCTTTCAAACTTAAAGTAGTTATTTTCTGCATTTCATTGTAGCGCTGTCATAGCAAAAAAAAAAAAAAAAAATCTCACGGTATTACTTTTTGGCCTGGGAACACTCGGAGACTTTTTCCCCATATAAAGTAACAGTAATTACTTTGTTGATTTTATGTGCTTCTAATTTGCGAAAAGTTTTATAAGGATACTCCTACTTTAGGACATCGTTAGGACGCTTGTCTCTACATGATTTAATCAGTCTAATAAATTGTTTGATACATGATTTCTAAAAATAATTATCTTCATTTCTCTTATTCTTTATAAAATTCAATTTTATGCTAAGGTTAACTTCTTTCTTTTTGTAGCCATTGGTACAATTTCAAGAAATGACTAGTAAGTGATTCTTTTTTTTCTTTTTCTATAATCAGAAAATTTTCTGCACATACCAATTGAACTCCCAGGACTTTTACTGTTTTACACAAGCATCCTGTTTTAAATTTCTTGTGCCAATTCCAGATGGATTATCACATATGCAATGACTTTCCTAAATGTGTTCTAAAATGCCATTGCACAGTTGTGACATGTTTTGCGTTAATTCAATCATAAGAAAAACTTTCAAGATGTTCTGCCAAATACTCATTGATAATGGGAAATGGTAAGATAAAGAACAAATTAATATTTTAATGTTTGTTTAACAAGTCAAATGTATGTGAAACATAACCAATGAAAGTTAAACAAAATTTAAAATACCAAAATTCCTTTTTCTCCATATCTTATTCTCTGATGAAACTTTAATAAAAGTGAAACATGTTAGATTGATAAACCTTTCCTATTTGCTCTTTATCTTATCATTCTGTTGGATTCCTATCCATATTTGATCCCAACTGATAATGGGAAATCTTGTGCTACCAAGAATCTGATTGGCACATTGACAAACATTTAATATTTACACTGCTGATCTAATAAATATTTGTGACTATCTTTTGTAATCACAATGTGTCTGTGTTCATCAATTATATAAAAAAAAAAAAAAAAAAATTTTTTTTCCACCCACACTAATATATTTTTCTCAATCTCCTTCCTCATCCATGCACTAATCTCTTTTAACCCTTTGAGCCCTGACCACTGCTTTACCGGTGATAGAGAAAAATAATATAATGCCCAGTCACCAGTTGAACAGTGGGTAAACACTTGTAACTATTTTTATATCTACTGTGAAACATTACATACCAATTATTTACAAATTTTGTCTCTGGAGCTCAGGCAGAAGGGTTAAAATTGTTTAGGAACACAGGATCTCAAAGGGTTAAACACGTAAATCAGCACTATACATTGAAAAATTCCTGATCAAAATTCAGTTCATACCTGTTGGGCTTATTAAACCACCTGTGTGATGGTGGTGGTGTGTGACCAAGTTCCTGGTATGGATTTGAGCAGTAAATGAATCGTTGGCTGATTGTCATTTACCATGTATTTTTTTTTTTTTTTTCTAATTCGAATATTTGTATTTCTCTAAAGTTTTCTTTCTATTCTTTCAGATGATGACATTGATGGCATGGTTACACAAACGCTGTGAGTCTTACACTTGTTATATTTTCACTACTTTTGCTTTTTGATTTTTACATCAAGACAATGGTCTTTTTTTTTTTCTCCTTTTTCTTTTTTTTATCCATTCATTTTAGAAACTTTTTAAAATATTTGAGGGGATAAGCAATTTTATTTTGCCTATTCAAAAGATAAAGACCCCTTAAAAATCTCAGATTTCATATATAATAAACAAATTTTTTGCCCACCCCTTACCCCCAAAGTATGAATTCTAATTTTATGAATATCTGATATGTAAAAGAACCTCTTTTTTTTTTTTTTTTTTTTTGCACTTTAGCCTAAATCCTCCTGGCATCAACTTAAACTGGTGCCTTCTCTTTTCTTGTTTTTTCCCCAGGAAAATTGTGAGCATTTTGTTTAAAGTTGTTTAAACTGATATCAGGAAAATATTGTTTAATAAATAGCCCAATATATAGAAATACTTGATATTTATAAAAAGTTAGATATAACCATCTTGTCATGGTTAATTTTGGTGACCACTTTGGTTGCTTCTAGTCACCCCCTTTAATTTTTCGTCTCAGTCAATCTTCTTATAAAACCAGTAATAAAGCCTTCTGTTATGATAGGATTCTAATCCAATGTTCCCGTCATAATGTTAAAAAAAGAATTTAAAAAAAAAACTTATTTTCCCCCTCTTTGCCACAAATAGGAGATGCAACTGGGCACTAAGCAGATATAGTAATACACATTAAAGGTAAGAAAACAACATAGGAGTGTGGAGACACTCGATGTTTGAAGCTTGCAGTAGCTAATGAAACAGGAGGTTATTGTGGCTAGCTCATATCAGCATCAGTAGAAAATATTGTATAGTATTACTAGACCCACGTGATGACATCATTCATTATCATAAAGTTTTTTTTTGTTTTTTTTTTACTTTTTAATCTTGAGCTGAGTCATTGTAAAATGATTTGTTTACCCTAATGATGCAGAAGTTTCCAACTTTTTTCTTTTTATATACACACATATGTATAAATCTATTTAACTTGTTTCATAGCATTGAAATATTTTCTGTGGTGTCATACCAAGTTTCAACCAAATTGTGTATTTGATCATAAAAGAACAGTCTTGGTTTCTCATTTGAGTAATTTCTATTTGTTCAAATTATTGGAAACTCTCTCACCAGCCCATTGTTGCACAGAACAGACCAAGTGAAGATAAAAGAAAAGAACTGGAGAATATATTGCATGTAGAAGAATTTCCCAACCCAGCTTCAACATAATTTGCTGAATCACATTTGCAGCATGAGGACAGGCATTGTCATGTTTGCCGAGAGAAAAAATTTTTTTTCTCTTTCAATACATGTTTGTACTATTGCACAAAAAGTTTCTCCTTTTCATCAGTTTTCATGTTCTGAGGTCTTCAAAAGATTTCTTTTTCTTTAAAGTTAAAACTCTGCATACCATTCCACAAACATGCTTGCACCTGTTGCATCTTACCATAAGTTTGTGTTCAGTTGCTTATTTTCTATTTCACCTTTTCTTCTAAGATCTCCCTAACATTCTACAAAAATACAAGAAAAATGTCACTGCAAACTTTTGCTTCATCTAATATTGGTGCAGTTTTCTTCAGTTACTTTATCATCTTTAACGCTATGCTGCCTTCTAAGTCTACCCCCCCACACACACACACACACATTCCTAGGCTCAATGCTAACAATTTTTTTTATTTATCAAAATTTCTTTGGCAAATTTGGATTTTGGTTTGTCATAGAATCACAGGAAATTAACATTTAAAAATCGTGATTTTTTTTTTCTTTTTTGCAGACGTGCAACTCGACACCGCAATGTTGTAAATAGTGCTATGAAACCTGCATCCACAGTCCGAAAGGTAAGAATTTTTTTTTCTTTTTTTAAGTTCATTTAAAAGAAAGAAAGAAAAAAAAAATGTCTTTAATATTAAAAGTGTACAATAGGTGTGTACCAGCTTGTACTTAGCCTAGGCTGATTTGAGCCAAGTGTTGTGTTTTATTGTTTGATAATACTCAAACAAATTGGAATCATGATAAATTTCCATATTAAACCCTTGAAACCAATTGTAATGAAAATTTTTCATTCTGGTGTAAATTTGCATGATTATTTAAAAAATAACAATAAGTTTGTGGACAAATACTATTTAGGAGTTATCAACAATCTTAGTTCAGCCTAATTCACATCGCAGCCACAGCCTGGTCACCATTACTGGCATAGTTTACGTACATTTGCCTTAAGTAGTAATGCGTGGAATCTTTGCTTGTCTTGATTACTGCACAGCTAACTCGATAATACAAGCCTCGTGATTACCTGGTTGGTCTTGGTACCAGCCAATCAGATTGCTTCTTGCATTTCTTGCACATCTGAGCCTTCCAATGTCAGTTTTTATGATAGTTTGCAGTGTTCTGTGATTTTTACATCAATTTTTTTGTGTGTGTGTGTGTGTTCCAAGTGAGTGCTTTTAAAAGGTCTCCGTCTTCTTGGTGCTGAAGAGTTAATAGGACATATTACAAAAAGGAGAAATGAAGTTAAATTTGAAGAGATCAAAGCAACCTTCAGTATCTGTAACTGTGAGCTATTTACATGCTGACAGGGACCAGAAGAATGTCATTTCACTCTCAATCATCAAGGAAAGAGGAAGATTCTTTCATATCTTGTGTCAACTGTCAGGAGGCAGTAATACAACAGATACACAACATTAATGCTTCTCCCCCATTGAGTAACAATATGAAAAAGATTGCTTGAAGATTCAACCCTAGAATAACCAATATATAACTGACTATGCCTTGTTTAGGGTTATAGCAAAGTGGAAAATGGGAGTAAATATGCCTCGCTTTATTTTTTCGTCTTATTACCTACCCAGTTAGGTGATAGTTGTAAGGAGCTGCTTTTGTAATTTCTTTTGTTTGGCTGAAAATGTTTATTTTATTCCAAAATTACCCTATTGTGACCTAATGACCCTTAAAGGTCAGTGCTGCTTTCCCTGTCTTTTTCTTTTTTTTTTTTTTTTTTTTTTTCACCCACCTACCAATTTACTTCCAAGATAATTGTTTGGCCATGAAGGCTACAAACAAATTGTACCTTCAATGAACATGAATTTCACTTCTCCACCATAAAAAAGATTTTATAGCAAACCTCAATATCTCAATCCATTTGCCTAGAGATAAGCTTCAATCACAGATGACCTCCAAGGTCAACTTCACCATGCCTATGTTGATGTCTTGTGGATCTTCATGCCAAAATATATGCTACTGGGCCTCCTGTCATTTAAAGACACAAATATAAACTTTTAATATTAGTATAGATTTTTTTGTAATAGTTACTCACTTTTACATTAAGTAAAACCCAATCAAATTGTAGGATTTGGGTGTGGTGCAGATTCTTCATGGTGGTTCTATAATTGCCTGGGTGGGTATTCATGCTAATCTATCCAAACACATCACTGACCAGTGACTTATACGTTGTGCTGCTTCATTGCCAGTTGCACCCATTGATAGAATAACTGACGACACTGTCATTGATTGACAAAATTGCTCTGACAAACATTCTAGAGACTCTTGACAAATTGTGTGACTAGCACGTTTGCCTGACATGAGTCCAATTGAAAATTTATGAGACATGGTGGGGAAATCTATTCATATGAAAGATCCTGTACCTACAAATATCAAGGAGCTGTTGAGATTGCATGGTTCAACATCTCTCCAGTGGTCTTCTCAACCCTTGTGTAATTGGCATATGGCCACATCTCATTGAAACACTGGTCCCCATATAATCACTAAAGTTAAGCAACATCGAGCCTGATCACTACCTCAATGGGTTACTGCTTGAGAATACCAGGTGCTGTAAGCTTGGATCTGCTAGTGATGTAATTGGATAATGGCTCAGAATTGTTAATTGGAGAACGGAGTTCCAATTCCAGTCAGGTTCGTTATATTCATTTAGGCACAAATACTCTTGGGAATGGTATGAATCCACCTCTTCTCCCCCTCCCCATTGGTCAATTAGTAAGACTTGTGTCACTAAATTCATTATTATCTTCAAAAAATAAAATAAAATTGCATACAAAATACTTAGATTTCAGCATTAGATGTTGATATGCTGCTAAACAGCCCTTGTGGAAACTGATGCCACATTGGGTTGCTGGAGTTCACTGAGCTAAAGGATGTCTGACATGATACTAGGCACATAATGGTTTTGGCACATAAGTTGCAAAAAGAATTTGCTAATTAAACCTTTAACATATTGACTGCCAAACACATCATAACTTGTAGTTGGCAGTTTTTATTCGAGTCATCTTATGTTTGGCATTTTCTGATACAAAATTTGGTCAGGTTTTAGGGAGTGAGTCTGGCCAAGGATATTTTACCACCTAATCATACAAATGTTATAATTTTCTTTCATTCTTTTTAATATTTCCAGGGGTCAAGGCTGCGTACTGGTAGCAGAATGTAAGTATTTTTTTTTTTGTGTGTGTTTTTTTTTTTTTTTATTAGCTTTTTGATTCCTGTTTATTGGTGACTTACTAATGTCTACAGCAGAGTAGTTACAAATGCAAAAATGTAGTGTTTAATATTTTCAAGTTAATGTGAAATTTGATTTAATAACTATCCCAGATGAACACTATTAAAGCAAAACAGCAGCAGACTGGTGCTTGGCAGGGTTTGACTCATCACATGAAGAGCCTGAATATGAATTCCAATGCCTTGAAACTGACCTGTGAATGGTAACAGTGATGTACAAAGAAGTAGATCTGGAACTTATGAACGACCAAACTAGTATTAGAGGTCGGTTAGTGGTGAAAAAGATTTGTCTACAGGCTGGACAGGAGGTGTAAACTATTGATTTTTTGATTGCATTTTCAATATATTTCTCTTTTTCTTTTAGGTATTCAGGGCTAAATGAAGAGAAATATATTGAGAAAACATTCAGACTTCTTTACTTACCCACATCTTTACATCCTCAGTGCTAGAAAACGAGCTTACAAAATCTACAAATGCAAAAAACTAGATACACTAATAAAAAAATTACTCAACATTCATAATCCAACCTTACAACACACTTTCTACTAAACTAGAAAACAAATTAGTCATCCCTAACACTAGAATTGTTACCAATCACCTCAAAGACAATCAGAGATATAATTAGGAAGAAAAAGAAATTCAACACTAATTAGCGGTATTTATAAATAAATTGTTTACAATGCAAAAATGTTTATGTAGTGGAGACATCACATGAAAAACCAGCATCTACAAAAAATAAAAACACTTGTGTTTGGATGATCTTTCAAACTCTCTCTTATTACACAGGAACAAAATTGGCCATAACTTTGATTTTTTTTTTTTTTTTTTTTTTGATTATTTTTTTTTACTAACACCACCCTAATTAAAAAAAAAAAAAAAAACATCATTTTTAAGGAGAACATTCTTTGAAAGCTTAATAACAATCATATTACCAACTAAAAACACAGGCCTAAAACATTACATCACCACTTTTTTTTTTTTTTTTTTATCCATTCGTAAAGAATCTAATACAGACCATACGTACTTAAAAACAGCCCCAGATTAATAGAATACCACCCCCCATTATGCCAACTGACCGCACAAAAGTGAAAACATTAGAACTCCTCCTACTAGAAATTACACATACCCATTATCATCCAATGCCTGCACAGACAAATTAGATTTTTTGAAACTTATAGAATTACCTACAGTTTTAATGCCTGTGATAGATGACTGACCAATGAGAATTGAACCTCGCAAAATTGAAAATCCCAGAATTTCTATCTTTTTGTCTGTTTTCTCTCAATCTTGGACAAAGCTTTAATGAAAAGTGAAACACATTAGATTGATAAACGTTTCCTATTTGTTCTTTATCTGATCCTGTCTGATTCTGATTCATATTTGATCTTCAACTTTTATAGAATTAACCTGAATGAGTCAAAATACAAGATAGTCTTGAGATATTATGAAACTGATTTCAATTTTCTTTATTTCAGGATGCAAACACCCATCTACAGAGATTTCAAGACACCAGCAATCACCCCAAAGTTTGACCCTAAGTATGTTCTTTATTTCTTGTTCCAGTGTTTACCTTGTTACCATAGGCTAATTTCTTGTTCCAGTGTTTACCTTGTTACCATAGGCTAATTTCTTGTTCCAGTGTTTACCTTGTTACCATAGGCTAATTTCTTGTTCAGTGTTTACCTTGTTACCATAGGCTAATTTCTTGTTCCAGTGTTTACCTTGTTACCATAGGCTAATTTCTTGTTCCAGTGTTTACCTTGTTACCATAGGCTAATTTCTTGTTCCAGTGTTTACCTTGTTACCATAGGCTAATTTCTTGTTCCAGTGTTTACCTTTTACCATAGGCTAATTTCTTGTTCAGTGTTTACCTTGTTACCATAGGCTAATTTCTTGTTCCAGTGTTTACCTTGTTACCATAGGCTAATTTCTTGTTCCAGTGTTTACCTTGTTACCATAGGCTAATTTCTTGTTCCAGTGTTTACCTTGTTACCATAGGCTAATTTCTTGTTCCAGTGTTTACCTTGTTACCATAGGCTAATTTCTTGTATTCAATATAAATGGTGTGTCACTTATTTTCTGTGCTGTCAAATATGGCAGATGATGAGATTTGAATGACTGCAATCAGTTAGTCTTTGTAGCTTAATTCATTTGGGCATCAACCCAGGGAAGGTAGTCTCTCAAGGAAAGGAAATCAAAGTTAGTTTCATCAATACTAGTTTACTGTGAAAAGATTATATTTAATCAATTGGTAAGTCAGTTAGAAAAGTAGATTCTCTGTGTTGTGTGAGAGAATTTTTCTCACGAGAATCTATCTTCCACATTTATAAGTCTACCATTTAACCATGCATTGAATAATGCTGCCACATCTGGTCTGGTGTTTCTGCTATATATTTAGATATTCTTGATAAAATCCAAAGAAGAATCTGCAATGTCATTGGTCCTGACCTGGCATCTCAGCTTCAATCACTTTCCCACCACTGTAACATAGCTTCACTGTGTCTTTTCTGTAAATATTTTCTCGGTACTTGTTCTGATTAACTTTTCTCTATGGTATCTCAACTTTATGAAATTAAATGCAGTACTAGATTGGTGGTAACATCTCATCATTTTACAAGGGGGAGGGGGGGGTCAAAAAATTATCTGCACTCTTGTTATATGTTATGATGAAAGTGCAGATAATTTTTTACTTACCCTCGTACAGTTGAAATAGCTAAATGCAACCATGAGTTCTATGCTAACAGTTTCTTCTCTCACACTTCTTGTTTGTAGAACTTTCTTCTGACTTCATGTTCTCCAGTCAACTTAGCATTTAAACTTTTGAAGATCAATGTCAATCGTTATCTTCTGTCTTCTTAATTCCTGTTCTTTTAGTGTTCTTTCTCTTCAATAAAGTTTTCTTATTTTTTTCACACTCAGTAACTCATTGTGTCTTAGTGGCTGTATTACCTTACTTGGGGGCGAAATGATTTTTTTTTTTTTTTTTTTTTTTTTTTTTTTAACCCTTATGCTTTAATTCTGATCCATGCTGTTTACTGATATTTGAGAAGTTGCAATAAAAAGCAGCTAAAATTAAGACGAAAAATACTAGAAGAAAATTAATTGCCAATGCTTTGTTTCTAATCTCATGAGTGTAATAAGTAGAAATGAAAATGTTGGTAAATATTTAATACAAGGATGTGCTGAAAAGCACTTAACCAGACCAAGAAGCCTTTCCAAAAATGGATCCATTGTTTGTTCAGATTCAGGAAAGTGGGTTAGGCTAAGAGATTTTCACTACCTCTCCATAATGTAATTTTTATTATTGTTTATGGATATGTAACGGCATGAAAATAATTTGTCACATTTTGACATTTCAATGTTTATTTTTATTTTCCTCACAGACTTCCAATGACACCTTTTGATCGAAGCCCAAGAAAGGGGGAGAGATTACTGTCCTTCGCTGGTAGCCCCGTTGTCATTCAAACTAGGAGAAACAGGAACCTTGAAAAAATTCAAGAAAATGTACGTAACTCTTTTTTTCATTTTAGTGTCTGTTATTAATGTTTTTAATAAATTGATCCCATGACAAAGCTTTGTTCCAGCATTGCTCTCCCCCCAAGATATTTCTTCAAATCTGCATCAAGAAACGGTACAAGAGTCTGTCTTGATAAAGAAAGTAAACCTATCTTAGATGATCAGATCTTAAATATTCAGATGATCAGCCATTAACTTTTACCATACTAATTTCTTTCTAGAGTTGTCTCCCCTGCCCCACTGCATTTTTTTTCTTTTTTTTTTTTTGAGGGTGCAAAAACATGAACATGTACTGTTTTAAAATTGTTATAACTTTCTTTGTATGGAGCGTATAGATTTTAATTTTTGTACACTAATAAAAGAATGAATGAGTAATATTTTGATGTTGAAAACAAATAAATTGAAACGCGAAGTAAAAAAAAAAAACAAAAAACAAATACATTAAAAAATACATAAATAATTCAACGTACTTTAACTTTTCTTACTCCTTGTGGAGTTCTGGGGGTGCAATAAGAAGCAAAATCGCTAAAAAGGCTTTCATTTTGTCATAAAAAAGTGACTAGTTTCCACGTGTTTACATATGAGAAGACACTAGCATTTGTTTGCTCTTTCTTTCACCCGACTCGCATTTATTTCTCTCATTGACGAATAAAGTTATTATTTTGTTGTTTATAAATAGACAAAATAATTCACCTTCAGAAATGCTCTCAGATATATCGATGGTTGCCAGTAGCTTCCATGGAATTATTCAGGTCGTAGCCACTAGTGGTCATCATATCTTTCCTCCATGTCACTACTGTGGTTATCATCTCTAACCACTTCACCATTAGTATCCACTAGAGTAAAGCCTCCAAAATCATCATCAGTCTGAATCATAGAAAAACTCCTGAATAAAGGCTTTGTTGGATAGTGATGCACAAAAAATTGAAAAATTAACGTGGGTTTAATCGTGTTACACCTCGTGTAGAGTTTAGAAGAATTCAAAATGGCATTGGAAAATGGAAGTTTAGCCTTGTTTTAAAGCAGTAGTAGAACGATTTCCATCTTAAAATACCGGAAATAACATTTGACAAGTGTTTATTTATAGAAACCGTCTCAGGCAACAAAAATCCCCAATAGTAGTAAGGGAGAGAATTTTATGGCGACTATTGTAGCCTGTAGTGTGGTAATGGTTAAATAATTGACATTTTCTTAGCCATTCCTCATTTAGTAAGTAAGCAAATAATCAAAACAAGCTTGCTCTAAGGCAGTGGTTCCCAAACAGGTATAATGATTAAAAGACTATCAAAGATTTAGAAACACTTTCAAAAAATTAATCTACCAAAAATGATTTCAAAATTTAAAATATTATAGATTACTTGCAATTTATTATATTTTAGATTATTTGTAATTGCATGCATGAATCCCAATATAAATAGTTATAGTTACTGACTGATTTTTATCATTGTGATATTTTTGCATTGTACAAGGTAGCCAAAAAAGTTCTGTCCGTTTTTAAAGGAAAGAAAGAAAATGCTTCACAGTATGATGTGTAACTTATATTTAGTCTTCGAAGTAATCGCCATCGGCATCCAGCACTTTCTGCCAACGTGTCTCCAGCTGTTCAATGCCCTTGCGGTAGAACTCTGGAGGTTTTGACGCAAAGAAGTCTGTGAGGGCTTTGTGCAAGTCTGCTTCATTAGTGAAGGATTTCCCACGAAGATGATTATCCAGGGAGTGGAAGAGGTGGTAATCGGATGACGCAAGGTCAGGTGGATGGCACAAAGTCTCCCACCCAAGTTGCTGTATGGTATCCCTGACCACTCGCGCGAAAATGCAGCTTGGCGTTGTCATGGCAGAAAAGCACACACCTTTGCGATTCACCAGTGCTGGCTCCTTCTGGTGCAATGCCTGTTGCACACGTTTCAATTGCTGCAAGTATAGGTCTCCAGTGACCATTTGGCTCGTTGGTAGCCATTCATAATGAACCACTTGATGACCTGTCCACCAGACACAAAGCATAATCTTGCGTGGGTGCATAGGCGGTCTTGCGGTGTGATGGACAGCATTCTGAGGAGACAACCAATGTCTGGAACTCTTGGGAGTTTTGTACAGAACCCACTTTTCATCACTGGTAAGCACTTGATTGAATAAGGATGCGGTACGGTGTCAAGAAAGCAGCGATACGCAGGCTACTACTCGTCCCTTGTGGACCGCCAACAGCGTTTGCGGAACCCGTTTGCTCAGTTTGTACGTCTTACCTAGGCGGTGCAGGTGAAGTCTAACTGTTTCATCGGAAACGTTGAACTGTCTTGCAAGTTCACCACACGTTAGACTACTGCAGCTGCTGATAAGCCCACTTTGAAGTCGTAAAGCAAACATCTCCGAACGAGATCTCTAGACACTTCCATCCTTCTCACAGCTGTCCGGCTTATAACTGATGGCCGGGCACAGTTCGAATGTTTTTATAATGTCTGATGTTCCTACTTCCGGCTGTCCAAATTTGAAAACAATTGCTACATGCATTTCGTATATATTTCAACTTCATTCAGTGACTAACCAAAAAAAATGAACGGAACTTTTTTGGTTACCTTGTATAAAGTATTAAGAATATAGTAACTAGGGTTCATGATATTTCTTGGGATTAAGAGTGGAGTGGTTTCCTGTTGCCTTCTACAGAGACGCATTCCAAAATCTAGGCAGAGTATTACAAAACAGGTGGAATTTGTTGGTAACAAAGAAAAGAATACTGAACTACTACATGATATCTGTCCTCCTTTACAGCAATTAATGTTGGACAGTCTCCTCAAAGATGAAGAAGAGACTTGAGGCAACAGAGGTATGCTTCTACAGAAGGATGCTAAGTATACCATGGCCCGAACAGGTTTTGGAGAGGATGCAAACAAGGAGGAAGCCTATACTTAACGCCAGGAAGTGGCAGCTAAAATTTCTGGGACATGTAATGAGAAAGGAAGGCTTGGAGAATCTGATACTCATCAGACAGATGGAAGGAAAGAGAGACAAGGGAAATCAACACATGACATACTTAGCAGGCCTAAGCAAGTGGATGGCAGAACAGTTTGGAAGAAGTAACAAAAGAACAAAACTTATTGAGAACTACAAGGGGTAGGAAGGGAAGTGGAGAGCCATGATTGCCCATGCCCTGAAGGGACACAGCACATAAAAGAACTAGGATCCACAAATTGGAGGAGAGAGTTATCAATAATAATGTTCTGACTTCAAATTCGCATTTATCTCTCTTTAACCCTCTCCCTGTTTTTTTATTTGGTGAGGTGCAAGCAAATTTTCATTCCAAAAATGTGGCCCAGAGGGAAAAAAAAAGGTTTGGGAATCACTGCTCTATAGTAAGAAAGATATTATTTTAATAAGTTTAATTTGGTATAAGACCAGAAGTATGGAGTGCCTGGTGAAACTCACTACACTTGGAATGGTTATCAAAACAAACTTGTTAACAATTGCTCTATGTGAATTTCTTTGGATAGATCCTCACTTTGTGATTGCTATAATATCAAGCTGTTTCAACTTAGTTTCTTTGCAAATCAGGGCAATTTCACACCTCCCCTCCATCTTCAACATGGCTGCACATTTTTGCGCATAACCAACCTGTGTTTCAACACCTACAGAGCCAACCTTTAGCTTATCATGCAGACCTTAGTTACAGTTGTATTGTGTGTCCTTGATGGGACACATACAGTTTTGAAATCAGTTTTCCTTCTCCTATACTGGTTGCCAACAATGGCTACAGAGGTCAGCCTGCCTTACTATTGACTATTTTGATTAGCAAAAAGAAAAGTTGGTTTTATACCTTTTTCAATGGTATTTGTGTGAAAGTGAATGTATTGATCTCTACCAGAATTTGAACTCAGCTTGCTGCCTTCTCATTCTGTGCCTTTACACCACCTGCACATTAAAAAAAACTGAAAATATTCTTGAGTCTTGCACAAGATCAAATTTGTTAGTACAGGATTTTCTTTATCTGCAACCTCTGTTGATTGTTTAATTATCACACTGAAGTCAAATTAAAATTCAGCTTTCTAATTATCAATGATGAAGCAACCCTACCTTCCAAAAAAAATAAAAAGTTGCCACCTGCTTATTGACAAATTTGATGTTAGCATACAACATATTAAATTAAAATGTTATATCTATATAAATATACTTTTCCTCTCTTGACAAAAAAAAAAATTAAAAGAAACTATAGCCAAAACAATTTATTGACCAACATAAAAAATTTTCCTTTCAAAAGTCTATAATTATTTATGATGTTTGTTTGCTTTCCTTGTAACCCTCCTGTAATTAGCAGCAAGGATTAGATATTTTGATTTAGGTTTCCATTAATATAGACTGGTTACAGGTCTAATTCTAGCCATTGTTTGAATTCTGTGTCCTCTTCTAGCTAAATGAGGAAAGTTCCATCCAAAAACCCGCTTATGAAAAAGAGGTATTTTGATGACAAAATAGAAGAGTGCTGATATATATATATATATATATATATATATATATATATATATATATAATATAATTATTATTTAAAATTTAAAATATGTTTTTTTTCCGCTATACAGTTTTAACCATGTTTCAAAAATGGAAGCTAAAAGCCACTAATTTAATTTTGCAATTAAATTAAAGACATTAGTTCCATTTCATCCTCAAGGGAATTTTGGAGTAACTTTTACAATTACTGGGTTTTAAAGACACAGCTAAAATCATGTTTCCATGGTTACAGATAAATCTACTTCAACTGGACAAGGGGTGTCTGGGTTTTCCTTATGTCTGCATCATTGTATCGGTTATTAGCTACATTTTGGTAAGGGGTAGGGATGTATTTTTCAATGAAAACTGACATCCATTGAATGCATGTTGTCTGGATTTTTTTAAATTTATTGTTAACGGCAAAAAAATTCTTCTGGCATTTTTTCTATTTGTAAATTTAAAAGATTTTCAAGGGTGTTCAGATTAGAATACTTTTTATTTAACTACAATTTGAAATATTCTCAATTTTAATTTTATTATACCATATTTTTTTATAAGAACAGTTAAATGTATTAGAATCCCTTTATAGTATGTAGGATTTTTTACATCAAGTATAAGTATGTATATTAGGTTACATTTTTTTTATTTTATTTTATTTTATTTTTTTTTTTATATTATTTAAGTAAAATTTATGACAATGACGTCAAAAATAGTTACATAATTTCACTGATTTAGTAAACTTTTATTTTATATATATATATATATATATATATATATATATATATATATATATATAAACCTAGTAATATATTGTTTCTCATGTAAGTACAAAGGACATGGGTCATTCAAAAGCTTACATCTTCTGGCATTTCATATTAATTTTATTTTTTACTATAGGTGTTTTATTGGATTCTTTTAAGTGCGTGTAGTACTAAGTAAAAGAAGTTTAGGTTAGAAATCATTTTATTTAACTACAATTTTAATTACAACTTTCAAATATTTTCATTGTTATTTTAATAGACTATATTATTTTATAACAGAAGGAAATGTATTTGAAATTACTTATAGTAAGTAAAATTATTTTTCCATATCAAAGTATATGTATATTACGATTTTTAAACTTTTATATTTAAATATTATTTAAGTAATATTATGGCACTTACTGCAAAATAGCTAATTCATTTCTCAGATTTAGTAAACTTTATTTATTAATTAATTTATTTATTTATTTTAAATATATATAAACTTAGTAATAAAGTTTCATATGTATGTACAAAAGGACATGGGTTAGTTCACTGGCCTACATCATCTAGCTTTTCGTTATAATTTCATTTTTCAGTAGGTGTTTTATTGGATTCATTTAAGTGCCGGTAGTACTTTTTTTAGAGGTGTTTAGGTTAGAATACATTTTATTTAACTGCAATTTTTAAAAGATGCTTAGGTTAGAATTCGTTTTAACTACAATTTTAAATATTATTTAAGGAAAATTTTTGACAATGACTGCATATAATAGCTATTTCATTTCTCTGAGTAAATTTTTATTTTTTATAAACTTAGTAATATATAGTTTCTCGTGTATGCACAAAGGACATGGGTCGTTTAATAACCTACATATTCTAGCTTTTTCTTATTAACTTCCATTTTACTATAGGTGTTTTATTTGATTCTTTTAGATGCCAGAAGTATTTTGAGAGAGATGTCTGATTTTTATATTTATTTATTCTAAATGAAGTTTGATGTTGGTTGAATCTTTTTTTGAATTCATGGCTAGTGCAACCTATATATATTTTTATGTTTTCAGGACTTTCAATTGAAGAGATATTGCATTGGTATACTAATGATTCAGTGCGACATTTATTTTGTAGAGGGCAATTATGAGGGTTTCTACAGTTACATAGTTTTTTGTTTATTTCCATCAGTTTTTTTCTTTATTTTTCCATTGTCTAAATTTTTTTTGGTTTTGGTATAAGTGTTTATTTAAAATATTAGCATTATGGTTCTTAATGATTTTTTCTAAGTTTTTCCGTACAGCTGTAACTCAATTTTAGTGTGTTTTTATTGAAAATAGTACTTAGCTTACTTTCACTAGAAAAATGCTTGATTATTAATGCGAGGAATTTATGTCCTAATTTGTTCTTTACCATTTGGTTGTATGGGGGAGTATACCAAATAATTTTTCTACTTCTGTTTTTTCCATTTTTCATTTTTTATATAAGTTAGTTTTGGGTTTTTGTAGCCACTCTCTTTTAGAGCCTTATTATAGGAATTGATATGCTCATCAAAAATCTTGTCATTTGCTGAATTTGTACTAATTCGTTTACTGATAGATAATGGTATATGTTTAATTATAGATGGGGGGGGTGATTTGATTTAGGGTGTATATATAAAGGATTGGTGTTGGGTTTTTTATAAGGTGTGTATGTATTTTTATTTAGATCCAATGTTATATCTAGGAAGTCCACTTTTTTTAATTTAGTACTAACCGTAATTTTTAAGCCCATGCTTTTAAATTCTTTATATAATAACTTTATAATTTTATCTATTTTGAAGTTAGTTGAGTTTCTAATAACCATAAGTCCATCGTCTTTGTACAAACCAATGTCATTTGTATTAATATCATAGTGCGCTGTAAGGTTGTATAATATAAAAAGACCAATGAGATTAGAAGACTCAGCTGAGTCTAGTGATCCCATTGTGATGTCAAATTGGTCGTAAGAATTCTTAATCCATTGCTCACCTTTATGTATAAGTATTGATTTTTTCGCATATAGAATAATGTTCTTTTCTTCATCTGTAATATCTGTATAGTGGGTGGCAAAGTCCAACGCATTCAAAAATAGTTCTTTGATAACTATTACCAATCAATATCTAATGTCAAACTTTTTCCCTTTTAAGTTAGTAAACCAGTTCCTTGGTATTAATCCAAAGTTTCAGGCTTATTTTTTCTTCAAGTTGTTTATTTACCCTTTCAAGGATCATTTTACTTATTTTTCCGATCTCCGGTCTTGTAGGATTTATTATCCTTGTACTGGGATTAGCCTCAAAAAAAATAAAAAATAAAATAAAATATGTAACCTAATATACATACTTATACTTGATGTAAAAATAATCCTACATACTATACTATAAGGGATTCTAATACATTTAACTGTTCTTATAAAAAATATAGTATAATAAAAATTAAAAATGAGAATATTTCAAATTGTAGTTAAATAAAAAGTATTCTAATCTGAACACCCACGAAAATCTTTAAATTTACAAATAGAAAAAAATGCCGTAAGAATTTTTTTGCCGTTAACAATAAATTTTAAAAAAATCCAGACAACATGCATTCAATGGATGTCAGTTTTCATTGAAAAATACATCCCTACCCCTTACCAAAATGTAGCTAATAACCGATACAATGATGCAGACATAAGGAAAACCCAGACACCCCTTGTCCAGTTGAAGTAGATTTATCTGTAACCATGGAAACGTGATTTTAGCTGTGTCTTTAAAACCCAGTAATTTTAAAAGTTACTCCAAAATTAAACGAGGATGAAATGGAACTAATGTCTTTAATTTAATTGCAAAATTTAAATTAGTGGCTTTTAGCTTCCATTTTTGAAACATGGTTAGAAGTGTGTAGCGGAAAAAAACATATTTTAAATCAATTAATTTATAATATTAATGCTCTGTAAATTTACATCGAGCACTATTTTGTAAAAATAAAAATACCTATGAGAACACCGGATTATATATCTTACTGTTCTTTCTTTTTTATATATATATATATATATATATATATATATATATATAATCAATAGACAATATATCTTCACTCAAGTATGTTTGGTTGAATAATCTAAACATATGCTTTATTTTTATTTTAGTCCTTTCAAATTCATGGATCAATTTCTTAGTGTTGCCATTAAACTCATTAAGAAAGCCGTCATAGTCCAGTTACAATTATAACAGCAATGTTTTAAAATACTTCATTTATATTTGTAAATTTTTTTAAAGAATTACTATTTAAGTTACCTTCCTTGATAACATTAACTTTTGAATCAAGCGAACACGTTTCCTGTGCATTTACAAAAAAAAATTATAATAATTCATGACTATCAATTACATTAGTTTCTTAGGAATTTATCCTTCATGATGAGATTGAAAGTACTAGGAAAATAAAAGGAATGGGGGGAAAACTATTGTGAATTTGAAAGGATTAAAATTAAAATAAATAGACATGCCTAGATTATTCAATCAAATATGCTTGTGTGTGTGTATAATTTCCTTTTTTAGATGTTCAAGTTCTGCTTCAATTGAATATCTTCTAATATTCAAATTTCTTTTCTTTTCAGATTAGTTCAGTGTTGTCAGAAGCTGTGGATTCACAGATCATTAATAAATTGACTGAAGTGTTGGACTTGATAAAGAATGATTGAATAAGGGACTCTAATGTGGACATTAGGATGTTTTTGTTTTTGCCCTCCTCTTATACACAATACCTTGTATGTTTTTTAAAAAAAAAAAAATGGTTTTTATTTATTTTTTTAAAGCTATCGTGTGATTGAGTACTCTACTAATAGAGATATTCAAATAAAGAAAAAAAAATTTTCTCTCATAATCTTAAGATATTTTATTTTCTGTACATTATCAAAAAATTAAGATAGTGTGGTGTTGACAAAAGCATTCGTCTTCATTACCTCAAACTTGAATTTTTAAAATAATTCTTTTTTTATTCTATGTGACATTGTTTTCTCAGACTAAACATTAAGTCAATAAAGGGGGAAAAAAAACAAAACAACCTTTATTTCCATTATGTCAACAAAAACCATGTTACTTAATGATAGCAAATTCTGTTTGCCCCTGCCATAGCAATTTTTAGTCATATTTTTAAACTTAGAACCAAACTTCTTCAAAGTTCTATAATGAAAGTTGTCTCATTAAAATGGTCAGGAAAACTAAGAATGAGTATTGGTTTAATGAGTATTGGTTTACAGCAGCTAGGATCTTTGATCCTCAAATCAAAGTTCTCCTTGGCGTCTGGTTCAGTAAATGGTATGCTCATTAGAGCTTTGACCTTAAATTCAGCAGGTAATGAATTTCGCCACATATTCCAATTATCAAATAGTGCTAGATTAGAATTGTCAATTCTAAGTTTTATTGAAATCCTTGTAAATATTAGACAAGTTTTTTTTTTGTTTTTTTTTCTTCTTTTCCTCTTCTTTTTATACATAGATAGCACCTTTTGTAAATAAATGTTTGCTTCCTCTTCCTGTGGATTTCAGACTCAGAATGAATGAAAGAGGTTGGGATTATTGTTTTAAACTTCAATGAATACAGCAATGAAGTTGTTTTTATTTGTAAGTTCAAAACTCTAACCTCTGGAATGTGTGTGAACAGCGCTGTTATTCTTTGTCAATTGTAATTAGTGCTTCGGAATAATAAACCTTTTAAATCCTTTTCCTGTTTTCATCATTTTGTATGGAAATTGAAATTTTGTTAGATAAAAAAAACAAGACTAAGAAGTACGTGGTTGGACATGTTTCTGTGCCCCATTTTTGCTACGGCATTTATATAAAATCTGGTTTTAAAAACAGATGCAACAAAAAGACAATTATACTTTGGAGGGGTTGTTTTTTCTTTAAAATCTCTCCATAGTAACAGGCTTAACCTGTGTCAGGGAATATATTTTGACTAGCTGGACTTGAAAATCTATGTAACCTAATCTGTAAGGAAACCTTTTAGAAAGCAATAACTTTTGGAGTAGCTTTCAATGGAAAAAAAAAAAAAAAATGATATGTTTTATTTTCTTTTTGCTTGAAAACAAAACAAGTTCTCTTGATAATATAATTTATTGCAGTTACTTTTCCCCATGTTGATAATCAACAATAAATTCAACAACTGTCATTTCAATTTGGGCAGGTCTTCATTTCATGAAAACGAGCCACCAAATTATAACTTTTTTTAAATACAAACAAATGATTAACAAATACAATAAGTTTGGATTCTTTCTTTTTTTTCCTTCTTACCCCCCCCCTCCCCCAATGCTCCACGGCAATAGACTTGGATTGGAAGATTACGCACAAAACCAAACAATTTACTAATTAGTCGTTAGTTTATGACTGATTAATAAACTGCTTTGTATTATAAAATGTCTCATTTAGATGACCCTTGCTTTACAAGGACCCAACAAAAGAAAGCTTATCTGAATAGTCCAAATTATTGTAATCAAAGAAAACTGATTCCAGTCATAGACCAAGTACTCACATTTAGGCCTAGCACTGATGCCAGGATGAGGTATGTAGCAGCATGCACCCAATTGCACTAATAATTGTCAGCATTAATATTGGTACAGAAAGTTTTCAAAAATCCATGACTGTCTCTTTTAACTTCCCCAGGTCATCTACTTATATGGGGAACCTTTACTTTGGAACAGGCAATAAGGATTGAAATGCCTCTATAGTTATTAAAATTGAAACTTGGGAAACCACTGTAAGCAATTTGATCTAGATATTTCTTAAGAAAAAAAAAAAAAGGCAAGGGTATATCTATGACAGGATTTAACTGCTGTGCCATCATTTGCCCTCACCCCCTAATGAAAATGGCTAATTAGGCCAGTTAAAAAAAAAAAAAAAATAAACAGAAAAAAAGTGGCAGGTATCAAAATTAGTTTTGGTAACACTTAGTATTGATTTTTTTTATAACTGTCAGTTATTGTTAAAAAAAGAAAAAAAACTTTGCCAATACAAAATGGAAGCCAAAGTGGTCAGCAAAATCTGTTGCTGGTTACCATCAGTTTAAAAAAAAAATTTTTTTAGACTGCATGCAATCCATCCCATTTGCAGAGATTAGAAAGAGACAGGAGCAATTTACTCATAAAAATTCTATTGAGAGATTATTTTTTAAAAAAAAAAAAAAAAAATTTTTTTTAAAACTAAAGTGAAAATTTGAGGTAATTATATAACAAGTGTTAAGTCTTAATATTATTCTCAGTTCTGTTATCAGGAGAGATTTTTACTAAGAGTTAATATTAATCCTGGAATTATATAATCCTCTTCCCTCCCCCTATATATATATATATATATATATATATATATATATATATATATACACATTTCCCTTCCCATAAAAATATATTTGACTTGAATTTGAATACTTGCTTGAGCTCAAATTTTATTTTTAAATTATTCAAAATTCTTGTTTATCAAAACAGCTGCTAGGAAAATTATGAAATGGTGGTCCCAGGTTAGACATATTACTTTTTACCTTCAATCCTCATGGGGGAAGTTTGTTTCATTTTTTTGTTTGTTTATTAATGACAAGCCATGATTTTATATCTTTTTCACCCACACCCATTACAGAAGTAAAATCATTCCCCTGCCTCTGCCAAATTTTCTTCCTCCTTTTTAGGTTCATCAGCAAACTCTTCACTCTTTTCCTCTTCTTCATTACATGAGCACTCTTCCTGATGCTCCTCCTCCACCTCCTCTCTTTCTTCTTGCTGCTCCTCCTCTTCTTCTTTTCCCTCTTCTTGTTGCTCCTCTTCTTCTTGTTGCACCTCTGCCTCTTCTTCTTGTTGCTCCTCTTCTTCTTGTTGCACCTCTTCTTCTTCTTGTACTTCTGCCTCTTCTTCTTTTCTCTTTTCTACTTGTACCTCCTCCACACAAGAACTGTTGCTTCCTTCCTCTGTTTCATCATCCTCACTATTACTGCTACCACCACTGTCACTACTACTAGAACTACTAGTGCTGCTGCAGCTACTACTGTCATCATCACTGTCATAAGAGCTGCTGCTGCTGCTATCCTCATACATCATATCCACCCCATGGTGATTTTTTCCTTTCTTAATCCTCAGTTGGGACATTGATGATATGATGCGGACGTCATCTGAATCTTCGAGTTCTCCAATTGCAATGTCTTCCCAACATGACAAATCCAAGTCACAGTCAATATTTTTTATGACAATCTGAAATAAGAAATTCAGCCAATGAGTTTATACTGCATAGACAGACTTTTTACTATTATGACAGGGTAGAGATTCTTCTGAATGAGAAGGCCTTGCCTAATGACAATTTCAAGCAGGAAATAAAACTAAGTGTCAAGGAGAATATTCTTTTTTTTTTTTTTTTAAATCATTTCACCCTAAGCAAGGCAATTAAGCCACTAAGACTCAAGAGGGTTAGATATACTATTATAAGGAGAGAGAGAGAACAAGAATTAAGATAATGATTGACATTGCATTTATAATTTTTGAAGATGAAAGTTGACTGGGAAGCAAGAAGCTGAAAGAGTTCCACAAGCAAGAAGTGCGAGAGAAGAAACTGTTAACATAAATGAAGAAACCTTGTCACTTATCTCGTAATGTGCTTAAATTCATAAAATCAAGGTACTATAGAGGAAAATTTATCAGAATAATCATCATGAAAGTATTTATAGGAAAGGCACAGGGAAGCTACATTACAGCAGCGGGAAAAGTGATTGAATCTGAGATGCCAGATCAGGACCAATAACATTGCACATTCTTTGGAATTTTTTTTATCTGAATCTCTATGTGACAGCAATATTCAAAGCAAGAATGAACGGTAGACTTTAAATATGTAAAGTAGATTCTGGTGAGAAAAAAAAAATATTTGTCTAGCACAACACAGTGAACCAACTTTTCTAGCTGCAGAGATGGCAATTGATTCAATATTCTCTTTCTTTTGTGTAAATGGTTGGCAGAACAGGGATTAAGGGAGTGAACAAAAAAAAATTTACTAAGACCTACACAGGCTCTCTGGCGATTCCTAGATTTTTTTGGTCGTTCCTAGTTTTTCACAAAACCTTCCTAGTATTCCTAGTTTTTTATTGTCAAAAAAAAAATTGTAATCCATTTCTAAAATATGTTTGAAGTATTTTGCAGAATGGAATCATAAGATGTTAAGCTTAAATATAGACCTATAAACTATAGATCTTAAAAGTATTTGGGCATAAAACATGAAGATTTATTAGCAATTTGGGGTTAAAAACTATGAAAATATATATTCTTTAAAAATGAGTCGGGGGCTTCGCCTATTCTATGCTTTGCTGTGATCAGTGACTGAAAATCAACTTAAGAGTTGTTATAACCTATAGTTACTGTAGTATAGCTTTGGTGGTGAAAATGCTTTTGCTTGTGTACTTGTCTATGTCCTGTTTGCATGATACCAATCCTATTTTAGTATTAACATGTAATCCCTCTTTAAGTAATAATATACATCATAGTTCTGCTTGGCTTGCATGTTTAATATATGATATTGTATAAATATCTAACCCTTTCATACTATGCTTGCTTTAAAACCACTTTCTTATCTTTATCTTTCTTTTCAGAAACAAAGTAGTTTGCTTAGTTATCAACATTACTAATCATGCCTAGTGGAAAAACTAAATTTAACCATGTTTGGCTTAGTAAACTTGACAATAATGGCCAACTGCTGTACAAATGGTGTAAAAACGATTCTTCAAACAGCTTTGCTGGCTTTTTGTGTACTGTGTAAAAAGAGAATCTCATGTTCAACTACTGGCGCTATACAACTCATTGGTCATGCTGATGGTCAGAGAAACAAGGATAAACTCTCTGATCCTAAGCAGAAATTGTTGATGCCAACCAGTCAAGTGGCCAGTACTAGCAAGCAAGGAGGAGATGTGGAACAAAAAAATGTATCTTCATCCAGTGTCTGTCAGTGACCAAGTAACAAAAGCAGAAGAACTGTGGGTAATGCAGGTTGATGCTGGAGGGTACTCCTACACATCCTGTGAACGTGGACTACAAAAAGACACAAAATTGTGAAGAGAAGGGACACGGCCCATGGAAGAAGTCACTAGCCCTAAGTCTATCTTGGGTTTTTTTTGTTTTGTTTTTTTTTTTTTTTTAGATGGTGGTTATAGTGTTCTGCTGTGAACATACAATAATGGGGGCTCACTGTCTTTCACCAAGCAACTGGACTGATGAAATCAAAATCAAGAAATGAAGGCCCCCCCCCCCCTGAAAATCTGAATTCTCAACAATTTGCTGTTTATTTCAAGTTCCCTAGTATTCTCTCGGGTAGTAGGGAGGTGGCACTTAGGTCCTTTCGTCATCAAGTAATTGCACAGACAGCTTCTCTCTTTGTTCCTAGCCCTAACTTATATAGAGCTGCCATCAGAAACATTTGGTTATTGATGAAGTGTCACTTGATTCCCCCTTTTTAATTTATTTTTTTATTATTTTCTTCCTTTTCACTCGAGTGGTTTGTTGCTTTGGAACCATATACTTTTTTAAAGACTATCTTCAAGCCATTAAAAAAAAAAAACCCAACACTTCTGACTCCGATAACATCAGTTAGAGCTCACCTGATGTTCAGCTGGTCAGTGGGGGACCTATTGTGCCACACCATCTCCTGATGCTCTCCATAGCATAAGAGTGACCTTTCAAGTGAAGTACTATTGCCTTGTGCCAAACCAAGTTTAGGAAATCTCAGCCGTAGGCCACTATCTAGAAGCAAATGGAACTTAGTTGATGAAATATTTGGAGAAATTTTCTTTCTCCCAACTTGGGATTGAATCTCTTGGCAGCAATAAAGATGTCAGTAAGTCAATAAGATCACTCTCCAGTCAGAAAATTCTTCAAATCAAAACCAGAAATTTGAGAGAAGAAAACAGAGTCCTTACTCCTCACAGAGTCAGAATCTCCCAGACAAGGATTTTTGGAAGTGGAATTACCAGCTTCACAGTCAGTTTTGAATTCAAAGTTATCCTCCTAGACTGGTTGCCAACCAAGGCGAGAGAACACAATCAGCCCTGTTATTTAACCCATAGCTTTTGAAGAGGAAATGGATTCATACATAATTAATTAAGAAAGCCAGACTAAATAACGATGCTAGGAATTTATACAAAATCACTTTTCTAATAATTTTTATAATAATTAAAAAAATAAATTATAAAGATGCACTAAAAGAATTTCAATTTTGTTTTTAAATGATTTCATTTTAAGATATAATTGACATAAAAAAGAAGAAAGGAAGGAAAAGAAAAAATGTCACTGCATCTCCCTACAGATTGTACTTACCTTTGACAATTCATCACCCAAAGACTCCAATAGTTTGACACTGGAAGATAGTAAAAGTTGTAAGTGAAAATTTATTCAGACAGGCACTGCAATTTTTAAGGAATTATCCATTCTACAAAATGCTTGAAAAAGGCCAAACAAAATCAACTGAAACATTATGGCAACAAAAGTAACAAGAATGTGTTTTAATGGCTGAACATGTCATTTACCGTTGATAATCTATTAAAAATGAAATATAATATGACAAACTATCAAAATTATGATGTTAAGAATGTTATGGTTTTCCCACAGCAAATAAAACAAACTCATATGTCAAACGTTTTGTTTGTAGTCATGGGTATGCACAAGAAAAAAAAAAAAGAACCTTACTCTGCCGTCTGAATCCACACGCAATAGTCTAGGATATAAAGGTCATTCAGTATATGATTCAACTCATATTTCTGCAGAATTTCTTTAATGGCCAAAAGACACTTCAAGATTTGCAAGCGACCTAAAATACAGAATAGTTAAAAAGTAAGCATATATTTGGGGACAGGTCGTGTCTAAGATGACGATTCATGCACAAAGATAAAATTTCTCAAATATTTACAATGGAATTTGTTTTTTTTTTTTTTTTTTTTGCTTCCCACTCAAGAATCATTTAATGAAGACAACAAAAAAATAATAATCTGATGATTTCATGTTAACCACGCTGGATTGCTATGTGATATCCATCCTCTAATATGCCAGTGAATGTTGGACGATCTCCCCACGGATGAGGAGAAAACTAGAGGCAACAGAAACGTGGTTCTACAGAAGGATACTGAGAATGCCATGGATGGAGTGTATGAGCAACGAAGAAGTCTTAAGGAAAATGGAAACAATAAAAGGGCAATAAGAATCAGAAAGAGAAAGTGGAAAATGAAGAAAGGCTTGGAAAATTTTTTACTTCTCTTTCCTGCATAATTCTTAGCATGAATATCACATTCCTTATTCCAGTGTCTCTAATGAAACTGCATTGTTCTTGTTCTATTTCAGTTCTGATGCGCGCACTATCCATCAGAATTCGGATAGTAAGTTTTGTGATATGGTTCATTAGACTGTCTGATGGATTTGTTTGTTTTACAGCACATCAACCTCAATGGGTCATTTAATGCCGACAACTTTTTCTTTTTTTTTTTTTTCCTGGTAATATTTTTGTTTTGTCAAAAATCTATTTCTGTTAATATTTTTTCATCAAAAATGTATAGCTAGTAATATTATTTTTCTAAAATGTATAGCTGATGATAATATTTCTTCAAAAACATATAGCTGGTAATATTATTTTTTCTAAAATGTATAGTTGGCAACACTATTCTTTCAAAAAAAAAAAAAACAAACAATGTATAGCTGATAATATTTTTTCAAAAACATTACCAGAGGCCTTGCTGTTGGGCGTAGTTTATCGTCATACCCAGGACACGGATGTAGTCTGGATGTTAAGTATTTGCTTATAGCTGGGATCCTAACAGGTGCTACTACCACAAGTCAGGGTGGACCTGGGAACACCAGCAATTAAAAGGGGTGGTTCCACGATCCTCAAAACCTCCTGATCAGAGGCCTTGCTGTTGGATATAGTTTATCATCGTACCCAGGATGCAAATGCAGTTTATCGTCATACGCAGGACGGCTGTCTGATGGATTTCACATTCATTAGCATCTGGTTTCTTAGACAGTTCTATGAAAATAGATCTACTTAGATCTTCCGGTATATCACCAGTTATACTGGGCACCTTGAGTAATGGTTAGTAAGCTTGTCTTGCTAAAACAATTACAAATGAGTAGTGAATTCAATCCTCACTGCGTGCTCCTTATTTTCGGCCTTGTGCCACATCCAAGCTATGCTTGGAAAATCATTATCACCAGTTATATATTTCATTTATTATGCCTGTCAATGACAAAATCATCTAAGACTGCCAGCATCTCTATTACTATTTCATATAGTCCTTTTTGTTTTTTTACGGGTTATCAACCTTTTTTTATGTTATTTAAAACTGAAACAAATTTTGGGATTGTAAGAATTTTTTTTTTTTTGCAAGTGAATATTGTATTAACTATTTTGGCGGGGGAGAATAAAAATGATAATCAGATACATGTGTCGAACTTCAATCTTTTTTGAATCTCTCATGTACATTTATATCTGCTCATGGCATATCAAATGTAAACAAATGACGTCACACATTATGAAATGGACAAAGTCCGACAGTTATTTTAAGACATTTTTATGTTTATACATTCTTTTTATAGATACAAGTATTTAAGTAAATGCTCTGTTTATAATAAACAGTATTAAACAACATTTACCAGCCTGAATGTCTGAGAAATTTTCATAGAAAATATTGTCCTCCAACAGGAATCAAACCTGTATCCTATACAAAACTGTCATATAATGTCATAATGTGTGACGTCATTTGTTTACATTTGGATACCCCATAAGCAGATATGAATGTAAGTGAGAGATTCATGGAAGATAGAAGTTTAAAGACTAAATTCGACATTGTTAACCGAACGCTCCTCTGTGGCCAAATCGGTTAAAGGCATGTCAAGCTAAATGACAGTTCTGTATAGGATACAGGTTCGAATCCTTTCAGAGGATGAACATTTTCTATGAAATATGAAAATTTCTCGGACATTCAGGCCAGTAAATGTTGTTTAATACTGTTTATTATAAACAGGGCATTTACTTAAATATTTATACATTCTTTTTATAGATACAAACATAAAAATGTCTTAAAATAAGTGAATCTTAATAAATTCTTAATTTGACTCGGGAGCAAAATTTTATCCCAAATTCTCACTGTATAATATTTGAGTGATGAATGTCAAATTATGAAAAAAATGAACAATCTTTAACCTTCATGTCTGCAAAAAAAATTATATGGGTAGTGGGAGTGTACATACAGTGTAAAAAAAGGGATCATCCACTGCTTACAACATCAAGCAAATTCATAAGTGGTGACTCAGAGACATGAACAAGAAATGGACAATATGAGTAGTACCCTACAACGTAACAACTACCCTCTGACGACAAACTGGGATAGAAGAGTGCAAGATGATAACAATATTTGGGGTAGGCAGACCAAAACTGTTTTCTATGTGAAGGGATTATTTGAAAAAAAATGCAAAGGCTCTGTGGTCCAAATAACATCAGGACGACCTTCAAAAGTGGTTCAACACCTTGCAGACACCTCCCCTGAGTAAGACCTCCCATAGAGGAGAACATGATTAAGAACTGTGTGTACATCATCCTATGCAGCTGTGGCAAGAAATATAAAGGAGAAACAGGCTGCCCTCTTAACACCATAAAACTGTAACATGAGGAGAAATAGAAAAATCAGGTGTGGCTGACCATATATAGAGGGAAAATGGGGATCACTGCTCTCTGTGGCACGAGGTTGAAATAATAGAGAACATCACTGGAAAATGATAAATAAAAATTTCCTTATAGTTGATTTACTTATTTTAATAATTTAGTAAATGTTTATAAATTTATGAATAAAATATTGTTTTCATATTTATTTCTTTATAAAATTGGTAAATGAATAACTATTGCATTAGTTCTAATTGTATTAGTTTTTCAAATGTTGTAAATATAAAATTATTCTTGTAAATAAACAATCTAATAAATAGTGTTGTAAATTCTCAAGAACAAAAAAATGCGTAAATTCTCTTTCATCATATTCTTTTTTTAAAAACAATAAACATTGCTGAGGAGTGAAGATAGTTAAAATAATGGTGGTGTTAAGGGGAAAAAAGCCCTTTTGACACCATTATTTTTTAGTACAAAGGTTAAAGACAGCCAAAAAAAAAAAAAAAATGAATGAATACCAATATATTTCACTGTATAATATTTGATTAATGAATGTCTATTTTCACTGCATAATACTTGACTGATGAATATCCAGGTAGTGTAGATGAGAAAAAGAAATACGCAATTTCTTACATTCACTTTCACACCAATAAGGTATGAATTCATCTCTTCTCCCCCAGCTATGGGTTAGCTATCAAGGTAGACTGGTCTCTCTAGCCATAAATGGCAAACAGGCTAGGAAAAGGACAACTGAATTCAAAACCCCCACTGTGGCAAGATGCATATCAAACAACCATTGAAAAATTAGGGTGTTCACAATTAACAGTGAGGTGGTGGAGTCAGAAAACATTAGACAGAGGGAGAAATCAGACAAAATACTTTCAGATAAAACAAAAAAAAAGTGTTTCATTGCAAATACAAAATATTTTCTAAGTGAAACCCAAACATACCTGTTTTGAAGAGTATTGTCAGATCTGAAAGCACCAACATGTTCAATTTCCAACTACGATAGAGAGGGTAACATAGACAACGACGGAAACAAGATACAAGGACTTCTTTTAAATCAATAAAGGCCTGTAAAGAAAAAAAAATTAAAGAGATTAAAATATACCAAAAGCACAGCATAAATATCTCAATTTAAATTACTTGTAACATCAAAAACTACACACACACACATGTACTCATTGCACCTTCTCAGGCTAAGATTTTCCACTAACATGAAGTGGAAAGGTTATATTGAATCAATTGCTAGGTCTGCTGTTAGGAAAGTTGGTTCACTGTGTCAATGAAGACAATTTTTTTTTGCCAGAATTTATTTTTCTTATATATTTATAAATCTACCATTCATCCATACATCGAATATTGCTGCTATATCCAATCTGGAGCTCCTGCTATATATTTAGTGGTTCTTGATAAAATCCAAAGAAGAATCTGCAATGTTATTGGTCCTGACTTGGCAGCTCAGCTTCAGTCAATTTCCCACTGTCATAATGTAGCTTCCTTATGCTTTTTTTTCTGTAAATACTTTTATGGTAATTGTTCTGATGAACTTTTCTCTTTGATGAGACTAAGATATTGTGGTGGCTGTAGTAAGAATGATAAGAAAGAATGTGTTATTTTGGTATAAGGAATACTGTGGTATGTTTGGGTTAGTGATTGTAGCTAACTAATTATAAGACAGTTGAAGACTGCTCTTACCCCCTCCTTTCGGCCATGTGCCACATTTTTATATTTTACAAAATAAATATTACTTTACTCTATAGTAACTGAACTTTATGAATTTAATTGCAGTATTAGATGGGTGAAAAGGTTTCATCATTCTACAATTGAAATGTAACCATAAGTTCTATGCTAACAGTTTCCACATTCTCATATTCATATTTTATTCTTTTTAAAATAATAATAAGTGCTCATTAATGTTGTAGCACAATATGTCCACCATGTGACCAGTTGAACACACGTGCACACAAAGTGGGGGCCCTAATTGATGCTGGGTTTTGTTTTGTTTTTTTAATGGTTAGGAAAGAAAGTCTTTGGAGTCTAGGGTTCAAAGCGACAATCCACATGAGTGAAGAGCAAGAAAATTAATAAAGAAATCAATAAAAAAGGAGATGAATTGGTTCTTTGTCAGAAAACAAGATGTTTCTAGTTGCAGCCTTTATTGAACTTATTACGGAGTCGCTAACTGGGTGCCCTGTGATTGGATGAAAAAAACAACCAATCACAGGCTACCTTTTTAGACTTTCACCAAATCCCCATGTGAGCGGTTTTTACAAACGCTCTTCCTCTTTTGCTTGTCGGGAACCTCAGAGACAACACATTCCCCATCTGCACTCCGTCATCTAAACATTAGGACATGTGTGAGGACTTTGACAGCAATTGAAGCACAGGAGTCAGGACTCTATTTTCTTCAACCAAGCCAAACAGGAAAGATAAACCAGTTATAAGGACACATTTTGCAGATAAGTCCCGCAAACCGACTGTTTGCAATTTGAAACTTTACTTCTGTTTTCCTACAAATACATGTTTTTTCATACATTTTTCAACTGTGTTTGTGTTCCTTTCTTCTTGCTGGCGTCACAATATTTTTGTTACCAATATAATTGGGAAAATCCCAATACCTTATATAAGTAGAATCCCGGTTAGGGTGACACCTAAGCATCGCCTACCTCCTACCAGAGAGAATACTAAGTCTGTCCAGGGAGGGGGAGACATCCTTGAGATAAACACCAAATTGTTGAGAACCAGATTCAATTTGTGTCTTCATTTCCTGATGTTGATTTAATCTTCCGTTTCATCTGGACATAGTATGAGTCTTTTCTAGTTTTCATACATACTAGCTAACGAGAAACATACTACAACATGGGGATTAATTTGTCTGGTCGATGAAAGAGTCTTCGTTGTATGTTCCCAAATGTCTCATGATGATTAATTCATAAAACAAATGAGTGCATATATAAAACGTTTAGAAATCAGTTGAGGGCTCAATTACTACACACAGCCCTAAACATCTGCTAGTGACCTTGGATTACCCTCCCTCACAATTAGGGCCCATGGGTGGTAGGACTATTGTTTTTGATTTCTATGCTCAGCAGTAATGGTTTACAATCAAAATGATTAAGAGAGATAAGGGATAAATCAAAAGACCAGAATAATGACCAAATTTTAAAGATTCTGACAGAAACACGCACACACAAAAAGCATTCATATAGACCTACCACAAGACAACTCATCACAGAACTCAATTTGGCAATGTTCCAACCAGATTCAATCTGAAAAAAGAATCAGTTCCAAAATTAGACACAAAATGAGACATCATATTTAACTTGAACAGTTTTAAAGTATTATAAATTTATAAGATTAAAGCCAGTTTCACATGCAGGTCTTGAGGATTGTCTTTATATGAGAATTTAGGTACCTCCAAAAATTTGCTAAAAAAGCATACCATGATGAAAAAAAAAAAAACAAACTTAATAAAAACAAAGTTTTATTGTCAAGATGTTTGTTATTATTAAGAGTAAAGACCAAAGTGTTTTTTGATTATTTTATTAAATTTTTTAATCATTTCTAGCACATTCAAAATTTTGGTTAAAATTTGTTTGTTTTTTTTCTTGCATCAGGAGGTGAGCCAAAGATTAATATGAGAAATTTAGCACCCTTTCTTTTCCTTTTTTTTTTTTTTTTTTTTGGTAAAAAAATAGTTTCGGAAATTCTTGTAAAAATCAAATAATTGTCTGATTTTAATGAAATTTTCAGGGCTTATTGACAAAAGAATTATTATTTTCAAAATTTTATTTTACTTTTTTTTTTTTTCTTGGTAAATTTGTTTTTTTTTTTGTATTTTTTACATCTGTTACCACCCACCGCAAGAAATTAAAATTCCAGCCTTTTCATATTCATATTTGTTAAAAGCAGGCCTCCTTGGAGAATTTAAATCATCAATTTATTTTTGTCAAACAGAAACATCACTTACCAAAATTCTGCTCTGAATCATAAAATAAAAAATAAAACTATGACATTATTTAATTTTCTAATTTATTTTAATCACTTTTATGAATAAGATATATTAAGGACACTATTTGCCTTAAAGAATTTTTACAAGAATTGTTTTCTTTTTGTTTTTAATTTTAATTAGAAAAAATATTAAGTTTTAAATCTTAAAATTCTGTATTAATTTCACTCTTTTAGATGATATTATTATCAAGTAAAAACTATGTCTGCTAATCATAAATGGAAAAGCTTAATACAAATCATCAAACATCAATATTTTAAAAAGAATTTTGAATTGTTTTTGTATGTGTATAAATGTGCTGAGTACAAGTGACCATACACAACATTATCAAAAAATAAGCGATGACTAAAGCCAGAATTTTGAAAAAATTAGACCATCATCAAACTAAAGTAATGTTTATGTTGATGCAACTACACACACATATAAAGGAAAGGGGACACCAAGAATTTTAAATTTTATTTTTTTTTAAATATATTTTTTGGGTATATAGTTTAATCGATTTCATTTAGTTTCTTTCTTTTTGCTCATGTTTCCATCACTTTTGTTTGGTTTGGTTTGTTTTACGGCATATCAACCTCAATGGGTTATTTAATACCGACAAAATTTTTATTGCTGGTAATGTTTTTCTTCAAAAATCTATTTCTGGGAATATTTTTTCCCTGAAGAAATCTATAGCTGGTCATATTTTTTTCAAAGAATGTATAACTGTTTGTATTGCTGATTTTTTTTTTTAAGTATTGCTGATAATAATTTTTCCTTCAAAAATTATTGTTGGTAATTTTTTTAATTTTTTTATTACAAAGTATTTCTGGTATTAAAACCTATTTTTACACAAGTTTGGGTGTCAACTATTTGCCCATAGCTGGGACCCTAACAGGTGCTACCACCCCGGGTCAAAGTGGGCCTGGGAATGCCAGCAATTAACACATGGTTCCACACTCCTCAAAACCTCCTGACCTTGCTGTTGAACGTAGTTTGTCTTGCCCAGGACGCAGATGTAGTTTATTATCATACCCAGGACGGACCATCACTTTTGTAAGATCTGCCATGAAAGATGTAACATAAGAACAAGGACATAAATTTACTGTGGTGATCTAGCAATTAAAGCATTTTCTATATATTTTCGTCTTAGATTAGTGTAACATTTTTTAAATCAAAATTGTGGTCTAACTCTTTACTAATACATGATGGAGGAATTTAATCTATCACCTGTAATAATTGTCAGAAAGAATACATTGGAGAGACCTGAAGGAATTTAAATAAAAGATTATATGAACACAAAAGGGGTCATTTACAAAACAATACATGCAATGAATTAGTTGGTCATCATATTGAGACGGGCTATAATTTTGACTTGAAATATCTACTAGTGTTTTTTGAGTTGTGATACAGCGAAACAGTCTGTCCGTGGATGACTATATATGCTCCTGGAAATCCGGTTGAGCTCTCTAGGGAAAGGAGGTTTTAAAAACAGCAGCTCCTACTGCTATTAAGCATTACTCTTCAAGTATGACTTGAGTTCTCCAAGCTGCTGGCATATTTCGTATAGAGAAAAACGTTAAAATTCTCTTCCTTCCCTGCCATGTGACGATGGCCTAGAAGTAAGAGATCTGACTGATATCAAATCAGTCAGGTTTTGATCCTGGCTTGAAGCAATCAGATGTCTAGCCACACTGAGAAGCTGAAAATACAGCAAAACAGTCTGTCTGTGGATGACTAATATAATATATATATATAAAATGTTTGTCCCTTCTTTGTAGAAGATCATCTCTTCACTTGGTAGCATTTTTTGTGTTTTTTCATTCAGAATTTTATTATTTCAATCATTTTTACCCAAGCTAATGCTCTGCTATGGGCACGTATGTGATTCTTAAGGCCAGCTTCACTTTTACAACCTCTCATACACATGTGGCAAACAAAGTTTGTCTGTGTTACCTATGCTGGAAGCTTGCCTGTCTGTGTACTATCATGTGATATTTGAGTCCCACAACAGACTTTCAAACCTTGTCACAAAACTTGCACAAGTAACCTGCTGGTTTTTCTGGTAGGGTTGCATTCACAGGAGTTTGCACCTGACATCACTGGCTAAACCAGCCGTCAAAAGGGTGACATTTCCACAAATATTGCAAGTGTGTTGGTGTCCTAATAGCTCTGGGACAGATTCTATTTCTCCCTTCCTAATGGCGCACTTTTTGTTTGAATGCTCAATTCTCATCTGATCAAAATTGTAATTATTTATATATATATATATATATATATATATATATATATATATATATATATATATATATATAATGTGTGTAAAATATATAGAAAATAGGAATGAACTTGTTAGGTAAATAATCCAAAGTTCTTTAGTATTTTTGTTATTATTTTTAAAAAATAGTGCTCGATACAAAAGTAGAGCATAAATATAAGTATTTATTTAAAAATATGATTCCAACGCTACATAAGAGTTCTCATGCCGAAAACTTCAATATAATTATTTGAATTAAATTGAATTAAAGTACTAAGTTCTGTTCCATCTTCAAGCAGAATTTTTTTTGGAATAACTTATTCGTGAAATTTATGCATTTTATAAGCATAATCATTATTGAAATTAAGATTACTATGATAACGGTTAGACCAATTGTTTAAAGAAAAGGTGTTTTAAGGGTTAATAATTTGTATCAACATCTCAGTTACATTCACAGACGTCAAGTCAGGGTAAGGTTAGGGTATATATATATATATATATATATATATATATATATATATATATATACACACACACACACACACACACACACACACACACACAAAGGTGCGATGGATAAATTGTCATCTAAATTACACAAAATGAAAACACTGACATCTCATTTAACAGATATATTTACTAAAATGTCACAAAAATACCTTGAAATAGTAAAGAGTAAATTTATTCAAAAAATCATGATTGGTTTCAACCATGGCCTCCAGATGACTTCAGAATCTCTTGCAACTCTTCTGTTCAGTCTCCTTGTTTAAGTTGGTGAATTCTGCCATAATCCTTGCCTTCAGTTCGTCTTTGGTGTTACAAGGAATTTTGTTGGTCTCTCAATTAACTGCATCCCACACATAATAATCAAGGGTGTTGCACTCTGGATGGCCAGCTGTAAAGGGTGATGTGGTCGCAGAAATTGACTGACAGTCATGATTGGGTTCTGCTTGTGTGGTATTGTGCAGTCCTGTTGTCAGACATAGAGTCTTCCAAAAGCCACCCTCATGACCCAGGAGAGCACTACCTCCTCAAGACACTTGATGTAGGCCTCAGTGTTGAATCTGAGACCCTCACTAACAAATTCGACAGTTCTTTTCTTAGAACAATCAGAGTGAGTTTTCCAAGCTGCCGTACTTTCATAATCACCATTACACTCCTTCAACTCTTTCCAAATCCTCTGCACTGTCCTCAGATTGACACCCAAACACTCTGAAATGTTTCTATTGGCACTTCCGGCATGAATGCCAAGCAGTACAGCATATCATTTCCAAATTTCTTTCAGAGTGAATTTGTGCCATGGTACTCTTTTTTCCCCCACAGATGGTGTCCAGCTGACCCTACTATACTGTGCAGTTGACAGAATCAAAAAAAAAAAAAAAAAAAAAAAAAAAAAATCAAAAATGGCCAACATGCATACACAAAATTAAAAATATAAAATGGTAACAATTTACCCATCGCACCCTGTATACATAAACACACTAGTTAAAGCTCACTCTAAAAAGTAATACCTCTTTTATTATGTTGACAAACAGTATCAGAAGTGGATACTGATGGCATGGCAGTAGAGGTTGAACCCTCCAATCAATAACCCATAATTGTTCTTTTTGCTTTGCTACAGTTAGCAGTTTCGCCAAACAAATGATGTCCACTATAAAAATACACATGAACCATAACTATCCATTTTATCCTTGTAATTTTCACTTCCTATCACCTCCTTTCATTCGGTATTACTGTTTTAGCAGTAACCCTCTATCTTGAGGGGCTCTTGAGCCATATGTTGAATGAATTTTATAATGAACAAATTGAAATGAAATAATAAAATACATGTAGAAGCTTACATTTTTTTCTCCTTCATTGACTCGTACATCATAACAGTAGGCAAAAAGGATATCAACCAGACCAAGGTAAACTGTCGTCAAAATAGCAGAATCATCAATGAGAACTAAAGAATATGGGTTACGGTCAAGGCGGAATTAAATATGAAATAATTATACTCAACCAACATAAGTAATTTTCTCATATATATATATATATATATATATATATATATATATATATTATATATATATATTAAGAAATGGACAAAGTCCGACAATTTATTTATTAAAGACATTATGTTTAACGTTCTTTTTATAGATACAAGTATTTAAGTAAATGCTCTGTTTATAATAAACAGTATTAAATAACATTTACCGGCCTGAATGTCCGAGAAATTTTCATAGAAAATATTCGTCCTTTACAGGAACCTGCATCCTATCGCGGAACGCATTTTACCGACCGGCCACAAAGGAGCGTTCAGACAAGGTCAATTTACTGCTTATAAACTTCAATTCGACCTTGTCTACTGAACGCTCCTTTGTGGCGGGTCGGTAAGGCATATCAGCGTAAATGACGGTTCCGTATAGGATGCAGGTTCGAATCCTGTCAAAGGACGAATATTTTCTATGAAAATTTCTTGACATTCAGGCCGGTAAATGTTATTTAATACTGTTTATTATAAACAGAGCATTTACTTAAATACTTGTATCTATAAAAAAGAACGTTAAACATAAAATGTCTTTAATAAATATTTATATATATATATATATATATATATCTCGGAATGTAATGAGAATGAAAATAATATATAAATTCTAATGTTCACAGCATTAACTCAAAAGAGGGCTCTATATGGATAGTAGAGCAATAATTATCTCTATCTATAAAAAGCAGGGTGTGTGTGTGTGTGTGTGTGTGTGTGTATAATGAATGCATGGCCGCAATTTTTGACATATTTGCACCAAAATTTACATGCACATGCTCCAAGTTAGCAGGAAGGCAAAGACTAACTTTGCATTTCCCAACTCCCATCAATAGTGGAAATAATCGATTTTTTCATGCTTCTACGGCAGTTTTCATGTAGTTTGTAGCCATTTTGTACTGGCCAGAGTGAGAGCCTATAGCTGGCTACCACGAATAGGCAGGAAGATTCTATTGGCCAGCATGAGAGCCAACAGCTGACTGACACAAATGTTAACTAGCATGCAAAAAAATCACAAGTGGGAAAAATTTAAATCTGCATGGCACTTTACTCTAATTGGCTCATTCGCTTGCTTAAACTCAATGTTGATTCTGATTCCGCAAAAATGGGTTGGGTGTGAAAAAGGATTTGTTTTTAACATTCTTTTTTCATTCGGTTTTTCCAGTTACGAGTCCTTTTTTAAAGCTGATCGTTTTGTGTTCATTTTATTTAGTTCTTTTTTTCGTAACAGATTTAATGTTTAGTATAAAGCTTAGAAAAAATTTGCAGTGTGAGATAGGCAAGAAGTAAGGCATGTAGCAACATCAACACGGCAAAGGGCACTCCTTTAAAGGCAAGGAAGGGCAAAAATATTTTAAGTCAAGTGATAGCGATTGCTGTATGAGTCGTACGATTTTTGAATCAAGCAGAGGCAACGCCGGGCCATCTGCTAGTTTATTATAATTTTTTCATATAGACAAAAACAATTTAATCACAACAACATCCCCTCTTAAAAATGTACCTTTTTTTTTTAACAAATAGAAAAAAGAAAGTGATGCTCCATGTGTGGCCAGCTAACAAAAAGAATTGTTCATAACTATTTTGGTTCTCACCAGTCGAGATGCAACTAAATGCACCGAAACAAAGTTGCATCTTTGTCATGAGTAAATTGTTTTTGTCTTTATGAAAAAATTATAATAAATAATGTATTTTTTTAAAAGTAACGTTGCACTTTTAGAATTTGAAGGCACAACCCCACCACCTATACATACATAGCCATGTTTTATTTTTCTTGAGGAAGGACCAGGATTAATCTCCCACATAGAAAGTGGGGAGGAGGTCCTGCCTGACACTTGGAATACATGGTTTTAATCCAGACAAATCTTTGCTGCTCTCAGGCAATAAACGAATAAAAGTTATTTTATTAAGTGCAAAAATACACTTGTCTTTTATTTTCATTCATTTTTGTTCATCCCAACAACCTGGGATATAACATTTAACCATAGCTGATCTAGTGATTAAAGCACTTCCTATACACTTTCACCTAGTGTAATTGCTTCTCCCTTTAATTCAAGCAGCATTTTTTAAAGCGAAACATATTACACAGAATTTCCTCCATTTTGTCATTTATATGCCTAATGAAGTTATTAGAACATTTGCCTTTGTTTATTTTTTATATTTAAGAATTTTATTTTATTTTGTTAATAATAATTTTAAAATATGAAAAATAAACATCGTTAATACTGTAATTAGACTTTATCATTGTTAATAATGATCACAGTGTTAATGACGAGAATAATGATCACAGTTTTAATGACACTAATAATGATCAGCATGCTCTCAACAAATTTAATTTTACATTTGAACATTTCTTTTTAAATACTGGGGATGTGAGTGAAGGATGTAACACCAAAAGTTGGGGGGGGGGTGATTTTTCCATTTCAAGTTTCAAATTGCTGGTTGTAACCATAAGCTTCTAATAGCTTCTTCTCACTTTTGGAACTCTCTTCCAGCTTCTTGGTTTCCTGACAATTACAATCTTCAAAGTTTTAAATTTAATGTCAATTGTCAGGTTCTAACTCTTTGAATGGTGTTCAGTGGGCCATAAATATCAAAAAGCATAGACTCAAGGTAGATTTACTGGGCTTGGATTAAAGATGCATTAAAATGGCAATAAAATGGAACCAAGGAAAAATCATGAGACATTCACAGCAACTGAGAGGGGGGGGGACATTTTGAAGACCTCTGAAGGATACATTCTTTCTTTGGCAGTATGGTTAATTTATATTGTTCATCTGGAGTTAATTCTGAAAGGCAAAAAAAAAAAATGTTTAGTCAGACATACTCAGTAAATAGGTTATTTATACATGAGAGATCGGAAAAACATTAAATCTAGGAAAAAAAGAAAAAGAAAGCCAAATGCAGACAAAGAAGAAAGAGAAGCGCAAACAAAAAAACAAGAAGACAAATGTTAACGAAAAAGAAAAGCAGGCAAAAAACAAAAAGTCAAATGCGGACAAAAAAGATACGTAAAGAAAAAAATGCAAAGAAATAAAGAAAACCAATAAGACAAAAAACAAAAAGTCAAATGCTGACAAATAGAGACAACGAAAAAAAAGAAGAAATGCAGACAAAAAACAAAAAGACAAATTTAGACAAAAAAGAAATGTAAAAACAAAAAGAAATGTAAAGAAAAAATGCAAAGAAAAAAAGAAATGCAAACAAAAAATAAAAAAATGCTGACAAAGAAAAAAAAGAAATGCAACGAAAAACCAAAAGACAAACGCAAACAAACAAAAAAAAAAACAAAATCCAACAAAAAACATAAATTGAAACAAAAGCAAACACGGACAAAAACTTTTTTTGGTTTTTATTGCAACTCAGTTCATTATTCACACCACTGTTTGGCTTTCATATTCAAACCAGTCAAGCACTCTCATCATAAGATAGCTCTTACAAGAAGGTGGCCAATTCAAATCTCAAAAGGAGATTTATTTCAAAGCCATCCTATTTAATGGCCAGAGAATAACAATCCATGAGTTGCAATAAAATCAAGCAATTGAAATTAAGACGAAAGAAATCCTAGTCAAAAATTAATAATTGTTAACAATACCTTATCTAAGAAACAAAGGTATATCATTTAAAGCTTATAGGGTTGACAGGGTTTCTTTTTAATATCATACCTGTCAGACTTTCAGGTGAGACTCCTTTCTCTTGAGATTCATGCCACGATTTGACCCATGGTAGGACATAATCACAGATATTACAGATTTTTTTGTCTGCATCAATGAAATCAGCACTAGAAAAGAAAAATTGAATACAATCAGTAACAAAATTACACACCAAACCCACCTACACTAACATTTGTTTTCTCTGGGATCGTTTTTTTTTATCATTTCACCCCAAGTAAAACAAAAGAGCCAGTAATATACAGGGGATTACCGAGTGTGAAAGAATATAAGAAATAAATGTTATTAAGTAAAGAGAACGATAAAAGAACAAAAATTAAGAAGACCGAAGATAATGATTGATATTGCATTTAAATTTTTAAAGATCAAAGTTGACTGGGAAGCAAGAAGACAGAAGAGCTCCACAAGCAAGTTAGTATAGAACTTCAGGTTACATGTGGCCATTTCAACTGTAAAATGATGAGACATTAGCAAGACCAATAACATTACAGATTCTTCTTTGGATTTTATCAAGAATCTCTTCCTAGCTGCAATGTGTCCAGATGAGAAAGATTAATAGACAAAACTGTTCTATATCTGTCTGAGATGAGGTATTATGATTACTTGCATTATTTACATTACTCAGATTGTTATCCTCATCTTCATTGCCATATTCACGTTTCAGCCGTTGTAAGCTCTGGCCTTCTTCAGGTGATTGGAATTTCAAACAGAACCCTTTATTTCATCCACCGGGAGTAGATTGTTCTAGTTCCACGTGCCATGCCTCTTCCAAATATCACAGTTATTTCCCTTTAACACAAGTAAGTTTGGTTGACCATGTCCTGACGAGACATGGTCAACCAGGATGGGGGCCCTCCAGGGTGGAATCAACCATAACTGTTCTCACCATGCTCAGCCAATTGTAGGCAGGTGAGACAATTTAACTCATAGTCGGTGATTTTGAATTCAGAGTTGTCCTTCTCCTAGACCAACTGAAACTCAAGGCTATAGGACCCAGTCTGTCCTGCTGTTTACCTATACCTGGGGAAAGAAGATATGGATTCATACTTTTCCCAAGTGTATTTGCACATAAGTGAATATAACAGACTAGACTGGAATTTGAACTCAGCTCTCCAATTCCTCAATCCAAGCCACTATCCATTACTCCACCATGCCTCCTTTGATGATAACTACTTCTCATAGTATGCACATACTATATTTTGATTCTATTATTTATGCCTCTCCCCCATGAAGACAAATTTGATACAGAGTCATTTTAAGGTGAGTGTGACACTATCTGGTACTGGTAAATAGAAAGAAAAGAGTTAACTCAAAGACATAGCTCAGAACAAGACAAGAAGGGTTAATGAATAGAACAATGGACAGACAGAAAGAAAGAAGGAAGATTTCTCTTTTCCAAAAGAGAAAAGCTGAATTCTCTAAAACCAGAAAAATTACTTAGGGATAAGTGATATTACCACAAGAGGCCATGTGATGATCTTTAGGCTGACAGCTAATTAATGCCTCAGCTCCAAAGGACTGGTTACGAAAACACAATATAAATGGGACGGATAAGATTTGATCTGTGAATAGAGTTTCTTTGTGTAACCTAGGGTATTTGAAGTGCAATTACCTTGGCAGGGTTGGGGGAATGGCTACAGGAGAACCACCTGGTAAATTACTGATTTTTAAGTAAAACTAAGCTGAGAAAATTTCACTTACACAAAATTTCAAATAATAATTTAAATTAATGACCATAAGTTAGGCCACATCAAGTGGTCGAGAGCCAGATTGGTTGGAGGGCAGCCAAGGTGGCAGGTGCAGGTGAAATATCAAGTGAGGTGGAGGAATTGCCACGCCCATTGGGAAGTATTGGTGTGAGGTACCAATAAGAGAAAGAGGAAGTTATCAGAGGGGATCAATGCCTGTGACCGCTGCCCATAGGAAAAGAGATCTCTCCAAATTAATTTTCTAGAGTCAGACAACAAAAAGGCTTTTGCTGGAAGATAGTGGAAACACAAAGTCCCTTAGCCACATTAGACCCCATGCCAGTTTTTGATGAATGTCAACAAATGCAAGAAATCAAAGCCACCATGACAGTTGTTCCAGAAACTGGATATGAGATGACCTCATGTGACTTCCTGCCTGAAAGAAACCACTGCCAGAATCCTTGTCCAAACTTAACCAGCCGAGTGTCACGTTTAACTTACACAGTGGGAAGGGTCGATATTTTGCTGCATAAAGAACTAATAATTTTCATATCAAGAATTAACCAACTCCTATACAAAGTTTGTATAGATAAAAACATTTTCTTTTATTCAAATTAAATTTTTTTTTTTCACTTGTGACTTCACTCTGGCTGGACCAAACCAATACGACAATTCCCATTGATGATGCAATCGGACAGACTGGACAAAAAGAAGGCTACATGAGCACACATGCAAGAGCAAAAGTTTCCCCTCTTCTTAAAGTTGGTGTCACAAAGATAACAAATTAACCTGACACTTCCCTTATAAGGCATTGGGGAGGTGGTGTCCCTAGGTTTAGAATAGCCAGCTCCAGGCTCACCTGTCACCCAAAAAGCTAGAACACAGCTGAAGAAGAACAGATACTGTACTATGATCCCAGTTAGAGAAACTGTTTAGATCTTAAGATCAGAACAAAGATATATTCAGATTCTAGGCAGAATTACCAACCTACACATTACATGAATTGGAAACAAAATTCAGAGCCAGTTTTCACCAGCATAATTTCCTTCATCACAGACATTGCAAACAATCAAGTAAACTATATATGTTTCTTCTATTATCTAAAAAGTAATGGCCAAGATATTAGTCATATTTTTTATGGTTTTTTTTTTTTTTTTAGTTGACATATATAGTTTTTGGAAATGATAAAATTTTTGGGCTACTCATGTACCCTTCCTTAGAGTATTTTTTTTTGAACTTGGTTAAATTTTTTTTTTAATCTTTTTTTAAAATTTTTTTATTTTTTAAATTTAAAACTTAATTTTTAAGTTAAATTCTTGAACTTGGTTAATTTTTTTTTTTAAATTTAAAAAATTAAAAAGAAATTTTTTTTAATTTTTTGAACTTAGTTAAATTTTTTGTAATTTTTTTTAAAATATAAAAAAATTTTTTTTTTTAAGTTTTTAAAAAAATTTTTTTTTTTTAAATTTTTTAAAAAAAATTTGTTTTTGAACTTGGTTAAATTTAAAATCCAGTGGGCATTATCAACTTTGGTGAAAGAATCACTAATCCTTTGGTCACCATAACCAACAATAAGATATCGACATCACTTTTCCCAAAACCCACAGTTATTGTTATTTAAATTTTGATGGTTACCACCAAACCAATCTAAAGAAATCCATAATCTATAGCCAATGCTTACACAAATAATCAGAGAATTTATAAAAGAAAAGCTTCCTCACATACAAGAAATAGCCATGGCATTTGATTTTAATCTAAATAAATTGCCTTATTGCCTCAAAAGAAATTTCCTATCTCTTGAACTATATCCCATAAATACTGATAGTAACAGGAAACAAAGGCTCATCATTCTATAATCTTTACAAAGATTTTTAATTCCGTAACTTACATAAAGTGGTCTGCATCAAATTTCTTTGATTCAAGATCATATTTCTGTTCCATTCTCATCTTTGTACAATATTTATCAGGATTCTTGATGTCTATCACACTAGCAAACTCATCCTGAAATTAAAAATTAAAAAAAAGATTAAAAACCGACATAGGTTAGACATGATATTCAAAAAAATAAAAATCACTGATAGAAAACTTAAAAATTGCAACTTAAATTTCTTTTACAGCTATGGAAAATAGAAAATGTACAATTTCCTTGAAAATTGTTTCATGCTGTACATGCAGGCATCTCCATCAGGGGAAAAAATGTTTTGTCAGGCAGAAGGCTGAGCTGTGACAGCAACTATTCAGCAATCCCACACAAAACTCTTGACAAAGAATGAAAGCCTGTAACAGCTCCTTATATGAAAATAAAGAAACTGACCAATCCAGAGGTCTCTTTCACAGCCTTGTTGCAACCAACATGTAACAAGTCCTCTGATTGGTCAATAGATGAGTTAATGACAACCCTGCCTTGTTTCTACTTTGGTGGACAATTTAGAAATTCTCTTTTGACAACTGACCCCAAAGCAGAAACAATATACGAACCTGCTTTTTGACCAACAACAAAGTTGAAAAATCAAAGAAACATGTATTTACCATTACCATTTAAATAAATATCTCTAATTATATATATATATATATATATATATATATATATATATATATATATAAATAATTATTTTTTAAAAAAATTATAACATAAGTATGTTATAAAATCACTACAAAATAGCCATTTTGTTTCAACACACTCTGTGTCTTATCAAGTGATGATGTTGAAAAAGAAAATAAATGGTTTTAAAAGTTTCAGATTAATTAACGATCCTACACTAGGGGAAAACATTGTTACAAAAAGCTAGAATAACCAATCAAAAACAAAGTATAGAAAGATTCAAAAGCTTGACAACGAAATCATGCTATAATAGCTATTCAGATCTTTAAATACGTGTAATATTAAAAATAATTTATACTAACTAATAATTATAAAATTATATGATAAAATTTAATATTAAAATTAAAAACTGGCAATTTTTAAAATCCAAATTTAATCACTATTAAGTTTAAAAACTACAAAATTATTGAGAAAAGAAAAAATATATGTTTATTCAATTCATTTCTTCATTGAAATTACGCTCGACAAGACAAGACGCTACAATACATCCGGTCATTTGACAATACATGTATATATATATTTTTTCTTTTCCCTTTCTTTCCGTTTTTATTTTAAAGTTTGTGAATGTGGTCTTAAACTCACGCGTAAAAACAACAAAAACACAATCAGATTATAATACATAAGCACCCAGACATAATTAGATACACACACACACACACATAAAAAAATAAAAATAAATAAATAAATAAATAAAAGGAGGTGGGGGGGGATACAAGAACATCTCTACAGCCCTTTATGAAAAAAGGAGACGTGGAAACTAACACTTATACACACACACAGTTAAATGTGAATACACTCTACATACACATAGACACCGATATATATACATACATACATCCACAGACAATGACGTAGACAATGAGAAATCACAACCAATAAATATTTCAGACTTAAATAAATGCTAACCATTTATTGAATTATAACTTAAGGGAGCAAATATACAAAGATAAAAATGGTTAAAAAAATATTATTTAATATATTAAAACGAAAATTCTAAAACCATAAATATCAATAAAATATATATTAATCATATAAGTTGATAATAGTTTCATTATATATTAAGCAAAGAAAAAAAAAAGGATAAAAAACCCACAAATATATACATATATATATATATATATATATATATATGGCAGCAAAAACAAATTAACACACATAAATATACACTCATACATACATATACATACAGAAATACATACAAATAAATATATAAACATATACATATCATATACATATCTATGATAACAAGTACACATGCACGCACATATACATATAAACCTAAATACACACACATATATACACACAGACTTTTATGCACACATACTTACATATATATAAAACAGTCATGATATACCAAAGTTTCCCATACCCACACATACACACAAACAAACTCATACATAATAGGTGCCAACACACACACACATATATATACATACACAAACATACATAAATATATATACACACATACATACATATCTACAAATAAACATATATAAATATATCAATCTACAATAACAACTACCCATATATACATGCATACATAAAAATACAACACTCAACCAAATACATATATAAACGTACTAACATATAGATACATAAATATACCTTCAAATACCAACACACAGCAATAGTCTAACATACAAATATATAAACACATTCATACAAACAGAAATATACTTAAATATAAATACACATACAAATAAAATAGGACATATAGATATATATATATATATATATATATATATATATATATATATATATATATATATATATATATACACACACACACACACATACATATATATATACACAAATATATCGTGGCACAAAGTCAAATTAGGGGCACCCAGTGAGGAACGAACTCATTACTCAGTCGCACCTAATCTAGCGAACCATGCTGGCCAACCATTATACTGCCCGTGATTTTATCATACATATACATACTCATACATATACACACATATATACATATATATATATATATATATATATATATATATATATATATATATATATATATATATATATATATATATATATATATATATATATATATATATACACATATATATATATTTATATATACATACATACATATACACACATAAATACATACATATACACACACACACACACACATATATAGGCACACACGTACACATATACAGCAACAATTATTAACCTTTACTCTTATAATCTACCTTACCTTCCCACATAATATATATATATACACACACACTCACATATATATACATACACACACACCCCACACATACACCCACACATATATAATAAAAAAAAAAAAAAACCATAAATACACTTATACACCAACCTACACATTCCTCAGTGCAAATACTCTAACCAACACATAAATAAATATATACACAGTTACACCAACACTAATAACACTATGCAGGTAAACAATACACACTTATATCGTAAGTATGACCATCATGCAATAAAAATACTAATCTATTAAAAATACAGCGACATATCATTATCATTTAAAAGTATAATGACCCTACACTAAGTTAAATTTATAACGGTGTTTACAATTTACTGTAAGTTCATATCTTTGATTTAAGAGATCAGCCTTGTTTTAAATCTAATAATTTCAAATTTTTCATTAAGGCATAGGTAACATGGGGTATATAGGGAGTTACATATACGAGCTTTCTTAACCAAACTCCATTTAACCGTAGGTGTTTTGTTCTTATCTTTTAGATTCCAAAAATACTTGGATAATGAAGTCATGTACCTATATTCACTGTGATTAAAGGATTGCATATGCCCCCCCAGCGTTCCTTGAATGTTTTCATAGTAGAACCAATGTAAAACTTCTTTATATTTGGATTTTCAATTGTTGAAATAGTACCAAGATAGACTACAGAAGTAATACCACAGTTAGTTTGTAGTGGACAATTATTCGGATTCCTACAATTACATAAGTTGTTATTTGTATTCTTATAATTAGTATTGCAGTTAGTAACCTGTTGATTAGTCAAGCCTTTTGAACTCCTATACTTGTTAAAGACTATGTTGTTATGTTTTTTAATTATCTGCTCCAGGTTATCAGCACAACTATAGCTTAATTTAAGGGTATTAGGATTAAATATTTTACTAAGTGGGTTAGTTTCAGGGTTGGGGAAATGTTTTTGATTAGATTTATAAATATCGCTAACTTAGTTTTGACCATAACATTGAAAGGGGAGTGAACCAAATAATCTTTCTAGATCTTCTTTTCTTATTATGGTTGCAATTAACAGGGTTTTTATATTGAATAGTGGTATTTTTGTATCCACTATTTTTTAGTGCAGAATTATAAAATCACTATGTTTATTGAAAACCTCCTTATTATAAGAGTTAGCGCTAATTCTAAATTCAATGGAAGAGGGTATATGTTTGATAACCGAAGGGGGATGGTTGGAATTAGGATGCACATATAATGGGTTGGAATTAACCTTCACATATGGTTGGAAAATGTTGTTAGCAAGATCTAGGGTGACATCTAGAAAATCCACTTGTCTAACATTAGTAGTAACTATGAAATTATATATATATATATAATTTCATGTTTCTCTTGTGGCCAGTTATTAGAAGTGGAGCCATATTGTGTATAACTGTAAGAGTGTCCACAACAAGCCTAATATATTTTAAAAGGAATAGATTTTTTAAGCACTAATATGTAAAAAGATGTGATTATTCACTATGGTACCGAGACTGTATGAATTTAAGCACAATACTAGACTGGCGGCCAGATTGCATCAATTTACAGTTCAGCTGGCAAGATGTAGCCGTAACTCCGATGCTGACAGTTTCTTTTCTAGCACTTCTTATTTGTGGAACTCCCTTCAGGCGTCATGCTTTCATGCCAACTTTAATTTACAAAAATTTGAATGCAATGTCAATCACTATCTACTGTCCTCCTGATGGCTCTTTTCTCTTTCTACTCATTACTAATGTTTCTGTTTCTAATTCTTCCACAACCTGCAATCCCTTGCATATTAGTGATTGTACTGCCTTGCTTGAGGTGATACTGATAAAAAAAAAAAAAAAACATCACACACACACACATATATATATATATATATATATATATATATATATATTTAGGCAGCAATCTTTCATTTATACATGCTTCATTAAAGATGACAAACAAGATACTACAATTAAGCTTTTTATTTAATTTTTCTTGTGTTTGAACAAGTGCTTTCTTTTCTGGACACAGAGTGTGTAGAAACTGTCCAAATGTTCTGCAATTCTGAGCACTTTCGGCTATACTTTTAGCCATTATCAAGGATGATTTTTGCTTGTTAATTGGGTCTATGGGTTGTGTGCATGTATCTAGAGATATAGGGATGTTTTATTTTCCGAACACAGCACATTGCGGCAATGTTTGCAGTTAATATTATTGAGTGTTGGCTTTTTCTTTTTTATTATTAAGGCTTCCATTATTTTTAATCTTTTTTTACATGTGGACAAGGTTATTAAGTTTGTATTTTCTACTGGTATACTATATTCTATGAGAACAGGAGTGTTTGGGAAAGGGATAAAGAGAAGGATAGGGATTAAGGTCAAGGCATCAGAAGATGTCGATTGACATTACATTTGAATAGGAGTTTATTTTTTTTGACTAAGTTCATAGTTAAAGTTAAGGACAGAATTTTTTTCAAATGTAGTCTTGAGAGTATCTATTTCTTTTGTGTTATTTGCTAAAATAAAAATATTTTCTTCGTAGCCGACATATATTTTAGGTTTACAGACCTGTTTAAGTATCATGTGTTTTACATGGAACATGTAATAATTGGAGAAGACATTGAATAACCCATTAAGAGTGATATGCTGTGAAACAAAATAAACCAAACTACCACATTTATGATTCCCCCAATAAAATCATTTAGTCTGAAGTCCTTTCAAAGAACAAAAAGTGTACAATATTTTTTTTATTTGCATTCAATTACCCATCATATATAATTTGAATAAAAACCAAAAGCTAAAGACTTAAAATATGCACTCACATTTTTTTGTTTAAAAATGGCACATTTAAACTTAACAGAGATAATTAACAAAAATTTCTAAATACTTCTGTGAGTTTTCAGACACCTTGTATAATAATAATAATGATAAAAGTTTACTTACATTTAAATTTTCAAACACACGTAATCTTTTATTTGCAAAACCATAACCTTCATTGAAGTCGATTTTTGAAGCTCTTGGACATTTGAGGGCATCCCGTTTAACATACCAAGAAAATTCTTCATCTTGTAATGTATTTCCATTATCTGAATTGTCCTCCTCTAAAGAAAAAGAGTTTTTGCTAAAGAATTTCTTATCTAATATAAGCCAAGAGTTTAGGCACATACTCAAAATTCTTAAAATTACTGTATTTTATATGTGCACAAATATCCCATGAAAACAGCAAATAAATGCAATTCTATATCAACCAGCATGCATTTCATATTTTGCCCAACTTAAGCAGTTCTCAATGGAGTTAGTTAATTTACATATTCAACATCAAAATTTGATTTTTAAAAATATTTCCAATCTGATATTTTGTGATATTTATTAAAAAAAAAAAAGCAATTATTTTCTTGATGGCATTTATAATTGCTTAGTTTTCAAATAATGTTATTTTCTGCCCTAAAAGGGGTAATGACCTTTGCATTTAGAGCACTGCTAGAAAGTAAACAACATTGACATTTTCTTTGAAGTATATTTGGAAAAAATATATCAACAAATCTAAATTTTCATTTCAGGAAATTTTACATTAAAAATGAATTAGAGACAATTTTTGATGGAAAAATTTCAACATTTTAATTGTTATTTTAAAGCAAAATTAAAGTCAATAAAAAAAAAGCTACAAATTATTTTTTTTTAGAATATTTTGTCAATTTTTTTTTTTTTTTTTTTTAGAATGTTTTTGTTAATTATTTTATTTTTAGAATATTTTCGTGCTGATATTCTTTTTAGCAAACCAGGAAAATTTTCTGGCAAAACATTCTTTTCATGTAGTTTGATCCATTTTGGCTAAATATACTTTGAATATTGCTGTCATATCTATTTTAGTGCTTCTGCTATGTATTTAGAGATTCTTGATAAAATATAAAGAAGAATCTGCAATGTTATCGGTCATGATCTAGCATCTTGGCTTCAGTCACTTTCCCACCATCATAATGAAGCTTCCCTGTGCCTTTTCATAAATATTTTCATGGTAATTGTTCTGATGAACTTTCCTCTATGGTACCAAGTACTAAATTGGCGGCAAGGTTTCATCATTTTACACTAGAAATGGCTAGATGTAACCATAAGTTCTATGCTAACAGTTTCTTTTCTCGCAGTTCTCCCTTGTGGAACTCTCTTTCGGTTTCTTGCTTTCCAATCAACTTTGATCTTCAAGAATTTAAATGCAATGTCAATCATTATCTTCTGTCTTCTTAATTCTTGTTCTTTTATTGTTCTCTCTCCTTAATAGTTGTTTTTTTTTTCATATATTCTCTAACACTCTAGTAACGTCATGCATCTTAGTGGATTTATTGCCTTGCTCGGAGTGAAAAAACTATTTCTTTCAGAAATCTTTCATTTTTAAAAAAAAAACTGAAAGTAAATAAATAAATAAGGTTAGTTTGTGTACCTATGATCAATGTACCGTAGTTAATTTCATTTCTTCAATTATTTGGACCTGGCCTATGGTACTAGTAGATGTGAAATGGATGTCATAAAGGATCTCAGCCTGACCAACATTCAAAAATTTGTTCAAAAGAATTTTTTTTTTTTTAGTCAAATATAAAAAAAAATACTTCTTAGGATTAGCTTTCTTTCATTCAGAGAGAAAAAGAAAAGTACCTCAGATTGTCATTAACAATCTGGTTCTATTACTGTTTCTGAAAGTTTCCTACTGGGGAGTGGGGGTGGGAGCTTCTGGTGCTACTTTAGATTAGTGACAGATGACAAAGAATAAAGGAACTAAAGAATGCAATTTCAGGATTTGAGAAAAATAAAATTATTTTATTTGTTCTCTAAAAATTCCAAATTTTAAAATTAATGATGATTTGAATAAGTTCAGAGTCACTTTTGTTGGTAGATCTTTAAAAAAGGGTAATTGGTACTTTCAAAATTGGTACTTTAAACTTTAAATTCTTTAAAAATGGGTAATTGGTACTTTAAGTAATTCCAGAAGTATCAAATTTAAAGCAATTTTGTTTAAATGTATGTAACCCCCAAACATTTCACTTACAAATAGAAACAAGGAATATTATTCACTTACTTGAGATAACTTCAATAAGCGGAAGCTTTGCTGTTTTTTCCCCTTTTGGAGTCAACAAACTTGTTATCATTTCTAAACCCTGAAAGAATTCTGCATAGTTTTTCTTGGTAAATTTTAGGGAGAATTTTCCTTTAAAAAAAAAAAAAAGAAAATCAACAAAGTCACAAGCAAATCTAATACATAAAGTTCCAAAGTACACTTTAAACTCTGAAAATTAAAAATAAATATGTATACTTAACCCAACTTAAAAATATGTAAATATGCAAATTACCAACCTAATTTCCATGTCCAGCTTACAAACCAAACCACTTTTGTCATTCATTTCTAGTCTGGTCTTTGGTTACCTCATTATATATATATATATATATATATATATGAAGAAACATAGTTTTACATTGTGCTATATGTATGGGATAAAGTGCTCAATATCAGAGATAGAGCATATGTAAATATAAATATAAAAGTGAATATTGAAGTCAACACTCCAGAGGTGACAGGCTGTTTCATGCTGGATGCCGTCAGGTAGCCTGACGGCCCAGCATGAAACAGCCTGTTGCCTCTGAGTGTTGACTTCAATGTTCACTTTATATATATATATATATATATATATAAAAATGACAGAAATTAAGGAGGATTTGAGATAATTAAGTAATTCATCGAGTCTAAAAGAAACTTCAGTTCTCGGTAGTGGATGCGCATTGCTACAGTTGGTATGATGTTTGCCTGTCAATGTAACTGTCAGGGTTTCAAATTCTCGGTAGTGGATGCACACTGCTGATGAGTCCCAAATATAGAATGAAATGGCCATCCAGTGCTTTCTGCATTCTGTTGAGGTTTCTTCTAGACTCAATGAATTACTTAATTATCTCAAATCCTCCTTAAGTTCTGTCATTTATATATCTTTGCTTGAACCAGCTTCTAATGCTCTGGATGGAGCGGCTTGGTGATAGTAGTTGTGGCTCTCAGAGGCACAGTCCTATGCGTAAAGGAACTTGGATGAGTTCCACCATGGAATACGTGAACGAGTGGCGCAATAACGAGTCTAGTTCACTACCTCTTCGTCACCGAGGCCCATTACTACAGTTGGTATGACGTTTGCCTGTCAATGTAACTGTCCAGGTTTCAATTCCTGGAAATGGAACTAATGTCTTTAATTTAATTACAAAATTAAATTCGGGGTTTTACGCTTCCATTTTTGAAACATGGTTAGAACTCTGTAGCGAAAAAAAAAACATTTTAAATCAATTAATTTATGATATTAATGCTCTGTAAATTTACATTGAGCACTATTTTGTAAAAATAAAAATATCTATAAGAACACCGGATTATATATCTTACTGTTCTTTTCTTTTTTATTATATATATATATATATATATATATATATATATATATATATATATGTGTGTGTGTGTGTGTATTTGTGCTTTTTATTGATGGCTTTTATAATTGCTCTTCCATGTAGCCAATCCTGGCTCTCCAAAGACTCCATGAGAGAGAAACAGTAAACCACTTTCTCTATGGTTTTAAATTCAATCATCCTTCTCTAATAGTGGTTGCCATCCAAAGCTGGAGAGCCCATTCTATATCCTTCTATTTAATAGACAGCTGGAGGTTATTATTGTTTGGTTATTCAAATAAAGCCATCCCACCAAAACACAGCTTGGTAGTAAAGGAAAGTAAGCAATACTGACTTTTTTATAGCAATTAAAAATAAATAAAGTTTAATATGCTATCTATCTACATATATTTTTTCACATGCTCTATCACTAACAATGACCACTTTCACGTATAAATATAACATACCTTAAAACTATATTTTCATCACGTATCACATGCACACATATATACATACATACATATATTTATTGTATTGACTAATTTTAACTTTTTTCTTGAAAGTACAATGAAATTTGGACAATTTCTGATGGAATTTTCTGTCTGAGAAGATTTATTTGTAATTTGGATAATCAATCAGTAAAATAAATCAACACAAAATTTACCAAACATTTTGATTTCAGGTCTGTTTAAAGAATTTTCAAATTCTACAGCAAAAGTAAAGTGAAATAAAGAATGTTTTGTCAGTAGTAATCTGGTTTATATTTTTGCTAGACAGAAGATAAGTCAGGAATTGAGGAATAATTTTGTCTCTTCCTAGAAGAATCAAGAGAAGTAAGATAAATGACTAGACTAAAACAATGCCCTTTTGCCCACACACTTTAAAAATCAGATTTGTTACAAAGACAGTCATGCCTGCCCTGGGAAGTAGGCTGAGGTTGAATGCTGAAAAGGAAGGTGAAAAGAGGAAGAATTTAGCACCTCCTGTGTGGAGTGATGGTACAAGATGTAAAGTGAAGCAGGTTGGAGTTGAAAAGAAGGAGTAATGCCTGTAACTACTCCCAAGAAGGTGGAGAATTCTCCAAATTTGGTAAGTTGATTAAGAAAGCAGAAATAGGGAACAAAGAAACCTTATTGGGATTAATGTGAAAATTGAATAATCACTAAATCCACAGAACCCTTCAGCTCTCATGTCGGTTTTGGGCCAAAGTGCATATAAGCAGATTGCTATGAGAGCTTAAAGAAATACACTGTGAATCCGACATCACATGCCTTTGAAATTCACGTCAGCTACCACAAGGTATTCTAATTGTGAAGAACTTTGAACCCTGAATTTTAGGCGAGGCACAGTGTCACTATAGAGATTAAGGTGAGAAGGGTTGATTTTTGTTGTGTCAAGAATTATATAAACCAATTGAAGATTAACCCAATGAATCTTTCATTTTTTTTTTTTTTTTTGTGGTGATATTTCTTTCTTTAATGTAGTTCCCACTATGGCTCAAACCAGCACTTCAATTACTACGACATTCAATCTTCTACTGCTCTGAAATCAAGAACACAACATGGGCAGAGTTGGTGTGAATCAAGACAGCCAGTAACCAACAACCAGCTTGGACCAGCATCAATATTGACCAGTGCAGAGTTAGCCTTGTGGTAAAAACGTTGTTCCAGCACCCTGAGGACTGGACCACTAAATGTGGTGTAGACGGCAGTAAAAGGGTTATAAAGTGAAATAAAGAATTTTTGAATTCTAAGACAAAAATGAAGAGAAATAAAATTTGTCCAGAGACCTGATCAAATGATTTCAAAATAAAGTATTTTTTCCAGTGAAATCTTTCCATATTGTCTTGTTAATATACCAATACATGATACAACTTATAACCAAAGCCACTCATCAATTTTGGTTCTGTTTACTAAGAGAAAAATTATAGGAAATAAACCCTATTTCCAACACAATTACATACCCACATACATACCATATTAAAACATGTCCAAACTTTATTTTCTACCTATAATGAGTGCAAGCATATCCTCAATGAAGCAAAGCTATTATTTGCTGGAAAAATGAAACAACGTATTGCATCTCGTGAGTTTGGTTCTAGAGATTATTGGCAGCTCTGCAAGAGTGTGCTGAACAACAGCAAATCCTCAATACCTCCCCTATTCAATCAATTTGAGGTACTAACTTCTTCAGCTGATAAGGCTGAATGCTTTGCTCAGAAATTCTCATTGAATTCAATGCTTGACTCATCCGAAGTACCCACACCTGATTTTCCCCCTAAAACTGATGTTGTTGAGTGACATAACTCCATCAATGGTTTGGGGCATCATCTCCAAATTAGACCCCTATAAGGCTAGTTACAGGGGCAGAATACCAGCCTTTGTCCTGAAGAAATGAGCTCCTGAACTGACACCAGTCTTCTCAAAACTATATAAATATTGCCTCACTGACTCTTGCTTTCTAGCCTGTTGGAAGTCCTCTTTTGTTGTCCCTGCCTTTAAGAACTCCAGTGACCCTTCTGACACATCTAACTACTGTCCTATAAATCTCTTACCACTCTTTGGCAAAGTCTTTGAGACTTTAGTCAATGCTGAAGTGGTCAAGCACTTTACATCCTATGATCTGCTCTCAGACAAGCAATATGGTTTCTGCTTTGCCTGGTCCACTGCTGATATGCTCCCGACCATAACTGAACTTATATACCAAGCACTTGACAATAACAGAGAAGCTCGAGTCGTAGCTTTAGGGTTTGATAGGGTCTGGCATGCTGGCCTTCTTCATAAGCTACAGGGATACAGCATTACAGGATGATTATTTGACTTAATTAAATCATTCCTGTCAAGCCATGAAATTCGGATATGCAACCTTTTTGGACCTAATCTATCATCCTGTCTGCAGTCACTATCTCACAGACATGCTGTGGCTTCCCTCTGCTTTTTCTACAAGTATTTTCATGGCAACTACTCCGACAAGCTACTTTCACTGGTTTCCACACTGCGTGAATTTAAGTGTGCTACTTAGTTGGAACCACGGTCCCACTCTTTCACTATCGAAACAGCTAAATATAGCCTCTTCTACTCCAACAGCTTCTTGTCTCACACCTCCTGTCTATAGAACTCGCTTCCTATCACTTACTTCCCTGATAGCTATAATCTTCAAATATTCAAATGTAATGTCAATCGACATCTTCTGATGCCTTGACCTTAATCCCTATCCTTCTCTTTATCCCTTTCCTAAACACTCCTCTTTACTCTTACTCTCTGTAACCACTTGTGTGCTATGGCACTCCTGCCTTGCTTGAGGTGAATTGCTTAAAAAAAAAAAAAAAACAATAACTTGGCAAAAAGTTTCCACAATGCAACACACATCATTTAAATCAAAGTGTCTATTGGTTAGAGATTAACATCACCAAATATTTGACAAATCAGAGAAAACTAAAATACTATTTTTCTCAAGCCTACTTTCATGAAAAATTTCTTATAAAAACTTATAGATTTCAACTTTCAGCAGCAGAGATGCAACTGTCTCTCAAACACAAGAAAAGATACAGCTATATAGCTTTTTTTGCTCCCTCCTCTCCAGTGCGTGCTGAAAGAAACAGGTGTTGTGACTTCAAATGAATCATCTCCAAAAACAGCTTGGACAGTCAGTGAATCTTTGCCAACAACCAAAGTCTTTTCTAAACCACAAATTTTTCTGTGCACCAACTATCCCATAGACTGTAACTGAACTAAAGACTATTTTCACTCCTTTGAATTCATGTATGTATGATTTATTTTAATAGGCATAACCATGCATTCATTATTTTTATGTTATTATTATCTGCAATCTGGATGTTTGAATATATATAAAAAAAAAAAAAAAAAAACCTAGACAAGTAAATTTCCTACAAGATCACTAATAAAAGTAAAAATAAAAGTATTCTGTATATATAGTTTATAAATTTCTACCCATTCATTCAAAAGAATCATCGCAACTAACTTTCATCTCTTAAATACTAACAAATCCGTTTACATTTCTTTAGCTCACCTTCTTCATATGTACAACTCGACTGGTTGTCCTCAACAATACTCCCTGGCAAATGTAATCTGAAAGAAAAAAGATTTAGCATTTATAAATTTAGGATTTGGGAATTATTTCTGTTATATATTGCAAGATCATATTAGCCAGTAACTTTGTCAACATTGTCTTTGGTGGCTGAGTCACATACATCGAATGAATGATGGCCGTTTACCAAGAGAATGCGACAAACCAGCTGATCACTTTTCCAAAAATAACAAATGGATCACCAAAGTTAAGCAACGTCAAGCCTGGTCAGTACCTAGATGGGTGACTGCTTGGGAATACCAGGTGCTATGAGGCTGAATCTGTGAGTGGTGTAATGGACAATTGCTCAGAATTTTTCATTTTTCTAAAAGTCAAATCCTATTTGAAAGGGACAAGATTTCAAGATGTTGAGGAAATCCAAGAGAATTTGATGAGGTAGCTGTTCACTACCCCCAAAAAATGAGTTCCAAGAATGCTTCCTTCAATGTAAACAATACTGGATAAAGGGCATGGCTTCAGAAGGGGACTACTTCGAACAAGATTAAATACCAAATTGATATGTGTTGTAGTTTTTTTTGTTTTTTTATAGCACCAGTACTTTTTGGTCAGACCTCATATGTGTGTTCTAATTTCTAATTTTTGTAGGAACGTGTTGATATGCTGCTAAACAAACACATTCCTACAAAAATTAGAAATCACACCTTGCCTTTGAATGGACTAGTCGCGAACACCTATAGTTCCGCCATATGTGAACACCTATTAAAGAACAGAGATTGTGCAGCCAAATTTAGTGTTGACTGGTTCACCGTGTTGTCCCACTCTCACTCTTTATTTCATCTAAAGGTTCTGGAGGCACTTTACATTGAGTCCCGTAAGCCTTCTTTGTGTAAACAATGTGAGTGTTTGTTGGGACTCACTGTCATTTCTCTCTAGTTCCTTTTGCATATTTTTTTTTTTTTTTTTTTTTTACAAATTTTAAATCTCCTGTTGAAGCCTGAAGAGCGGTAGCAAAACCGGTTGCTTCACCCGTTTTTTTTAATGTCTTGTAATATTAAGTTTTATACTTTATTTCATTATATATATATATATATATATATATATATATATATATATATATATATATATATATATATTTCAGCAAAGTCTGCTGGTTGAAACCATCATGTCTCAATCAGCAAAGGTACCCACAGTAAAACAGGCTACTACAGACAGGAGTTCAAATGCTGTTATTTTCTGCCCTCATTGCTTACTGAAAGTTTTAAGAGTAAGCAGCAGAAATAAAATGGAAAAAAAAATACAAGCCAATAATAATAATTGTGTAATTACTGATTTTCATGCATTATATAAAGTTTGAAAATATACCATGAAAGATATGATATAAAAATTTATCAGACAAATAGTGGGTAATTGAATGACAAAATGGATTAATTGATTCATTTTCTATGACTTATCAACCCTTTCCAGGTTATTTAAAGCCAGAAAATAATTTTTGATTGTAAAATATTTTTTGAAGATAATGATTTAGTGATACAAATTTTACTAATTAACCAATAGCTGGGGGGAGAAGGGGTAGATTCATACCTCTCCAATTAACAATTCTGAGCCCTTATCCATTATACCAGCTGCACATTGAAGCTCACAGCACCTGATATTCACAAGTGGTCACTCATCTAGGTTTGACGTTGCTTAATCATACAGGTACCGGTGTTTCAACACTATATGGCCCTAAACTATATACCAAAAGACATAACGTACAGTGAGTTATCCACAGGACATTATCCAGTAGGTAGCCTTGCACCATGTTTCAAGGACATTTGCAAAAGGGACCTGAAACCCACAGGTATTGACTGGTAGCTAGGAACAAGGGAACAGTTAACAAATAATCGCAGTGGCTTGGCAACATGCTGTTCAACATGAGAAGCAGAGAGAGAGCAACCAGAGAGCTTCATTCTACAATCCAACTTCATCTCTCTCACCTGCAGATGAGAGTGCCATGCAGTGGTTAGTCTGATAAACCATTCCAAATGCAACTGACTGAATGTTTATCCATAGACAGCACAACCATTATCTTAGAAGATAAATGAATATCTCTGAGTTTGGTTTGGTTGATTTTGTTTAGCAGCATATCAACCTGTAGGGATTATTTAATGATGAAATCTAAATATTTCAATTGGTTTGGTTTGGTTGATTTTGTTTCAATAGATCTCCAGTTCTTACTACTGTTGCAAGTTCCTCGTTAATTTGTTCCACTGAGGCACATTTCGCTTCTTTTTGAACACTGACTGGACGTTGTCTTGTAGTTTAATTTTTTGGCAGTATGAATTTATAGGCAAGTCCCAAAGCTGGAATTGTGTCATCCAACCAGTGCCAAATAGGTTGTTAGTATTTTTCAGTATGAACAATTTTAATTTAAGAGTCTTCCCATTGAACGTTATATTTGTAATCAATTCTCCCTCGAATTTAATTTTTTCTCCTGTTACTGATCTTGCAATCTTGCTAGATTTTATCATGGTTGGCTTACCCAATCTTTTCCATGTTTGCAAGTTTATAATAGTTAAATCAGAACCTGAATCTAATTGAAATTCTACTTTTGTTTAACATTTTTACGTGCACGAATTTCCTGATATTAGCACCGTCTCGTTCGTCCGACCTTGAATTTTTTATGCAACTATTGGTTTTATTTTTAGATCAGCAATGCAAACTTTTGTGTCCAACTCAGTTACAAATGTAACATTTTTTTTTATTCCGGAACATACAATCTTTGTACCAATGTAGGTCCCCACATCCGTAGCATAGGTTAGGAGGCAACTTGATTTTTTCTTTGTTTCAGTTTGAGGAGACTTTGTTCCTGTTTTTTTAACGTGAGCAATACCAGATTCTTCAATATTTTTAGAATCCTTCTTTAAACTGACGGACCTCTGATATTCTTCAGTAATCTGCTGTAGAGTTATATTTGGCTCATTCTCCAATTTGTTTAGGATTCTTTGCCTAATTTCTGCATCTTTTGCTGAAACTAGTCCTTGCACAAATATCAAGCATTTTAAGTTATTCGCACTTAGCTCTACCTGTCTAAAATCATTGCAGTGCTTGTTTACAATTGATGCAAAAGTGGTGTAGTCTTCCCATTCTTTCCTAGTTCGATTAAGATATTTCCATCTCTTATGGAAAAGAGATGTCTTTGGGCTCAAGAGCTCCATTAGTAATTCTACTGCTTTGGTGAATGTCAATTTGCTAGTCTTACGGGGCAGAATGTAGTTAACAAATTTTGTGTGCTCAGATGTGCCAAGTTTCCTCAGAAGACAACGTACTTTTTTCAAGTCACTCCAATTCACACAATCTGACATATACAAGTCCTCATGCCTCCTAAAGTATGACACAAAGGTTATGTCTTTCTTAGGATTGTATGAAAAATTTTCTATCACACTCCAAATGGTGTTTTGCGAAAAAGAAAATTTGTTTTCAATGGGATTACTACGGTTTGTCAATTCTAACACTTACTTTTGAAATTCAAGCTGTCTCTCTTGATTTTACTTTTGAAGTTCGAGCTGTCTCTCTCGATTTTCCTTCCGGGTTTGTAGTAATACATTTTCCATTTTTTCCTGTTGAGAGAGCAATTGTTTTTACCACTTCTCTTCCACTCTTTCTTGGAGTTGTAATTGCTGTGCATTCTGGTATTTTACAAATTCTAATAAAATACTTTTGAAATCTTCCATGATAAGTGTGTCTTTTACAAAAAAAAAACTTGATTTTCCGTATTTTGAGAGAGTTCCTTTTAATCATGGTTGTTCATGCAAAATCCTTGTAAATCCTTGTCACCAAGTTGTTGTGGACACTGACAACGGCAAATTATTTTTTCTTGAGTCCCCGTGAAGTGCGAATCCTCCTCGCCAAGTTGTGGCCTGTTTAGGGGCCAGAAAGAAAGACACGGAAGACGAAGGTAGGTTGAAAAAGGATATTGAAGACATATACAAAACAACAGTGTTATTAATAATTAGATTAGCACTGCATCTACTACTCCATTTCATCTATCCGACTCTACCAATTTGTATTTATGAGAGGAGGAAGAGTCCATTCTACTGTAGGGGTTTACTACAACACTTAGTCATAAAGGTCTCAAGGTCTTATTGATAGTGAAAGAGAATGAGAAGACTTTAGTGAAGAGAAAGGACAATATAAGAACAGGTTTCAGGAAGACAGAAGATGGTGATAATGCCGCTAAGACATAAAGGGTTACTGAGAATGAAAGAGAATCTGGAGACTTTAGTGATGAGAAAGGACAATAAAAGAACAGTTTTCAGGAAGACAGAAGATGGTAATTGGCATTCCATTTAAATTTTTGAAGGTTGTAAGTGGCAAGAAATCAGAAAGGACTTCTACAGGTGAGGAAAGAAACTATTAGAATAGAACATACAGTTGCAGCTAACTAGTTCAACAGTAAAACGGTGAAACCTGTTACAACTCGTCCCAGAAATTCAGACAGTAAAATTTCCAATGCTTGGTTACATTTTTTTGGAAGTTGGCCAGGTCAATAATTTTCTGGCATCTCTTCGTACAAACTGATTGAAAGAAAAACAACTGAGAGAGTAACTTGAGTCACTTCAAGACTAAATAAACACACAAAGTACAAAAGAGAAAAAGACCATTAAAAGTTAACTAATGATTTGGGTCATTTAACTAATGAAGATAATTTACAGATACAAAGAAATGAAATGACTTTTCATAGTTAACACTTGTTTTATTAATTATTTTTATATTACAGAAAGAAAGGTAAAGGTATTTTTAATATTTGTGCTCACACAAAATCTCTGGGAATAAGATTATGGGGCGGGGGGGGGGCAGAGGAAGAGAGAAGAGAACATCAGATCTCTTATCCAGAGTATTGTGAATGGCACAAATGAAAAAACACAAGACTTACTCTAGTGTGAAATTTGAAAGACATTTACATCAACCTCTATGGGTTATTTAATGCTGAAATTTAAATATTTGGTTTGGTTTGGTTGATTTTGTTTAGCAGCATATCAACCTCAATGGGTTATTTAATGCTGAAATCTAAATATTTTGATTGGTTTGGTTTGGTTCAGTTGATTTTGTTTAGAGGCATAAATCCTAAACTGGAAACAATGACAAAAAATAGTAGCCCAGAATACAAAATTTACAAAACAAGCTTTCACAAAATTTTCCTTTTAAGCAAGATAACAAGTTCTAATTATAATTCTGTTGGGCTCCTGAAAATAATTATAATCTTTATCAAGAAAATGTTCACTTCCTTTTATATGTTCGATTGTTGAAAGGAGATGAGAAGATGATTCACAGGAATCACCATTTTCCTGGTTTGTTTAGACAAGTTCAGTTTTACAAATTGGATTGAGATAAATATTGCATTTTCATAAAAAGTTCAAAATCAAGGCTGATACCTCTAATTTTGTGATAAGCTTTTGCAAACTATAGAAAGATAATTGTATATCTCTCTAACTTAGTAGAATTTCCTCCTTTTTGTTTTCATTTCTTTTTCTTCTGTTGCTTCCTTTTCTTTTCACCATCAACTTTTAGTTTTTCTCTTGTTCTGATCCCAAAACTAGCCAGAATCTTTCTTGTGAATGCCAAAATCCTTCTGCCTGTCTGACAAGCCAGACTTCTTAAATAGTCACAAATCAGCTCCAAATTGAATTAGAAATTTAATACCCTGGGTTTGTAACTAACTTTCCCCATTGGTTAAAAAAAAAAAATAATCAAAATGTATCTCTTTAAACCATGTCTGTTTACAAACTTTATTTGATGAGTTTCTAGAGCATAAACCTTGAGTCTTTCTTTTACAAATTTTTGAAAACCAAATTTTGTATATTTTTTTTATAAAACCATCAGGCTTTATTTTTGCTCTATTTTTACATCAATTTGAGCTTCAGATACACATCAAATTTTATTTAAGCCATTTTTCACGGAGTCTAGCATATGTGCTGATTAAAGAAAGCCTACTTTGTCATGTTGAAAAAATTTCACACAATGCAGCAATTTTTGGACAGTTCAAAGATTGCCTTAGGATTGCTTCATGTCATAAATCTTCATCAGAGCAAAGTAGTGTCTCTTCATTATTACTGGGTTGCATTCCTGCCCTGACGGCTTACACCAATATCATGTTCAAACACCAGTTCCCATACAATCACTGAAGTTAAGCAATGCAAGTCTGGTTAGTACCTAAATGGATGACTGCTTGGGTATACCAGGTGCTGTAAGTGTGGATGTGCAGGTGGTGTAATGAATAACAACTCAGAATTGGAAATTGGAGAGCAGGGTTCCAATTCCTGCCAGGTTCATTATATTCATCTATGTGCAAATACCCTTGGAAAAAGTATGAATCCCCCCCACCCCAGATTAATCAGTAGGACTTGTATCAGTAAATCACTGTAACCAAAAAAATTTTTACACTCTAAAAATATTTTCTGCTCTTAAATAACCTGCAAAAAGGTTGATAAGTCATAAAAAAATAAATTAATGCTAGTCTTTTGGAGCACAGTAACATTTAAATTAAGAGAGGTTTTTTGCATGTTTGTTTTTTTAATTATTCACCTCAAGCAAGGCAATAAAGCCACTAAGACGCAAAGGGTTACTGAGTGTAAAAGAATAGGAAAAAAAGAAAAACATTTAGGAGAGAGAACAATAAAGAGACAGGAATTAAGAAGACAAAAGATATATATGTTTTTTGTTTTTTTCTCTTATGGGACAGTGGGCCTGTTTTTTAATCTTCCGAACTTAATTAACTCTGGTGATTTTAATATAAAGACCTATTTCTGTGTTTTACAAGTAAAATCCTTCAAATTGTTCAGTCATAGAGCAGTTTAAAACTGCTAAGTGAGATAAACAGTTATAAATAGTTATATACTTATATCTTATAAAACAGTTTAAAACTGCTAAGCAAGTAAAAATAGACAATTTTCTCATAAAAACTATGGTGAAATACTCACCTGAGGTAGTAAGGAGTTGAATAGAAGCAGAACTCATCATCATCCACAAAAATTTCAGTATCCGAAATCTGTTCAAATAAAATAAAAATTAAATAATGCAAGTGTAAGACTATTCTCATTTGCTATCATGTGACCAATTAAATTAAAGACACTTTAAATGTTTTTTTAATCAATTCATCCCAAGCAAGGTGATAATGCCACTAAGATGTAAGTGGTTACTGAAAGTAAAAGAGAATGAAAAATACTTTAAAGGAACTGGAAACCCAATCCTAAACAAGAAACAAGGGATAAACCTCTGCTCCTGTTCAAAAGACCTAGGCGGAGTGTGAAACGGATGACAGGTAAACCAATCTACTCCTACTGAGGAGAAATAAATAAATAGTAAAATAAATTTAAATTAGAAGTATAGAGTTGAAGTAGACATTAGAAGGAACCGGAAACCCAATCCTAAACATGAAACAATAGATAAACCTCTATTCCTCTTTCAAAAGAGCGGGGTGCAGTGTTAACCAGACTATAGGCAAATCTATCTAATCCTATCTGAAATCTGTTCAAATAAAACAAAAAAATAAACAATGCAAGTGTAACACTGTATTATTATGTGACTAATTGAATTAAAGATAAATAATGTTTAATTTTGACCATGAAATTAAAAGTTTACATCAATAGTTGCCACTTTGTTAGGGAGACATTGTAAAGATGAAAGAAAACAAAATTTCAAGACTGATTTTGCATAAATCATTTCCTGTTAATTGTTTATATAACAAATTAAAACACATATCTGATTGTTTTTAATATTTTACTTAAATATCAAATAATCATACTTATTATAAAACCCAGGTTGTGTGTGTGTGTCTGTTCGTTTATATATTGGATCGGATTTCCTACATTTTTCAACCGATTTCAACAAAACTTCACAGGACTACGTAAAATTACCTTGCAGTGGTTCTGACAGTGCCAAAAATTGGAAAAACACAATTGTTTTTGTACAAAATCAATTTGAAAACATGATTAAGAGGCATTGCTGTTGCAAGAATGAAAGGGGGACAACTCATATCAAGTTATACTTATTATAAAACCCAGGTTGTGTGTGTGTGTGTGTGTGTGTTCATTTATATATGGGATCGGATTTCCTACATTTTTCAACCAATTTCAACAAAAGTTTGCTTTTTTTTTTTGTAGTGTTTCTTATTGTATTGTCTTTTTTCTTTTTATTTTTACATTCAGAATACTTTAAAATTCCATTTACAAGACAATTGTTTATAATAAAATTCTATTCAATCGGTAGACTCATAACGATTGAAAACAATATTTTTTGTTTGAGTTTGACCAATTAAAAAAAAAAAAAAAAAAACTAATTAAGACATGCGTGTCCGTCAACTTTAAACAATAATCTTTGCCAATTTTATTTTTTAGTCTTTATGATGGTCGATACTTGATCTATCTCTTACTGTTACATCCCCAGGCAACGCCGGGCTCTACTGCTAGTATCCGCTAAGTCTGGCACAGGACCAAAGAGGTTAGAAAAACTGTATGAGAATTTCCAACTGACCTGCCAGCCTTGAGGAAGAAAAAAAAAATCAAAATATAAATGCTTGGATTACACAACTATCTCAGCCACAAAGCAGGCATCATATTATAATTGTGCTTGTCGCTCCCTTCGCTAGTTTACACGACCATTATGTCCTGCCAATAGCACATAAATAATAGACTATTTTGTTTAGAACACATAAAAAGAAGGGAAAAACTATTTGTTTTCAGTGAGAAAATGAAGGGAAGATAGAAGTGTTTGACAGCCGTTTCAGTGAAATGGAACTGTCAATTTGAAATCTTTTAACTTTAATAGATACGTTCACCTATTGCCCAGTTCACACTCATCCCCAGTCTTTTGAACAGGAGTAGAGGTTTATACCTTGTTTCCTGTTTAGGATTGGGTTTCTGGTTCCTTCTAAGGTCTTTTCATTCTCTTTCACTTCCAGGAAACACTTAGTTGCTTAGAGAGAATTGATTAAAAAACAAAACAAAAAACTCAAAGATATTGTTGGAGTTAGCTCCTCCTTAATTCCCTAATTGTTCACTAGGGGGACGCTCTCCCTACACTATAAATACTGGACAACTTCTTGCCCCGCTCTTTTTACTTTGCATTTCAGTGGACACATTTAAAAATGTAATCTCTCGTAGAAATCAGTGTTTTCACCCACTTATGGGAAAACGCCACAAAACACACACACATACATACGAACATTCACTAATATACAAACTGTTTACGTTTACACACAAACACAAATGTTAATGTCTTTGTCACTTGTAAATTTGTTGTTTAATACATATATTTGTTGACATATATATATCGGTCTTGTTTGTTTTCTTTACATCTTCAGTTGGGCCCAATTTGAGTCAACCATTTTCTTGTAGTTGGACCTTCTAGCAGGAAAAACAGCATGTGTCCCTAATTCAACAACACTCAAACCACACAGTCCTCTACAATATCATTTGTGCAGAAATTTAAGTGATACAGCTAGTTACTGTAAGAGTACATCTGTGTGAAACCAAAAATGCTGTATATTTCTTTGTAATTAAATGGAAATATATTTATGTTTCAATTTTCATTTCGTATAAAAGTATTTTTGAATAATGTTGAAATTATTAGATTTTTAACCTTTATCACTTATTATTTTGCTGTACAAAAAGTTTATCCTGCCACTGATGGTGACTGATCCCTGAACAATAGTATGTTTGAATTTTATAGTTGTGTTGTCATATCCTGCTATGGCAACAGAAAACACCTTTTGAGTGAATTTAACAATAAGGATACTGCAATTGAGAGACCTAGAAAAAGAATGCAGTGGAAAAGGAAGTAATATTAATGATTCAGAGGGCTAAAGGTTAAATCCCTAGGTGACTTACTTAGAAAAAGAATAACTAGAAGTAATTTTTTATTAAGATTTAATATTACTAAAATATGAATAAAAAAAATAACATTTTTGTCAACCATCATATTTTACCCTTCTTGGGTCCTTTCACTTGGTTGCTGAAACAAAAACAAAAAACATACCTTTGCAAGTAAGGCATCAATTTTAATATAGAGGAACTCATCATCCTGTGCCAAGTGAAACTGAGGAGTTATCATGGTGAATGTTCTCCTGAAAAGAGAAATGAAACATCAACAATGCATGAATCTAAAAACATCGCTGCTGTATGACTCAAGTCATTAAAAGAAAAAAAATAGTTCAGGAACCAGGGATTTGTCCTCTTCAGACGGCAACATCCCATTGTACACAGGATAATTATTTTTTAGTATCAGCTTTGAGCAAGGCATCAAGATATTTTACTGCAAAGATGTTCATGAAGTACTCAAATGAAAAAAAACATTCATTATGGAAAGTTACCTCCTCCAGTATACAAAAATATTCATAATATAAATGGAGGCAAAAATATTCATAATATAAATGGAGGCAAAAATATTCATAATATAAATGGAGGCATGGTGGCTTAATGAATAGCAGCTTGAATTGAGGAACTGGAGAGCCAAGTTTGAATTCCAGTTGAGTTCATTACATTCACTTACATGCAAATACTCTTGGAAAAGGTATGAATCCATTTCTTCTTCCCCACCAGCTATGGGTAAGTTGCAAGACAGACTGAGTCCTATAGCCTTGGGTGCCAACCAGTCTAGGAAAAGGACAACTCTAAATTCAAAACCTCCAACTATGAGTTTATACAGCCTCACCAACCCACAATTGGCCAAGCATGCTGAGTATGGCTACACCCTTGAAGACAGTCAATCAGGGAGTGGTTCCTCCAACAAAGAGTGAGGAGGACCTGGATTTGGATCCAAGACAGGTTTAACCTTAACCCTGGTGTGAATAAAAAAAAAATGGCTACATGTATGACAGAATTTAAGATATTTAACAAGGTTAGGCCAGAAATTAAATTGAAAATGCAAAGTCTTCAAGACATCATACTTATTACCCAGGTTGTGTGTGTGTCTGTACGTTTATATATTGGATCAGATTCCAACATTTTTTCAACCAATTTCAACAAAACTTCATAGGAATGTAAAATTACATTGCAGTTAGTTCTGACAGCGCCAAAAAATTGGAAAACACAATTGTTTTTGCAATAAAAATCAATTTGAAAACACAATTAAGAAAATAACAGAATGAAAGGGGACAACTCATGAACAATACTTATAAACCCAGGTGGTTTGTGTGTGTGTGTGTGTGTGTGTTCATTTATATATGGGATTAGATTTCCTATATTTTTCAAATCCAATTTCAGAAAAACTTCCTTTTTTGGGGGCAGGTAGTGTTTCCTATTATCTTGCGCACTTTTTCTTTATTTTTACATTCAGAATGCTTTAAAAATTCCATTTACAAGACAATTGTTTATAATAAAATTCTATTCAATCAGTAGACTCATAAATTGAAAACAATTTTTTGTTTGAGTTTGGGTTTGACCAATTCATAAAAAAAAAAAAAAAAAAAAAAACTAATTAATGACATGCATGTCAAGTCAACCTTAAACAATAATCTTTGTCAATTTTATTTTTTCAGTCTTTATGATGGTTGATACTTGATCTATCTCTTACTGTTACATCCCCGCGCAATGCCGGGGGGCTCTACTGCTAGTTTATAATATAGATAGAGTTGAGGAACACACTTTTGGTATGAAATTTTTAAAGTTCTCAGCTTTCTCAGACTTCCCAAAATGTACAAGAGTTGGCTGAAAAGTTTATAGCCTGACCAAGGTATTCATATGGAATGCAACCAAATGAGGTTTATTTTTCAAAATAGTCCCCCTAGCAGTTCACACACTTCTCACATTGGTCTTGCAGTGCTTGGATCCCATTGGTGAAAAAGTCAAAAAAGACAACAGCAGCAGATATGACGTCATCATTACTACGATATGGGTTCCCAGACAGGTGTTTTTTCATGTTGGAGAACAGATGATAGTCATATGGGGCCAAATCAGAATAGGGAGTATGATCAACCAGTTCAAATCATTGTCCTGATGAAAGATCAATGGATTTTTTGATTATTAAAATATATTTTTTAATCATTTTTAGAACCTTAAAAATTTTGTTTTTCTTGCATCAATAAAAAATGACCATAAAATAGAATTGGAAATTTGAACATCTTTTTACAGTGAAAAAGACATTCATTTTAAATTCTTACAAAAAAATCAAATAATTGTCAAATTTTAATGAAAATTTCAAGATTAATTCACAAATAAATTAAATGATTTTAGAAACATTTATTTTTCTTAGAAAATCAGGGTAAAAAATTTTTTTTTTTGACATTTGTTACCCACCCACAAATTATTTAATTTTATGAAATTTCAAAAAATTAATTTTTGTATAGCTTAATGTTTATATTAGTTATAAGGACAAGCCCTTGGAGAATTCAAAATTTTGAGGTGAAATTGGACCCCCAGTTACAGAAAATCTGCTCTGAATCATAAAATAAACAATTAAAAAAATTAATTAAAAAAGCTTTTTTTAATGAATAAAATATATTATGGATACTGTGTTTTAACATCTGTTACCCACACTTATTTAATTATATTTAATTTTATGAAATTTCAAGAAATTCATGTTGGAAGTGCTTAATGTTTATATTAGTTATAAGCACAAGTCCTTGGAGTTGTTTAAATCATTAAATTTTTTTTTCAAAATAACACCTCCAGTTACTGAAAATCTGCTCTGAATCATAAAATAAAAAATGCAATAAAATTAGCACTATTTACTTAGAAAAGCTTTTAATTGGTTTTATGAATATTATGGATACTATTGTCTGAAGAAAATTTTTTCAATGAATTTTTACAAGAATTGTTTTCATTTTTTTTAAATTTTAATTAGAATAATTTGTAAAGTTTTAAATCTGAAATTTTGTATTAACTATGCGATATCATTATTAAGTAAAAACTATATTTACTAATCCCAAATGGAAAAGCTTAGTATAATTCAGCAACCCCCAGTGTTTTAAAAAGAATTTTGAATTTTTTGTGTATAAACATGCCAATATTTTGTAAATACAGACATACACATCATTATCAGAAAATAAGAGCAGTAACTATAATAAATTTAAAATTTATTGGTAATTTTCTAAATTTTCCTCAACAAGCATCATAAACCAAAGTACCTAAAATTCAATAAAAAATTAGATTACTTAGAAAATTTTCATAATTTTTTAAGATTACAGGGTAGTTAACAAATTATATAAAAAAGGCATTCACATTGTATTAAAGTAATTTTTACAGTAATGTGTCCTTTACTTAAAAAAGCTAAACATTAAGCTATCAATAAATGTGTCAAAACCTCATAAAAACGCCCACCTCTATATAAAGAAAATGATTTTCTGTTATATTTTAAACTAAAATTTGTTTTAATTCAGATTAATTAAACTTTAAATCAGTTAACCTTCCTCAAATAAAGTTTCAGAAAAGTATATTTTATTTCTGATTAATAAAATGAATCATATTGTGTTGTTTATCCATATGGCCGATTTTAGCGACTTCAAAATAAAATCATTCTAATCAACTTAAATTCGGTTTGAAATACAACAAAGCATATACAAAGGAAATACTAAATTTATTAATCCATTAGCTTAGAATTAAAACTAAAAAGAAGGAAAAGGAAAGATTTTTCATTTTTATACAAACCTTAGCCATCGTTTTGTTTTGTTTTTTGAGGTACCTACATTTTTTTTTAAGTGGTACAAAAAAGGATTTCCAGAAATTTAATTTCATGAAATTAAATAAGTGTAAAAAAAAGTTTCAAAAACAATTTTTCTTCGTTTTTGAAAACTTAAAATCCAATTAATTGATTTTTACAAGAATTTACAATACATAGGCACCTTCAAAATCGATAGCATGACAAGAACGGCCTGAAACATTTTTCTTCGCGTTAAATGTATATTTCATTATTGAGAAGAAACACTAAAGTATTTTTTGAATATTTTTTGAAATTTTTTACTCATTCTTAGCATGTCCGAAATTTTAGTTAAAAATCTTGTTTATTTACAAATCTGGGTTTTTCACCGCAAAAAGACGCTCAAATTTTCCGTTACAAATTTATGGTGACGCTTTACGCCAGAAAAAAAAAAACAAGATTTCCAAAATTCTAAAAGGATTTAAAAAATGATTTTTAATTTTATATTTAAAAAAATGCTTTTTTTAAAACTTTCATCTTAATAATTAATAACACAAAAGTTTTCACTTTTGACGATAAACATTGTTTTCCATTATTCAATTGATAGCGGCGCATTTTTTTTCATCATATTGTAGCCTCTTTTTTGGAGGTGCCTAAAAATGAGAACACTTTTACTTTTACAAACAATTAACATAAAAATAGTAGCTACTAAAGCTTTTTTTTTTTTTTTGTCTTTTTAGGAAAAAAATGAAAACTATTTTATTTTAGGCTAGAGTTCATTTATTTGTTTAACTAACACTGAAGATATCGTTGCAATATGCGCTTTCGAGAGGCTTACTAAAATTCAGCATTTCAAAGCAATAATTTCGGAGGTGAGAAAAATCAATAAATGAGATATAATTTGACATGAGAAACAATTTTTTGTTTGATGTTGTCAACAAGTCATCAGATCCCCCCCCCAAAAAAAAAACATAAGCGGAGGGAGAGAGGCTTAATTTTTTTTTTTAAATAGTTACATCCGCTATTTGAAAAGTCAAGAAGCAAGAAACTTAAAAAAGAAAAGATATAATAAAATAACAAAATTAAAAAAAAAAAACGAAAAATTCGTGTTTTGTTTTTAAATGAAAATAAAAAAAACAAATACTTAGCACAAGAAAATGAAAGGAAAGTTAAAGAAAAAGTAAAATTAATTAAATATGCAAAGAATGTTTTTTTTATATTTTTTAAACAAGAGGAAAAAGGTGGGAAATTTAAAACAAAAAATGCTATTTACTTTTTTTCAGTTTTAAAAAATAAAATTCAACAACCTTTCGCATTATCTGCCTGTGAATTTTTTTATTTTTTTACCTTTCAATCAACAGTCCAACATTGATAATGTTTTTATTTTGTAAAATTTAAGACAATTAGTTACAAACAAGAATTTTTATTGTCGGGAATTTTTAAGTTGCACATTTAAAAATAAAATGAGCTAATCAGTTTATGTCAAAATGTTTTGTACCTTTTAAAAATAATAATAATCATTATTATTATTACTCTTCCTACCAAGAAAACATTCATTAGAATGAGAGGTGTGGGAGATCCCGGAAATTGGGAAATATGTCAAAGTTTTTAGAAGTAAAAATATTGGGAACAGGACGTTAAAAAGAAATGTCAAGTTGAATTCTAATTAATTTTAATTTAACACAAGGGAAAGAAATCGTGGCTTGTAAGTTTGAAATATAAAATTCTCAAAAAGAGTAAATAAATACATAATTAAAAATGAAAATAAAAGCTAAATCCAAGAAGACTTCAAGTGATTTATTTTCTAGCTTGTTTCCAGTTCCCGAACATAATCTTAAAAACTTAAAAAGTAAACAATTTGTCAACTAATGTCAACTTTATAAACCGTAGAAAACTTTTTAAAGAATTTTTTTTTCTAAGTCACTTACTTACTTGTCTTCGACAGAATATAAATTGTAAAAAAGTGTAAACAGAATCTGAAGTACAGTCCGAGGTAAGTCTAACTGAATAAACTTCAATATTCATATTTTTTTAAATTAGCTTTTTTAAATTTAATACAAAAAAAAAAAGAAAAAAAAAGACATCTTCCCAAACTTAGACAAAATTAAAACCCACTTGTTAAGAATTTAATACCGGGATTTATTCTAATTAAGATGTTTTTTTTTTGTTGTTGTTGTTGTTTTTTTAAAGGATACATTTTTCTTCTAAAACAAAAAAAAAGAAGAGAAGAAAAAAGTTAATAAAACCGTTTTTATTTTTCATTTTCAGCAAAAATGCTTCGAGTTTTATTTTCGTTTTTACTAATAGAAAGAAAGCAATAAAAACTATAAGTAACAATAATTTAAGGAAATGTTACGAACATGTCTAATAACAAATACTAAGCACACTGGTACATCAACCTATCACTGTTTGATTTTTCAAAAGAATCGATATTGGGCGAAATCAATTTCCTCTTCTTACCGTTTCTTTTATTTTCAAGTCTCAGAGTCCACGTGTAATTCTTTGCACATAATGAAAACTTCGACAAACTTCCGGTTTTATTTCTTGCCGCGCGACTTATCTCCCCTTACTCAACTTACTCTACTTAACTTTCTGTTTTTGCCTTTTTCTTCTTTTGGTATTTCTTTCTTTTTTGTTCATTCTTTTCTGCCAATGATTTCTACTTGTTCCTTCTTTTATTTAACTTTTAAATATTATTCTGAGACTACAAATCAAATCACTCTCACAGACACTAGGATATATTATTCATATATATATATATATATATATATATATATATATATATATACACACACACACACACACACATGTATACTTTATTTTAGGATAATTACATCAGTATGAGAATAAACGCTACATACATGCAATTATTCTTCGATGTGTACTAATACATCTCATCAGCATTAGTAAATTACTGGTTAGTTGAAATTTAAAATTTAAAACCACATACAACCTCTTTTCATGTGTAAAAAAGGAAGAAAAGAAAAAGTGTAATAAAGAAAGACCGATACATGATTGATATATATATATATATATATATATATATATATATATATAAATCATGAAGTCTTTAACCCTATCCACTTATTTTTATTAATTTTTATATTAATGAATTGAGATGTTTAATAAGAATTATTCTTTAGATCTATTTATTTATGATGTGTTTGAAGACTCTTGATAAAATCCAAAGAATCTGTGATGTTATTGATCCTGACCTGACATATCAACTTTGGTTACTTTCCCATCATCATAACATAGTGTCATACCCTGTTGGAACTTCAGTTCTTTAACTCAAACAGAAGTGCTCACTTCAACATCCACAGCTCATAGGGAAAAAAAAACGAAACTAATTTTGTCTTGTTTTGCACACTCGCTTCCAGAATATCATCCAAAAATACCATTGGTCATAATACATCTTTTCTGGACAATCAGAAAAAAAGACCCATGCAGTTTTCACAGCAGCCATTTCACTGACTATGAAGCTAACACTGATTTCACCCACAAAATCTGACCTGGTTAGCATTAGTGATAGCTCCCATGGCAGGCAAGCTTAACCAAACACAGCAGACTTACATGACTGTCAAGGACATTAGCAGCAACAAAACTCAGCAGCAGCAGAAACTAGAATGCAATAATCCAGGGAATATTTCTCCCACAAGTCTATTTCACTAAACTGCATAAATCACAGAAAATAAAATCCTTTTACTTATCTCAACCATGTCTTATCTCCATCTGTTGTTTAAGAAAATTTTTATTTTCATTACTGTTAGTCTTTGGTGCAATAATAAATGTTTAATTGTCTAGATAGTTTTTTTTTTTTTTCTACGTTCTTTTGAGAGAAGCATAATTTTAAGAAGGCCAAATGATTTGTGGAAAAAATTGTTACACTTGTTTATATTTTTAGGCTTGGCCTAAATAGTTAAGGATCCATTTCAAAATTATGGTAAATATTTTTTCATATTTACTGACCAATGAGAGACATGATTTCAGGCCCTAGTAAGAACCTGAATTGTGGGGGAGGGACTTTGTGTGATCCTCCCTATTTTGTATAAATAGAACTCAGATCACTATTTACATTATTCGGACTAGTGTCCTCATCTTTGTCACCATATTTTATTGGCATTTTCAGCCAAAAGAGGGTAGATGTGACACAAGGCAATTTTTTTGGGACATCCGAGCCCTTGAATGTCAAAAAATCCTGAACTCCACATTTGTTGGATCGGATGGGTCTACCCCTCTAAATGAAACTGTGCCCTTGGCATTGATACATCCAACTTCCTCTCTGTTGAAGGCCGGAATTCAACAATGGCCGAAAAATTTCCTTCAGTGTGTTTAATAGCTGCAACAAAGATGTGGACACTAGTCAGAATTTAATGTGGGGTTCCAGTGTACATAAAAGAATTTCATAGAACCGCATAAAATATAGATCAGATACTGAAAAGTGATAATCCAGAGTTCCAAAGAAAGATGAGGACCATATAGTTCAAATAATTTAAAGCTAGTGTATCTAACCACCTCATCAAGAGGGTCGTATAGACAGATAACTGAAGAGTGATAAATATTCACTTTAAACAATGAAAAAAAGAATTCAAAAAATTTTCTCAAGAATAAAAAATGAATATAAAAGACATTTCCAAAATTGTTGCCTGTCCCAGAGACTCTCATGGGGATAAGTAAAACATAGGTGTTTTGTTTTTTCTGAAAAATGGTTAGTCTCTGTTTGTCTTTTACTTCTTCCTGAATTGCTTTTCTTTCGTTATTTTCACTATTGACAGTGTTAATAGGAATATAAACTTGAAAAACAAGGTGGATAAAATAATGATAATTTTTTATATATAATCTGTAAAACCAGCCTTAGCAATAAGAATAAAAGTAACAGTTATGCACGAGGTTGTAATTATTTCTAATCCAGTTCCTTTTCTGTGCTACTGTAATAAATGTTTGTTAGTTTAAAATCTTGTCAATAAGTCTGAGTCATACTCAACAGATCCCGGCTAGTCAGTTTTTACTAGCCTCTCCACGAGGGTAGATGTGGCAAAAGCTAAAATTTAATTGTTTGACATCTGAGCCCTTAATGGGTCTGCCATTACAAAAAATCCTTGTAGAACCCATTTTTTTATAAATGGGATCGGATGGGTCTACCTTCTGAATGAGACTGTGCTCTTCAGCATAGCCACATTGCTGATTCTTCATGCTTTGTTCAGAGGCAGAGTTCAACCAGTAAGCTGAAAAAGATTTCAGCCAGTGTATTTAACAACCAGCCCCCCACGCAGTCACATTCATTCAAGGCTGAATTTTCATGTGGGGTTCCAATGGAGCCTGTGGTGTTATGACAAAAATTCCCATGGGAACCCCACTGCCAATAAGCAGCAGGATCAGAAAAACAGTCTAACTCCCTGATGCACAAGAGTCTGCCCCTTCGCATAGCCTCATCCAGGTTCTTTTGCTCTGCCCCAAGACAGATGTGTTTGATTATCCATAGCTCAAAGTGATTTCAGCTAGAAAATTAATTAAAAAATAACCCCCTCAATTTAAAGTCGTGTTCTTTTTTAGTACAAGGCCAAGTTTAAAACTTGGGTTCTCCCAGCAAACAAAATAAAATAGGCTTCATTTGCCAAAAAATTTCCTTTCGAACCAAGTATAAACAGATTCAGGGTCATTTAACAATATCTCCTGAGCCTGTGACATGGACAAAATTCCAGTAGTCAACCCGCTGCATAAACGGGATCATGTCAGTCTACCTTCCCAGTGAATCAGAGTGCCTTTGAGAGCCTTTGTCTAAGCTCCTCCTAGGACAGGAAGGCAGAGAGTTTGACTGTTTATACCAAAGAGTTTAGGGTTATGCAGTCTCTCCTATCCATGTAAACTGACTTAATGTAATATTGTACTGTGAGTTACTACCTTGTGCATAGTAGTCACTCACTGGGGTGACAGGTTATTCCATTCACATTTATTTTTTAAATTGAATACCACGACATTGTGTCCTTTTTCTAAATTGTAATCCTCATTTTTCATATTCAATGATAATTTTTTTTTTTTTTGCTATATATCTGTAAATGTTATCATGCCTTAGTTATTTATAAGATGCATAAAAGGAAATTTTTGTGCAGGAGTCTTGTGAAAATTATTTCTATTTGTGTTTTCCTTTTCTGTATAGTGTAATAAATGTTTGTTCTTTAAAATTTTGTGCAATCGTTGAGTCTTATTTGTGAATTGCACCTTAAAGAATATTCTACTCCTACAAATTAGCTTTTTATGTTTTTTGTGTTTGGTACAAGAATTTGGATTTGGTAAAGAGTTAAAATTTTTATTGTTTTGTCACTTCCACTTTTTTCACTTGTTAATAGTAAGTCTGCCATTACAGTAGCTTCCCTGTGCTTCTTTTTTTTTAATAAATATTTCCATAGTAATTGTTCTGATAAGACATAAGAAAACTGTCAACAGTTTTTTCACATTGCTTTGATTCATTCATGCTTTCTTCAGTCTCAACAATATTTGTTTAAAGGCAATGATAAAGAATAAAGCCTTAGTTTAATTGTTTCATAGCCATCGGCCCACAATTCATCAATTCTATTGAAATAATGCTTTTTTTCCACAAAACTATGATTACCAATGGAACCTCTGTGGTGTTATGACATGACCACACTTTACACACTTTCCTTCCAAGCACTGTAATAAGCAACAGGAGTGAGCAAAAACATTATAACTTAAGGGTTCTGATACAACATTCTTCAAGGTTTTACCACAACACATATGAAAAGTGAGTTTACACATTTTGTTTGTTCTTTTCAACTGTTGCCAAAAATAATAACAGATTTATTTTTGATATTTTTTATTGGAATAAATGGCCTCATATTGTGATATAACAAATACTGTCATTAAATAAAAATAATAAAATAATTATGGTTATATTTAGAATACCAAGTTCTTTTTTATAAATAAAAATTGTTTTTCTCCAAATTTGTTTATAAATTTGAAAATCTAAATAAAATTTTTGTTTAAATTCTCAGACAAACAAAATAAAATAGGCACTTTCATCACATGTTTTAGAACAATTCTAATCATTTATTTAAAACAATAAACATTTACCGAACAAGATATTCAAAATAATAGGTGTCAAAGATTTTATAACCGATTTAACAATCTATGTTTTGCACCATGAAGGACAAGACACACATCAAGACCAACTGCAGCCTCAAGTGAAAAAAAGGAATGGGAGCATGTCTTATGTAACATTCTCCAGTGAATCAGTGAATGTGACCAAAAGTAGCCCAGCAAAAGAAAGTTCCTCTAAAAAAAAAAATATAAGTAAAACGGTCTAAAAGGGGAATCCTAGATAATGCCATAGAAAGTTTTGCTCAAAAAAAAAGGGAAAAAAACATTTTCTTCCTCCCTGATCCATATAATAAAAGCAGCCTTAATGTAACCTGGATAGTTTCCGTGGCCAGAGTTGCTATTTGGTCTT